ATGTGGCATAAAAGATACTGTTGCCATCATCTTTGGAAAACAGTCGGCTACAGTCTACCTTGTGGCCACAGTTCACATCCTTTCCCATGCAAGATTGTTCATCCCCTCTCAAGAAACCACAAAAGTCTCATACCATTATGACTTCCGGGTCAGGCTTGAGGCCCAAGAGCTCATCATATAAAGCTCCTCAGATGTGGTTCTTCAATGATAGCACACTGAGTTGCATTCTTCGTGATCCAAAGGCTTGTGAAATTGAGAGAGAATTACCTCCTCTCTTCCCTTCCACACACACTAGGCAATGGTGGTACAGGCTTGGAATAACTGCAACAGACACACTATCCAAAAAGCGGGGAAGGGAAAGTGCACGGCAATCTCTGGTTATGGCAATTCTGAAATCCAGCCAGGTACACCCTGGAAGGTCCTTGACTAGGGTTTGGTCCTATTCCCTGGGAGTTTCTCTCCATGATTCTTGGCTCTGCTTTCTGTGCTTGTTTCTACCCTCTGGGCCATCCTTCTTCATTTTAAAAAAAAAAGTGTTTACAGCTGAGTAGTTTTCTCAACCTACTGCCTGCCTACACAATTTCAGGAGTAGAAATACTCCTCATTTTGTACTGTCTCTTCTAAGCTGACCTTATTTTAAAAACCTTATGGGTTTCTCAAGTGTCAGTTTATGAAATCCACTCCATTAGCAGAGGCTCATTGGGAGACTGCTGTAGAACACCCCTAATAATCCGAGAAGCCCTACTGTTTAATGGAGGGAACCCGAAAGGCACAACTTTAGAAGGCAGACTGCTGCCTGTCTGAAAAGGTCTAAAAACATTGCCTTAGATCTTTCTGAGGTCCTCACAGAAGACCTTACAGTCCCATCCTGGATTTGACTTTTGCACTGAAGCCATTTCATATTTGAAAATCAGTTTTCACCTTGAAGAGAGTCTGCAAATGAGAAACAGTCTCACCTCCTTTATATGTAATTGCTTTTCTTCATTCATCTCTCTTCCCACCTCGTGTCACAGGCAGCAAAGAGCAGCCAAGGGGTCCTTTTCATCCTTTGTCTAGACATCTGCTTGGCTAGATCACCTTACTTATTAGGTACATCTCCTATTTTCCATGTTACCATGGCATCAGTGTTGCCAAACACCTTTTCTCCCACTCAATTCCTTCAGCTCTCCCCAAAAACATCCTTGAGACTTCAGGCTTCTGGTAACAGCTTCTGCAAGGCCCTTTAGGGGCTGTTCATGAACAGTCTCCTCGAGGCCCTTCCACCCAGTGCCACATAGCTTACTTTTATTTTGGTACTTATGCTTCCAGATACCAGTTACTATCACTGTATAACAAATCACTACAAAATTTAGTGACCTAAAATGATGACTTAATTATTTCTTGAGTTTTTGTGGGCCATGAATTCTCAAACGATTCACTTGGGCAGCCTGGCTTGGGATCTGTCATGTAGCTTTAGAGATATGGTGAAACAGAGGGTCTGGAGCAACCGAGGGCTGGCAGGGCATCTGTCCATGCAGCCTCAGGCTCTCTTCACAGGGGCTAGCGTAGGCTTTCTCACTGTGGCAGCCTCAGGGAAGTCAGACTGCCTCCATGCCAGCACAGGGCTCCCGCATGGGTATTCCAGAGCTCAAGGCCGGACTTTCATTCCTTTTCATTGCCTTTCTGGCCCAGCCTTGGGAATTACAAAGTATCATTTTTACTGCATTCTGTTGGTTGTAAGAAAGTTCCATTTAATCACACATTGTGTATCTCAGCAACCTGAATCCTCGCTGACCTTGATATCCTAACCAGCTACTGGGGTTCCTTCGGACAGGACTAACTATGGGCTTCCTTTAACCAAGTGTTCCTGGGTTCTACTGGTTCTAGCTTACACTCAACTGCCATTGTAATTACCATGTTAATTAGCTGTTTAAGCCCTGCTGCTGGTCTGAAGGGAAAAAGCCCCCAAGCATCTTTCTATTATTTTTTTCACAGTCTTGCTCTGTCACCCAGGCTGGAGTGCAGTGGCACAATCTCAGCTCACTACAACCTCTACCTCCTGGTTCAAGAGATTCTCCCATCTCAGCCTCCCGAGTAGCTGAGATTACAGGCATATGCCACCACGCCTGGCTAATTTTTGTATTTTTAGTAGAAACAGGGTTTCACATGTTGGCAAGGCTGGTCTCAAACTCCTGACCTCAAGTGGTCTGCCTGCCTCAGCCTCCCAAAGTGCTGGGATTACAGGCATGAGCCACCACACCTGGCCAACCCCCCAAGTGTCTGATTTTCTATATGTCTAGTCTCAACTCTTTCTGCATTTATAAGTCCTAAGTTTCCGTATTTCCTCTCATTCTGTAAATAACTCTAAACTATTTTAAAAAGGAAATCATACTGCTTTAAGGCTTCATTTTTCCTGTAATTCATTCATTCAGTGTTACAGTCTCTGGATGAATATAAACTACTTTCTTAGAGGCCAGACACTTATTTCTTCCACACAGTTGGAAATCACATCAAGAAGTAAAGCACAAGCTTAAACAGACGTCTTCAGAGAGCCTCACGGCAAAGGATGTACAGGGGTCTAGCAAGAAATGGTCAATCAGAGCTTCTAAGTACAATATCACACTGTTTCCTGAGCTTCTTTTTCGAAAACAATTAAGTTTCCGACATAGTTTGGGCATGCAATTTGAATTTTTTCCCAGCATTTTGCAGGTCTTCAGTATCTTAAGTCATATTATTATTTTCCAAGTTCTTACATTTACCAATGTAAATTTTCCCATCAAGTACGTGATTAACTAGCTGGTTAGTATCTGAAGAATTATCTCAAGGTTGCATACTCAGCCCAGAGATTTCATCTCTCCACAGGGCAGCCATTACTCCCTCCACTTCTGCATTGTTCCTACCTCTGTGAATGAATCATTGTTCATCCAGCTATTTAGGCCTCACGCCCCAAGAAAATTATCTTCGATTTCTCTCTCACAACTCCAGTATTCTCATAGGCAAGTCTTCTGCCTATTTCAAATCTGAATGTTTCTGTCTCTACCACCTTAGTCCAAGTCACCATGCCCAACCTTACCTGGACCACTGCAAGTCTCCAAATTGCTCATACTCTTTCAATGTTTGCTCCACCTTAATCTATTCACACAGCAGCCAAAGGATTATTTTAAAATGCATACACCATATCTGTTGCTTACCATAATTTTAGGGCCTCAAATGATCTCTGTTTGCCTACCTCTGAAGTTCACCCCCTACCAATCCTCCTTCCTCACTAAGCTCTATCAACACTGGCCTTACAATTCCTAGACAAGTAGTTCATTCTTATCTCTAAGCCCCATGCACTCATTCCTTCTGCCTGGAACTTTTGCCTTGCACATTTCCCTCCTCACAGCTTGTTCTATCACTTGCTTCGGGCCTCTGCTCAAATATTGCCTTCTGTAGCCTTGACACTCCATTCAAAATACCAGCCGGGTGCAGTGGCTCATGCCTGTAATCCCAGCACTTTGGGAGGCCAAGGTGGGCAGATCACCTGAGGTCAGGAGTTCGAGACCAGCCTGGCCAACATGGTGAAACCCCGTATCTACTAAAAATACAAAAATTAGCTGAGTGTGGTCACGTGCGCCTGTAATCCCAGCTACCCAGGAGGCTGAGGCAGGAGAATCACTGGAACCCGGGAGGCAGAGGCTGCAGTGAGCCAAGATCGCACCACTGCACTCCAGCCTGAGTGACAAAGCAAGACTCCGTCTCAAACAAACAAAAAAAAAACAAAAAATACCAGTCCTCTCTGCTCTCTCAAATCCTTTCACTGCTTTTTTCAAAAGAATTAGCAGTCACTGAGATGATGTACGGTATTGCTTATGTCTAACTAGATTTCAAACTCCATGAGGACAGATTTAGTAGTATTTTAAGTACTGTGTGTAGTATTTTAAGTACTACAGTCTTCTCAGTGATTAAAACAGTCCCTAGCTCATGGCAGGAACTTAATCATTTTTTAATTAATTAATCTCTGCATTTTCAAACTGGAGAAAAATTAGGCAGAAGAAGTCCTGTTAAGCTTGCTGTAAGTAGTGAGTACACTCAGGCCACTTCTGTTTCCATGGATTCTATCCAGATGCCAATGCTAAAATTAATATGCTAACTACCAATATTATATACGCTTTAGAAAATTTCATTTGCTGACTCAAAGAAACAGCTTATTTACATCCACATTATTACTTTGCCAACCCTTAAATAACAAAACCTGTTCCTACAAATATTTTGATATATCTTCAAGTCCATGGGTATTTAGTTCAAGCCATGAAACGTTGGTAACTACACTTTTAGGACTGTAAATTTCAAACCAAGTTCTCCTGAAAATCCGAATTGTTTAAAGTAGAAGGCATCTATGTAGATGCCTAGCTAAGTCATAAATGTAACCAAAAAAGTATTGCCCCAGGACAAAGTTTATAAACATTTTCTCCCCCACGCCCCACATCTAGTTTGTACTCAGGAGAACTTTTAATCAGATATTCTAGATCACTTGGTTTTCATCAGTCCCCAACATTTCTAATCCAATTCATGACTACCAGCCAACACCTTTCTACACAGAATTTAATCATTTTGGTCTCATAAACAGCCCAGACATGAGGAAGACATGCCCCCCGGCCCCTGAAAAAAAAAAAAAAAAGCACTAGGAAATGGAAGAAATGAGACATGAAAACTTGGAAAATATTTAAGAAGGCAATTACTGAATCTTTAGTGTTGATTACTAATTTCAGTAACTATATTTTTTACACTTTGGTTTATGAAAACTCATCATATTTGTCACTTTAAGAATGATTTTAATCATTTCTACTCCCAAAGATTTGAGAAGGTAAGATTTAAGATCCAAGTAAGCCTTTCTTATTTTCTGGAACTTCCCTCAGTGATAGCTGCACTGATGACAAACTAGGGGTTGAAGAGTCACCTGTATGATGTATTTAGGTCACGATTCACAGAGGATCAATTTAGTCAATTACTTTCCCCAATTCACAAAAGCATGACCTTAATACATATAAATTGTTTTATTTTTAGAGGTTACACATGTTTTAAAAGAACAATTTCTTTTTATTCTTTCATTCTAATAATATTATCACTACTTAGAACATTAAAGGAAGATATTTTCATTTATGATAGTTGAAACCAAAACTTTGTGAGGCCAAAGCAATGAATAATCTTCAATTCAACAAGAGATGCTGGGATACCTGAGGATTATGTTTCCCGTTCTGTATTAAAGAGCACAACATTCAAAACTATAACAAAATTCAGACATTAGTTCCTTAGCTAATGGAAGTTTATGTATTTGGTATACTCTACTTCATTTTTAATTTGGAAAAGCACATGTTAAAAATACTTTTAATACAAAGGCATTATAAATGTAAATTTAAAAATCAGACTTTGTATGATCAGTGAGAAATGTTTAAAATATTCAGCACACACTTTCCTCTTCCTGGAAATTCTCAGATTAGAAAGCCCAAGTTTGTGAACTTCTCATTTGGCAACAAACCTCAATTTAAGAACTAAAGTGTCTTAAACTTCTTCTTCCACCAAAAACACAAACAAAATCCAGTTTTCCTCAGTAACTAGAGAACAGTCCCTGCTCTTAATATACTGCCCTTTTTCTGAAAATAGTTCAGTTTCATAAACATTTATTCTAATATTTATTGCTACTAATGTAAGGAATGCTTCTTGATATCCAATATGTTCTTTAAAAGTTTAGCATGAATCCTAGTATCAAACAAAGAATACGGGGAGCAATAAAATTCATGTTTTCTAAAATAAAAAGTTCATAAATATAATTTTTTACAATAACTATATTTAATCATTCTAAGCAGCACACTTTTTAACACCCCTAAATTAGGATGAGTCTTAGAATTGATGTCAGCTCACCATCAACTGCATGGCCTCAGGATCCTGGAGCCACCAGCTACTCTCCTGCTCCATGAGGATCCACCCTCCACTCCCAGTTTTTCCAGCCCTTCTCTCAGCCTGGTCTGCACAGTCCCTCTAGCCTGTGTCCTCTCAGCTAAGGACAAGCCTGAAGAGTGCCTGGACTGCAAACTGAGGGCTTTTAAAACAGGCAAGCATGCTGGAGGTCAGAGTGAAAAATTGTTACTATCCAGTTCTTATACTGGTTACAAGCTCTTGGTAGGGTGGACAAAGGACTAAGAAAAAGGCATGTGTAGAGAATTGGCAAAGCTTCAGTGCTCCGTACAAGTGTCTTACTGCCCTTGCACCCCACCCTCTGCAATGAGAAATCCCTCCCTTCATCCATTTTTGGTAACTATAGAATGTAATATCTGGAAAAGCAGAACTAAATATAATCAGGTGCTCAAACTTTTATTTTCTTACAAAATACTATAGAAATGAACCCAAACTAAACAGATATGTACATGTATATATGTACAAAATTTTATTTCTGAAAAAGAATCTATAAAAATAGATGGTATAAAAAAACTTAAAAAGATTTAAAACCAATACTATGAAATTGATTTTCTTTTCTTCCTTTTTTTTTTTTTTTGATTTTCTTAAAGTAATAGTAATCTTAAATTGCTGGTTGTAGTGGGTTTTCTAGGCTTATTTATACGTTTGATTGTGGTTGGATATATAAAGGAGTTTCTTTCAGAATACCTCCAGTCTCATTTTATTACATCAAAGAGTCCAGAATTTTTTTCCCTTCACAAATCCTTCAATATCAGGACAAGGCATGTTACGTTACAAATCAACTTTGGTCATCTTCTTCTTCTTGAGTCACAGGTCTGAAAGGCAATGTAGTTTGTCCTCTTTCGGGATCAGACATTCGGAGAATTCTTATCAGTTTACTTGATGGAAGTGAACTGGAAGAAGCAAAATCAATTACTCAAATTTCCAAGAAACCTTTTACCAGTTAAAAAAAATTCTAATATTACCTCACGAAAATATAAACCCAAATATTTGGCTATTATCTGGGATATGTCTAATATCTAGAGTTCTAGGAGAAACAACATTTGCAATAAGGAAATAATTTGTTTTCAATTTTAAAAATTAACTTCCTGCTAGATTCCATGGATTTTCAGTTTGGAGGAAAAGAAAATGAAAGAAATTTATATATCAACTATTTTAAATTTCTGTTATTTTCCAGCAAGGAAGAGTTACCTAAACATTCCCAACCACAAATTTATATCCCCGTATAATCACATGGCCACTTTAGAGACAGAATATCAACTCTAAGTGACATAGTGTCTGACACATTGTAGGCACCCAATAAATACTGACTGACAGCAGAGTAGAACTCTTTGTTTAGAAAGACTGACATTTGTAAGTCACCAAGAGAAAAGAGGCAAGATTAGGGAAATCATAAATCATTTTAGTCCAAACAGAATTACTAAAATTATATTACTTTAGTTTGTCATGATAACTACAAAGAAGCAGACTCAGAATAGTAACAATTTGCTTCAGTTATGAAAGGGAAGTAATACAAGTAAAATTTAAATATCTCGAAAAGAGAAAAACATCCCAAATCTCCCGAACTAGGAGGGGAGTTAATTTTTATTTTCATTGGTCTTGTATGTATTTGTATTTTAAAAATTAAAATTGTAAAATATTTCTTTCCCCCTTTTGTATACTTGATATGTATCTAGAAAGTTTAAAAAAGTTACCTCATGCTTTGAGGTGTAAGTAAGATAAACTGTCTAAAACGCTGGGAATCTGCCATCTTCAGTATCAAGTCCATGGCTATTCTCCTATTAACCATATCCTGAAAAACAAAGGCAAAAGTTAGGATTGCTACTGTGTAAGTCACATTTCTGTAAAAGCAGCATTCTGTGGGCTGATACAAGCTCCTGGATTTTCATCCAGGGATCAGTCATTACATTATCTATGATGTCCAATAAATCTATTATACTGGAAAAGAAATACCAGAAACCATTAGGAGAAAATTGGCTGGCTGCAGTGGCTCATGCTTGTACTCCCAGTGCTTTGAGAGGTGGAGGTGAGAGGATCAACTGAGGTCAGGAGTTCGAGACTAGCCTGGGCAAACATAGTGAGACCCTGTCTCTACCAAAAAAAAAAAAAAAAAGTTGGGCATGGTGGTGCATGTCTGTCATCCTAGTTACTTGGGAGGCTGAGGCAGGAGGATCACTTGAGCCCAGGAACTCAAGGGTATAGTACGCTATGATCACACCATTGCACTCTAGCCTGAATGACAAAGTGAAACCCCATCTCTAAGGGAAAAAAGAGAAACTCTTAGGGGACAATAACTGAATAAATATGTCTTTCAGGTAATTTCTATAGTCAAAATATTTGTATGCATGGCCCCCCTCCCTCAAATACGTGTAGCAATTGAAATAATCAGAAAATATTCTCCTGACACAAATAAATGTTTGAGAATAAATCTAATTTGCACAGTAATGGTTAATAACTCAGGGTAATGGTAACAAAAGTGGCTAGTCTCAAATTCATTAAGTCTCTCAAATTTTCCCTCAGTGATAAAGGTTAAGTTTTAAAAAGTCTGCCTCTCCCCATTACCTCTACCATTTGTACAATGTAAACCAGTTTGAACTTACAGATCAATTTCTCGATTGTATCTTTAAATAAGTTAAATAGCACATCAGGGTAGAGAAAAAGAATAATGCTTAGTTATAATAGGTTTGGGGATTAAATGATCTAGACCTGTGGCTACATTTTCTGAGTTAAATAACAGTAAAAGAAAATCAAAATGTTCCTCAACCACCTTGAAAATTCCTAAGAGTTGAAATCATTGACACATGAACACGTATATTTTAAAGGTCTTAATTTAAAACTATATGTGGTGCCGGGTGCAGCAGCTCATGCTTGTAATCCCAGCACTTTGGGAGATTGAGGCAGGTGGATCACTTGAGGCCAGGAGTTCGAGATCAGCCTGGCCAATATGGCAAAACCCAGTCTCTACAAAAAATACAAAAATTAGCCAGGCATGGTGGTGAGCACCTATAATCCCAGCTACTCAGGTGGCTGAGTCACAAGGATCACTTGAACCCAGGAGGCGGAGGTCGCAATGAGCTGAGATCATGCCACTGCACTCTAGCCTGGGTGACGGAACGAGACTATGTTCTGAAAAAAATAAGTAAATAAATCAAAAATAAAACTGTATGTGGCAATACAGCATGGTGATTTAGAACAAGGGCTGTGGAGTCAAAAGGGGATACAGATCCCGGCTATATTGCTCAATGGCTCTGATTATAAAAATTCCATCAGGCGTATCTGCTGTGAAGGCCTATTATTTTATAACAAAACTGCTAAAGTACCAAAAAAAAAAAATATTGTTTTCCTTGGATTAGCTCACAGAACTTGGGTACATTCTTCTGAATAATTTCATTGGGGCAAAGTGCCATTCTGATTAAGAAGCTCTAAGTTTTTGAAAGAGAAAGGCGCTGCTTAGAATTAAATCTGATATACAAGATGGGTGATAAGACTGCACAGCACCATTCTGGGCAAAAACACTGCTTGGAAAGAATAATCATCTTCTATGAGTCGTGATTAGCTCTAAAGACAATTCTTGGAGGAATATCTAACCCATTTTCAGCAATAGTATCGTAGAAAAAAATTGACACTGAAGGGATTATACAGCACTCACAAGTATAAATTCTGATTCATGAATACACACTTACTAAGTGTTTATTATAGACTAGGCATTAGGAGACATAAATATCTAAGACATAGCTGATAACCTCAAACTGGTTACAATCTGGTGGGGGATTCAGATATAAAAATAGATAACAACAGAATAAAAAATAGTATAAAATATATAATAATATAAAGCATTTTTATATTTTTATCTTAAATAAAAATATAAAAGTAATATATATTATGAGTTGATGTAAGGTGGTGCAAAGGAAGCTCTGAGAAGTTCCTCATCCTGCCTGACAGAGTATGGCGGTCACAGAAGTCTCATAAAAGTGGCATTTGAACAATGTCCTGAAAGATGAGTAGAGTGACATGTGATTAAGGAGGGTGTACTAGGCAGAGGCACCATATTTGCAGAGTTACAAACAGCTTAGAACAGCTGAGAAAAGTAGGCAAATACAGTATCATGAAGGGTCTCAAAGCTACCCTACAGAATTAAACATTTATTCCATATATAATAACCACCAAAGGGTTTTACATAGATGAATGACCACAATCAGATCCACTGTAGAAATGTAAACCTGCCAAAATGGTGGAAGATGGACCGAAGAAGGAGCCACATGAAAGCCTGGGAGTCCGGAGAAGAGGCTATCACCACAGGCACGAGGCGAAGAGAGGGGGATGAGAGGAAGAATGTCAGTGAGAAAGGAGAAGAGGGCAGAGACCAAACAGAGGTTTTAAAGGAGAAGAGGACAGAAGTCAGATTCTTCCTTGGACAAGGAAGAATCGAAGATAAATCACAGGTGTCAAAGGTAGGTGACTGCGTTGGAAATGATAGTTTGCATTAATCAAGGTAGGGAATTCAGGCAAAGAAAGAGGCTTTGAGATGAAGGCACATTCAACCTCAGGCCTGCTGAATTTCTGATACTGGTTGTTTACCAGGTGATGTCTAACAGGTAGTAGGGCACCTGGGTCTAGAGTACAGGAGGGTACAGGATGTGGTGCCATGAGTGGGTAGGTATCTGTCCATACGCAGGTAGTAGTTTTGGGGACTGTGATATGTGTATATGTGTAGGGGGAAGTAAGATATGGAATTCAGGAAAATCAATAACACTATAACGAGCAAACAAAGATGTCAAACATTTAAGGGCACCAGAATTAGGGGAGGCAGCGTAGCAGATTAAGAACAAAGAATAGAAAAACAGGAAAACCAGGAAAGAGAGGGCGGCAGCTGGTAAGAAGACACATTTTAAGGTATGGAGGATAGGTCTGTGGTGTCAAATACTTCAAAAAATAAGGTAAGATTAAAGCTCATTTATAACCTTTGCTAAACAAGTTTTGCTAGAGTAGTGTCATCTACATCCAGATTACAGTAGATTTAGGAAACAATGAGATATGAAGAAGAAAATAATTGCTAGTTTATGAGAACTTACTATATGCCTGAACCACAGTAAGTATAATGTATGAAAGATACCATTTGAGCCTCAGTCTAACCCTGAGAGGTAGGAATTAGTAATAATATTGTTTTGTAGATGAAGAAACTGAGACCCAATAAGTAGAGATATTTTACCTGTCAGAGGTAGGTCTCAAATCCTATGCTTTTTAACCAGAAATTCAAAAGTTCTTGCTCCCTTATGTTCTATACATTGTTCTGAAATGTGCGGGTATGATGGAACAGTAAACAGTGGCTAGGGTGAGTCAAAGCCAGGGTGGTGAACTGGTTACAATTTTGTATTAAAACAAAAAGCCTGAATATATTTATGGGTTGATGAAAATAAGCTGGGAGAGCGGGTGAGGGAGAAAACGCCGATATGATGGAGGGCACGGATATCCATGCTGGGCGAGGAGGACCCCTCCGGGGTTTCTAGGGGTACTGTGTGCCTGGAAGCAAGGGAGAGAATTCCAGTTCTTTAGTTCTTCCCCACTACTGGTCACAGACTAAAAAGTCAGGGCAGGATCTTTTCTGTTAGGGGTAAAAGTAAAGAAAGATTTCCTTCCTTTAGAAACACATGTTTCAAACAAACAAACAGATGAAAAACAATTTAAAATTGAACAATACCATGTAGACATCAAACTCATCCAGGCATCTGAAAGGAGATTCCGCGATGGACCATAGGGAAAGAATAAAACACACGGTGGAGAAAGAACGTTCGCCTCCAGACAAGGCTCTCATGTCATTGAAGGCAGCTTTATTTCCTTCTCCAGGCTGAACCTTGAAGAGAATGAGTTGACAAGGAACAAAAAACTAAGTAAATGAAAGGCCAGATTAAATTTTTTACAATACAAATAATAGATTTACAGTAAAAAGGAGATGAGAATAAAATGACTTAGTGATTTGAAAATATCCATTCCATTCAAAATATTTTACAGTAAAACAGTTACACATAATGGTATTTCTTGCTCTACTGCAAGAGAATAAAACTGAAAACTTTTTTCACCATAACTGAATCTAACATACCAAAATTCCAAAGGCTTAATAATTTAAAAAATGTTAATAAATGTTGTGATCGTGGCTCACTGCAACCTCTGTCTCCCAGGCTCAAGCGATCCTCTCACCTCAGCCTCCCAAGAAGTTGGGACCACAGGAGTATGCCACCATGGCCAGCTACTGTTTGTATTTTTTTTTGGGTGGAGATGAGGTTTCCCCATGTTTCCCAGGCTGGTCTCAAACTCCTAGGTTCAAGCAATCCTCCCGTCTCAGCCTCCCAAAGTGCTGGGATTACAGGTTTAAGCCACCACACCGGGCCCTGAAACTTAAGCTTCAAACATTTAAAAGTGCTGAGATTTTTTGTTACTTGAATTATAGTGACACCTAGTGGTTCAGCTGCATTAAAAGTAATTACTGAATGTCAAAAGGACAGAACCAACTTTAAAAAGCTTACTTACACTGGCCGAAGAAATGTATTGAAATACATCTTTTAAAAGATTTAAAGGACCAGGTGCTCACGCCTGTAATCCCAGCACTTTTGGAGGCCGAGGTAGGTGGATCATGAGGTCAGGAGATCGAGACCATCCTGGCTAACATGACGGAACTCCGTTTCTACTGAAAATACAAAAAATTAGCTGGGCGTGGTGGCGGGCGCCTGTGGTCCCAGCTACTCTGGAGGCTGAGGCAGGAAAATGGCGTGAACCCGGGGGGGGGGGGTTGCAAGTGGGGCGAGATCGTCCCCCGCCACTCCAGCCGGGGAAAGAGCTAAGTTTCAAAAAAAAAAAAAAAAAAAGATTTAAAGGATTGCTTGAACCTAGGAGTTCAAGACTAGCCTGAGAAACATGGGGAAACTTCATCTCCACCAAAAAAAAAAAAAAAAAAAAAAAAGTACAAAAATTAGCTGGCCGTGGTGGCACAGTCCTGTGGTCCCAACTACTTGGGAGGCTGAGGTGGGAGGATCGCTTGAGCCTGGGAGGCAGAGGTTGCAGTGAGCCAAGATCACACCATTGCACTCCAGCCTGGTCGACAGAGTGAGACCTTGTCTCAAAAAAAAGAAAATGTATTTCTTTTGTATTGTATTTCTTATAAATTCTAAATAAAATCTTTTAAAATTTAAATAATTTTAAATTTTTTTAAAATCTAAAATCTTTTAAAAATTCTTTACTAAATAAGGGCCTATGAAAACAATAAGAAAGCAACTAATAAAATTAACAGCAAATCGTTCACATAATTTCCTGAGAAGATAATATACAATAACATTAGGAAGGGTTCTATTTTTTTTGACAAAATTCCAGATATACGTATATGCATACAAGGTGAAAAAAGAGAAACAACTAGTTTCATATCAATAGCAGACATATAACTTCCTATATTTTTTAATTCACTATTTGAAAAATGATACAGCTCTCAAGTGAGCATTCATTTATTTTTTAATATTAACATTATGAATATTCTAAGGTAAAAATTCCAATTCTAAACATACTCTAAAATTTTACATCTATCATAAGTCTGAACAAACCAAACCAACAATCAACCAAATAAAAATTCCCATATAAAAGCAAGGACTAAACACCAAGATGCAATCTTGCCCCAAAACCGTACTTTGCACCAATTTAATAAATGAAGCCCTAGGTAAATCTGGGGGATCTAGCTTTTACCCTCTCATCTATTACTAACATATCATGGAACTTCAGTGTCACTTTCCTTATTAGTAAAATGAAGGCCACATAAGTTAAAGATTCATCTGATATTCTTTTGAACAACAGAGATGACAACATCAGAAAGTCTAGCTTGAGTTGTTTTGTATAGTTAGCTCTGGAGATAAATTATTCAAGTACTTCTAACACTTTCCTTTTTCTCCATTTTTTATTACAGTAATAGTTTTTATAGAGTAAACAGCACAAAAACGTAGAACTCAATTTTTACATGAATACATACACACACCTGGGTAACCACTACTGAGATGAAGACACAAGAATATTCCCAGCATCTAAGCAAACTATTTGTATCATACTACCATCCCTGAAAAGGTAACTTTTATTCTGATTTTAATCCCCCAAAATCAATCTTAACAGTTTCTGAACTTCATATGTAGATGTTACATATACTCTTTTGTATATACACTTCATATTTATATACACTATGTACACCCTTGTAACTGGCTTCTTTCACTCACCATTGTCAGATCATCTATGGTGTGTGTAACAGCAGTTTGTTATTTTCATTACTGAACAGCATGTCACTGTTTGAATATACCCAACTTTATCCATTTGACTCTAGGTAAACACTGGGTTGCTCAGTTTTGGGCTATGATAAGTAAAACTTCTTTGAACACTTTCAAATATATCTGTTTGAGAAAATAAGCACTGACTTTTTCTTGGGTTTATGCCCAAGAATGGAACTGCTTTAACAGACATTGATAGAGAGGTTTCCAAATTAGTTTTACCAAGTTATACTCCCACAAGCAATATATGAGAGCTGCAATTCCACATCCTCACCAACACACGACATTGCCAGTCTTGTTCATTTTCATCATCATAATAAGGGTGTGACAGTAACTTACTGTGGTATAAATAATATTTCTCTGATGACTAACGACACTTTTTCATGTGTTTACTCACCATTTAGATATTTAAAAGTGGTTTCTGTTTAAGTCTTTTGACCATTTTAAAGAGACATCAGTCTCTTTCTTACTACTTATTATTTTAAAATTCTAGATAAGTCCTTTGTTGCATGTATGCATCATAAATCTTATCCTAGTCTGTAGCTTCTTTTATCACTTGTTTAATGTTACTTTTTTATGAAGAGAAGTTCTTAATTTTAATAAAGTCCAAATTATCCATCTTTTCTTTTCAGTAGGTTGCTTTTTGTGTCACCCATTCAAAAAATCTCAAAAAAACATGAAGACATTCTCTTCCTCTAGAAGCTTTATTGTTTTAAATTTAGGTCTATGATCAACTTCTAAATTAGTTTTTTTACATAAAGTTAGGGGGTCAAACTTTGCTTACTATGTATTTTTTTTTTTTTTAATTTTTAATTTTTTTTTTTTTTGAGACAGTTTTGCTCTTGTTGCCCAGGCTGGAGTGTAATAGTGTGATCTCGGTTCACCGCAACCTCCGCCTCCCAGGTTTGAGTGATTTTCCTGCCTCAGCCTCCTGAGTAGCTGGGATTACAGGCATGCGCCACCCTGCCCAGCTAATTTTGTATTTTTAGTAGAGATGGGGCTTCTCCATGTTGGTCAGGCTGGTCTCAAACTCCCGACCTCAGATGATCCACCCGCCTTAGCCTCCCAAAGTGCTGGGATTACACGCCCGGCCGCTTACTGTTTATTTTACCAAAAGGATATCCAACAATTTGAATCTCACACCATTCATGAGAAGACCACCCTCTTTCACAGGCTTGCAGTGGAGTCTTGTCATTACATATATATATGACTTATGTGTGTAGGTAAGGTCTTCCTCAGGTGTCTATTCTGTTTCATTGTTATTGTCCATTTGCTTTCTACTATCCAACTTCTGCTTTTATCATTGTATCCTTCTCTCTACTTGAATTTATAATGGATTTTTTTTCCTTTTAGCATCCTGAGATAGAACTTAGATCATTAATGTTCAGCCTTCCATTTTTACTAATATATATATTTAGAGTTATAAATTCCCTTCTGAGAAATCCTATGGCTGTATCATACAAGTTTTGATGTTTTCTTTTTATTGTTGTTTGATTCAAATTTATCTTCTAATTTCTATTTGATTTCTTTTTTGACCTACAGATTATAGAGAAATGTGCTGCCTAATTTTCTAACATTCATTACGTTTTAAGGTTACCTTTCTGTTATTTCTAATTTCATTCCACTTTACAACATATTCTGTATGACATCAATCCTTTGAAATTTGTTGAGATTTGCATTATAGCCAGGAAATGGTCTATTTTGGTAAATGTTCCACATGTACTTCAAAACAATATACAATCTAGGGTAGTTTGGCACAATGTTCTATAGTTCTACCAATTATGTGAATTTGGTTGTGTAATTTAAATCTTATATTGCCTTACTGACTTTTAATCTGATTGTTCTATCCATTACTGAGAAAAGTTTATTAACATTTCCAACTATAACTGTCAATTCTTTTACTTTGCCTTTTAGTTCTCCCAATTTTTATGTATTTTGAAGCTATGTTATTAGGTACATACAAATTAAAATTTTTTTTAAATAACTTTTATAACTACGAAGTGGCCCTTTTGGCTTCTAGTAATATTTCTTGCATAAAGTCTATTTTGTTATTATTATAGCTTAACCAGCTTTCCTTTGGCTAATGTTTTCATGGTGTATCTTTTACCATATTTTACTTAGGATCTTCTCTGTCCTTATGTTAATATTTAAGGTGTATTTTGATAAACAGCATATAGTTAGTTTTTTTCTATTCAGCCTGTTTTTGATTTAATAATTTAGTGCACTTACACTTAATGTAATTACTGATGTATCTATATTTGAGTCATGCATCTCCTTCCAATTTGTTCCACATGTTCTTTATTTCTCTTCCCTTTTTGCCTTCATTTAATTGAGTATTTTTGCTTTCCATTCCTTTTATTTGGTCTCTGTGAGCTTTAAAATTATACATTCTTTTAAAATTCAGTGGTTACTCTAGAGATTGCAATATGTATCGCTGATGTATTAGTTTATCTTAAATTAGTATTGGTATTACTTCCTGAAAGGTACAAGAACCTTACAACAGTTTAGAACTCCATGTACTTCTATTCCCTTTTGGTGCTATTGTCATACATTTGACTTTTACAGCTTCTAAGCCCCTCAAGACTTGAGTGTCTATTCAACGATATTATTATTGTTGATTTAGACAGCTGAAACTGTTTTGTATTTACCCACAGATTTACCTTTTGCATTCCTCTCTGTTCCTTCTGCAGTTCCATGTTTCCATCCATGTTTCTTTCATCTGAAGATGTTCTCTAGTATTTCTTGTGGGCCAAGCATACTGAAGAATAATTATTTCAGCTTTTGTCTGTCTGAAAACTAAGATGTTTCATCTTCATTTTTGAAAAGTTTTGCTAGTTATTGAATTCTAGATATCAGTTTTTAAAAACAATTCTGCTAGCACTTTAAAGTCTGTCAGGTAACGTTTACTTTCCACAATTTCTATTAAAAAGTCTGCCTTCGGTTTTATTGTTGCTCTTTGAAAACTAACGCATATTTTCTCTCTTGCTACTTGTAAGGTTACCTCTTTGTTTTTGGTTTTCAGCTATTTGACTATCCTATAGATTTTAAGTGTGGTTTTCTTTATATTTACCTCACTTATAGGTTGCTGAGGTTTCTTAATCTAGATTGATGTATTTCAGTTTTGAAAATTCTCAAACATTATCTCTTCAAATATTCTTTCTGCTCATTCTTTGTTCTATCCTATAGGGACTCCAATTATGTTAAACTTGCTGGTTGTGCTCCTCATATCTCAAACTCTGTTCAGTGTTTTCTGTTTTTATGCTGTTCAATTTAGACATTTCCCTTTGACCTGCCTTGATTTGTTAATTTTGTCTTCTGTTGTGTCCAGTTGGCTGTTAAATTCATCCAATGGGTTCTTAATTTCAGATATTACGCTTTTCAGTTTTAGAATGTTCTTGTAGCTTCCAATTCTGTATTGAAATTGTGGATTCCAATTCAATGTTCAATCTGTTTTGTCCATTTTGTTTACAATTAACTCTATGTTCTTTAACAAATTAATCATGGTTAAAAATATTAGTCTGCTTTCTCTTGTAACTATCACCTGGTGGTCTGGTTCTATTTTCTACTTAAAAAAAAATTATCAGTCACCTTTCCATGCTTCTTCATATATGTGGTAATTTTTACAGCTTTAAAGTATAAATGAAATATAATAAACCTCATATATTTAAAGTGTACAATTTGATAAGTCCTCCAATTTTATTCTTCCTTTTCAAAGTTGTTTTGGCTAGTTTAGGCCCTTTGCATTTCTATATGAATTTTAGGATCAGCTTGCCAATTTCTACAAAAACGTCTGCTGGCATTTTAATGAAAACTGAGTCGAGTCAGTCTGTAGATCAATTTGGGAAGAACTTACTTCTTAATAATACTGAGTCTTCTGATCTAGCAACACCCTGTGTCTCTCCATTTATTTAGGTCTTCTTTAGCTTCTCAGCATCTATTTTAGTAGTTTTCAGTATACAGGTCTTGAATATCTTCTGGCAGATTTTTCCCTAGGTAGTTTATATTTTTGATGCTAATATAAATAGTATTTTTTAAAATTTCAATTTCTAATCATTTGGTGCAAGTATATAGAATTGTAATTCATTTTTGCATACTGATTATGTCTGCAACCTTGCTAGTTATAACTTCAACTAGTTCTAGTAGCTCTTTTTGTAGATTCCATCAGATTTTCTGCAGAGATAACCATATTGTTTGTGGATCAAAAGAATTTTACTTCTTCTGTTCCAATATACACGTCTTAGTTCTTTTTCTGGGCTAACTGCACTGGTTAAAACCTTTAGTTCTACTTCTGAATATAAATGGTGAACGTGGACAGAACTGCTTTCTTCCTGATCTTAGGGTGTAGGCACTCAGTCTTTATTATCTTATGCTTGATATTTTGTGTAAAAGATCAATGGTGCCTCCAAATGTACAATATTTCACTAAAGAGGGGCCCCCTTTCCTTATATTAGGCTTCAGGTATGATAGGGCTCACAGTCAATAAGGGAGAAAGCTGGGTTGGGCATAAATTGCAATTTTCCTAAGACTTAGTCCACTTTTCATTCATAACTGTTCCTTGGGCCAACTGTGCACAACATCAGAACTAAGGAATTGACTGACTGAAATATTAGTTAGGTGCCTAGCAGTTCCCTTCCCAAGTTTCTACTGTTTTGTCAGTCCTCCTCCTCCTCCCTCCTCCTAGTACTAGACTACTGAAAGCCCAGAATCAGCAAACGCTCCCAGGAAAGAAAATGTCCAGCAATTGTCAGCTTACCTTGGACAGGCTCCCCTATCCCTTGGAATTCCAATTTGTCTAGTCATTACTCTTTAGACAGCTTTCCAACGTCTTTTTAAAAATAAAAGTTTTGTAATTTCCCTGGCTTTTTTATAGTCTGCAGTGAGAACAATAAACTACCATGACATACTACCTTCCCTATCAATAATCACAATTCTTCTCAATACTTTCAATTTGTATCTTTAATAATTGGGTCTTTTAAAAACCAAAGGTGGGTAAAGAGGAGTTACCCATGATCTAGCAGTAGAAATTAAAGAGAGAGTAAAAGTTAACTTTCTAATATGGTTAAAATGCAAAGCTTTGAAACAAAAAAGATGTTCCAAAAATTTAACATTTATTCTAAGTACTAAAATGAAAGGATAAGATTTATGGTAACTAACAGCAGTAGGTAATTATTTGAAAATTCTGCCCCAGAACATTTAGAGTGGGTAGTTGTTCCTGGCCTCCTGACTATACATTTTTTTAATGCCATATCTCAATATTCCCTTTTAACACACGACTATGAAAGAACCCATAAAATCAAGTTGAACACGGTAGCTTTTTTTACTCAAAAGTGGCCAGATCTAGGGACAACTTCAGAAGTAAAGAGTAAAAACACAATTAAGTGGGGAAGAACCTTCTTTGCTTCCTTATAGGAGACTGGAGACTATGTACTTTCCATAAAGTCCCGAATAATTTAAAATGCTGTATAAATTTTAAAAGGAAACTAGTGGAGTAGAAAGACAAGGTAAATACTTGTCACTGAAAAAAAATTCCCAATTATCACCCTAAGAAAATAACGTGTTTGTCTACAAATAAAATCTACGCTGGGAGCTTTATTTAGTAAGATCAATTTATATTCAACACGTTGGCAAAGACCATCCTTAAGTTAAAAATCAAAGACAACAGGTTAAAGTTTATCAATGTTTTATCAAAAGAAAAGCAGCAGGCTAGGCATGGTGGCTCACACCGATAATCCTAGCACTTTGGAAGGCCAAGGCAGGAGAACTGCTTGAGGCCAGGAGTTTAAGACCAGCTTGGGCAACATAGTGAGACGTTGTCTATACAGAAAAAAAAAAAAAAAAAAAAAATAGCTGGGCATGGTGGCATGCACCTATAGTCCTAGCTACTTGGGAGGCTGAGGCAGGTGGGTCACTTGAGCCCATGCAAGGTTACAGTGAGCTATGATCGTACCACTGCACTCCAGCCTGGGAAACAGAGTAAGACTCTGCCTCTAAAAAATACCCAACAAAAATAGAAAAGAAAAGAAATAACTAGTTTTTCTAATGATTAGGATGAAAAGAATTAAGATACTTACTGATATACTTAGAGTTTCATTCTTGTGGTCAAAATTCATTTTTCCACAATAGGCCCGCTGAGATAGTAAGTTGTCAAAGTACAATTTGCATCGTAAAGTCAAACACCTTGAAATTTAAAAATTAGGCACATTAATAAGAGGGCAAAGGTTTTTTAAAACTATATTCAGCATGATCTAAGCATGTTAGAAAACCAGATGGAAATATGCCAAAATGTAAACATTGGTTACTCACTTACTAGTTGAGTTTTAGGTAATATTTTTTCCCTTGTGTCTTTATATTCATTTATGTCCCTACATTTTCACCAGTTCATTTACTTTTATAATAAAAAAAATTAATGAAATGAATTAAAGAGTCATCTCCATTTAACACATTATACCATAGTCAGTGCTTAGGAATATATCAGTCATTCAACTAATTAATAATCTAAGGCATTACCCTAATACATTACAAAGATATTTTGTCCTTGAGAGGATTAACTCTAATGGTGACAAGATAAATGGACAAAATATCTATTTATTTTGCCTCCTTCCAATTTCACAGTAGCAAAAAAGCTAAGGGCACTCTCTTAAGCACTGGGTACCTCTAATGCCTTACACTTTGCTTGGCACAATGCAAACTCTATCTTTCCTTCTCTACATATTAGATGGCATTTTACTGTAAGGAACTTTCCCTTCTTCCTCAATTCTTTATTTCCTTATCTAACTTTCTATGTATCAGAATAGATTAGGGAGTCTTATTCATTGGCTTTATTTTTACATTGTTCACACCATCTATTACTATACTTATTGAGATCCTCAAACTGTCCTAGATTTTTCCAGTGGGCACCCCCTTCGAGCTGGATCATGTGTCCTTTTATCATGACTCCCCTTTTTTTTTTGAGCCCCTCCTTCCTTTCTGCCATAGCATGAGGTACATCTGTACCTTCCCTGCCCAGCTCTGGAATCCGCCATTTCTCCATGGAGCCCCGGTTCCTTTTAGCGGGGAATGGTATTTAGAAAATAAGATCTGTGTGGTAAGTCACTGGCCGTGGTTTCATAACATCTTTGCTCCCTAGTAAGCCTAAAGCTCACTTCTCTGGTACTCTTTTCCTTCCTATTTCCCTTCCTGAACTGCATTAAATTCCCACACTAGAAATCACTGATAGCCTGAGTTTCCTTCTGCTGCCACAGCAACCACTGCTAGCTGGTTTTCAGAGTTTTCTATTAACTTTTCTTTCAATACAGATATGTATTCATTTATTGCTCCATTCATGGGATGTCTAAAAGATACTGTTGTCATAAAATGGCAAAGTTCTGGCTGGGCACTGTGGCTGTAATCCCAGCACTTTGGGAGGCCGAGGTGGGCGGATCACAAGGTCAGGATATCGAGACCATCCTGCCTAACACGGTGAAACCCCATCTCTACTAAAAATAAAAAAAATAAGCCTGGCGTAGTGGCGGGCGCCTGTAGTCCCAGCTCCTCGGGAGGCTGAGGCAGGAGAATGGCGTGAACCTGGGAGGCAGAGCTTGCAGTGAGCCGAGATCGAGCCACTGCACTCCAGTCTTCACGACAGAACGAGACTCCGTCTCAAAAAAAAAAAATGGCAAAGTTCTCCAGAGTAAAGACATAACAATTTTAAAAATTAGGTCGTTTTTACTCCCCTCCTAAGACTGAGTACTGAGTAAACAATATGAAATATGTCAGTGGTGAAGAATCATATGAAGGTAATACAGGCATACTTCAGAAATACTGCAGGTTCAGTTCCAGACTACCACAAAAAGAAGCGAATATTGCAATAAAGTGAGTCACACACATTTTTTGGTTTCCCACTGCATACAAAAGTTTTGTTTACACTATTGTTGATATTTTGACTTCCTCCCATGAATCATAAATGTTCTTAATGGTATCTAGAATGATGAGTCCTTTCCAGAAGGTTTTCAATTTACTTTGCTCAGATCTATTGAGGAATCACTATGTACAGCAGCTACGGTGTTACAAAATAGATTTCTTAAATAAAAGACTTGAGAGTTAAAATTACTCCTTGATCTATGGGTTACAGAATGGATGTTAGTAGGCATGAAAACAACATTAATCTTCTTGTATATCATATCAGCTCTTGGGTGACCAGGTGCACTGTCAACGAGCAGTAACATTTTCAAAGAAATATTTCTGAGCTGTAGGACTCAACAGTGGGCTTCAAATATTCAGTAATGCATGATGCTATAAACAAATGTGCTCTCATCAGGCTTTGTTTTTCCATTTGTACAGCACATGCAAAGTAGATTGCACAATTCTTAAGGGTCCTAGGATTTTCAGAATGGTAAATAAACATTGGCTTAAAGTCATTAGCTTCATTTGCCTCTAATAAGAGATTTGGCCTGTCCTGTGAAGCCGGGCATTGACTTCTCCTTTCCAGCTATGAAAGTCCTAGATGGTATCTTCTAATACAAGGCTGTTTTGTCTGTGTTGAAAATCCATTGTTTAGTGTAGCCACTTTCATCAGTTATCTTAGTCAGATCTTCTGGATAATGTGCAGCTTCTACATCAGTGCTTGCTGTTTCACCTTGCACTTCTATATTACAAAGATGGCCTCTTTCCTTCAACCTCATGAACAAACCTCTGCTAGTGTCATACTCTTCTTCTGCAGCTTCCTCACCTCTCTCAGCCTTCATCGAATTGGACAGTTAGGGCATTGCTCTGGATTAGGTTTTGACTTAAGGGAATGTTACAGTTGCTTTGATCTTCTATACAGACCACTGAAACTTCCTTCATATCAACAATAAGGCTGTCTAATTTTCTTATCATTAGTGTGTTCACTGGAATAGCACTTTTAATTTCCTTCAAGAAATTTTCCTTTGCATTTACAACTTGGCTAACTGGCACAAGAGGCCTAGCTTTTGGCTTATCTTGGCTTTTGACATACCTTCCTCACTAAGCTTAATCATTTCTAGCTTTTGATTTAAAGTGACAGAAATCCTACTCTTCCTTTCACTTGGACACTCAGAGGTCACTGTAAGGCTATTAACTAGCCTAATTTCAATATTGTTGTGTCTCAGGGAATAGGGAGGCCCAAGGGGACAGAGAGAGATGAGGGAATGAATGGCCAGTCAGTGGAGCAGGAAGAACACACACAACATTTGTTAAGTTTGCTGTCTTATATGGGCACCGTTTGTGGCACCCGAAAACAATTTCAACAGTAACAAAGATCACTGATGACAGATCACTACAACAGATTAGTAATAACGAAAAAGTCTGAAATATTGCAAAAATTAAACAAAATATGACACACAGACATTAAGTGATCATACACTGTTGGATAAATGGTGCTGACAGACTTGGTTGAAGCAGGCTTGCCCTGAACCTTCAATTTGTAAAAAATGCAACATTTGTGAAGTGCAATAAAGTGAACTGCAGTAAAATGAGGTATGCCTGTAAACTCTAAGACCAGTACTTTGCAAAAAACCTTTTAAATACAAATTTCTGAGTAATGATATAAAAATAAATCCTACTGCATCTGGAACAGATTTATGTAGTAATAGAGATTGGGTTTATTCTTCTGCCTGAAACTAAAAAACGAGACAAAATACATAAAACAAGCGTTTTCAGACTCTGGCTATCTTCAGGCTCCACATTTAATTCTAGTTCTCTTGCCACTTCCACCACATCTGCAGTCACTTCCTCCACTGAATCCCTCAAAGACATCCAAGGGGGTTGCAATTAACTTCTTCCAACCCCCTAGAACAGGCAGTTCTAGTCAAATGATCTCTGAAAGATAGGAAACAAACACTGAACCCTACCAATGCCCCACATTGCTCTTCACCGAAAGAGGACAAGGGAGTAGAAACCAAAGTAGAGCTGTTGCTCTTGTTTGAGGAGCTGGAGCTGGGAGTCTGGGGAGGCAAAATAAACTTCAGAGGATCTACAAAGGGTTCTGTTCCAGTCTTGAGCTGAGTACTGGTCAGTGCATAGGTTTGAGGACACCATTTGAGGCTGGGAAAAGAAATATCCAAAGGAAATAGAAGTAATTCTGACAGCTCACACATGACCAGGAATAGTTCATGCTCTTATTGGCTACAGTGAAGACCTCGTGATTCACAAAGTATCGGTAGAGTACTTAGAATAGCACTGCCTCAGAGGTAGGAAAAAATTAGCCCACAACCAATGGCTGCTCTAATCTCATCTAACAAGGCTTAAAAGTAGCCTCAAAAGGGTATAAATGGGTCCTATTTAATTCAAGTCCTACTAATATGCCTGTAAAACCGAAAAAGGAATTTCAAAAACTAACCTATGGTTTCACTAAGGAATATAAGAGCTAGGTACAGTTTTTTTTTTTTTAATTTGTACAGGCTTAAGATGGTAGAATTTTTGGTGTAAAGACAGTTTTAAAAAGCATATTACTGAGGGAATTTGCCTGGAGAAAAACAGAGGCAAATGGAAGGACTAGGGCTGTCTCGGATTCATGTACATTAAAGTGCCGTTCCTCCCTATCAACTATCCTCTGTTTATTTCCGTCACTTGTTATCAGTTGGAGTCAATGTATCTCTGTGAGTCTGTACATCTCTGGATATGCTAATATCCAGTTTCCCTAATTCTGTATTCATTTATCCAACCAATGTATATTGGTATGTATCAGGTATGGTTATAGAAACTAGAGATACAGCAGTAAACAAAACAGAGTTTCTGCATTCATGGAGCTACGTCATTCTAGTAGATTACGGTAAATCAACTGAGGTATTACCTTTAAAGTTCCTACCAAATGCTTGTATCCATTAAAACCATGCAATAGCCAAGGGTAAAATAGGCTATTTTAGAACCAATGAGTTCCCTTTCAAAGGATCTATTTAGGCATAAAGGACCTATTAAGCATAAACAATATCTAACAGAGTGGAACAGTTGGATAAGCTCACTATAAAGAGTCTTGCAGATTCAGAATTGTCTGATTAAATTAGAGAATCCTAAGAACTGAATAACAAAGCAAGCATTAATAGTCTTTGCTATAACAGAATTATATAAATAATGTGAAAACAGAGAAACACAAAAATGTACAATACATAGTAATGTTTTCCAATGTACTTACCTTCTAAATTGTTGATATGTTTTGAATCTGTGGTCCATGATTTCTCCCAATAATTTAATAAACTTTTTTAAAGTCCTTACTTTATTATCTAGATCAAGATAGGTCTCTCTTGCTTCTTGGTACTGCCTATTATATAAACAAAATATTACGTAAGAAATATGCCACACGTAAAAAACGTAAGAGTAGAATCTGAAACAGATTTAACTGGGAAGAATAGGGAGGGGCAGAGAGTACTAAGGGGACCTAGCAGCAGTCAATTTCATAAATTTCCAGTTAAATTACACTCCCAGAATGAAAGGGTGGTACAGAATGAGAGAGTACTACCCGGACAGGGAAGGAACAAGGTCCAAGCCCTACAGGAGGCAGAGACAGTGTGTGAACAAATACCCTGGTGGGGCCTAGAGGCAGCAGATCTTAGAGAATGCCAGCAAATACACACCTTCAAAAAGGGAAGGGGTCACACTGGAAGAAAGGTTTCCTTCAGTAATGCCTTCAGATGCCAATAAAAGAAAAAAAGAACTCAAGCCAGCATTAGAATCCACCCTCCCCTGTCCTAAACAAGGTAAGATCAAAGAGGCAGAGATGGCATGGCTACTCAAAGTGCTATTACAAAAGGCAACAGCCTATTACTGTGGCAAGCCTATAATTGAATTAGCATGAAAGGCAATGCTGGTTGAGGCTCCCACAGCTACCCTTCCCATTCTCCTTCAAATAACTGGTCCAGAAAAATTCAACTAATTAAAAAAATAAGTAACAAAAAACGCTGGCACAGCATCCAGATATTTATGGGGAAAATATGAAGAACAGCAAAACTCCCCTATAGACAAAGAAAACTTATTAGAACAGTGTTGCCACAAAGCAGATGAAAATTATAATTGAACATCATAAATTAAAACAAAAGACGCCAGGTATATTGGCTCATGCCTATAATCCCAGCACTTTGGGAGGCCAAGGTGAGAGGATTGTTTGAGCCCAGGAATTAGAGACCAGCTTGGACAATATAGCGAGACTCTATCTCCACAAATAATAAAATAAAAATTAGCCAGGTGTGGTGGCATGTGCCTGTGGTCTCAGCTACTCAGGAGGGTGAGGCACAGGATCACCTGAACCCAGAAGTTCAAGGCTGCAGTGAGCCATGATTGTACCACTGCACTTCAGCCTGGGTGACAGAGCAAGAGCCTGTCTTAAAGAATAAAAACAAACAAACACAAACATCAGACAAGTGCTCCCAGGAAGGAATACCTCAAAGCAGACAAAAGAACTGAAAGAACAGATAAACAAAAGGAGGTAATAATCAGACAAGAGGAGTAGGTAAAGCAAGAGAATCCACAGACAGGAAGGTAGGAGGGCTAGAACCTCCTCCTAAAAAGAACACACACAGATATGAAGACAAAATGAGAAGACGCATAGGAGAAAAGAGAAACGTGGAAAACACATAGATGGAAAAAAAACATAAATGAGAAAATCAAGCAAAATGAAAAAAAAAACAGACAAAAGGGTTAGACAAAATGATAACTAGAGAAGATATAGATATCCAACATTATAACTAAAGGCCTCAAACAAAACCAAAACAATGAAACAAAATATTTTAAAGTAAAATTCAACAAAATTTTTAAGAACTAAAAGACTTAAATCTAAATATTGAAAAAGCAATGTTTAACAATGAAAGAATCACTGAATTCTAACATTCTGGACAAGTTACAGGACATAATAGACAAGCACCAACATAAACAAGATGCTCAGGAGAAAAAGTATGAGCTAAGGATTTTATATTAGGCCAAACTACCCTTCAAACATAAAAGCTAAAGACAAATTCTTATCAACTTATAAAACATAGAAAATATTCATACACGCCATTCTCAAGCCAAAGAGAACAAACAACTTTTCAAATGGCTGCATCGTCATGTGGAAAAAGACAAAACCTATTCCTCACATCATACGTGAGAATAAACTCCAAAAAAAAATCACAGATATCATGTAAAAAATGGACATACAGAAGTACTAAAAAATCATAGGTAATTAGAACATGTGGAAAAAGGAATAAGAAAAAAAGTCGTAGGTGAATACCTCCATAACCTAGATGCAGAGAGAAGCATTTTAACTATGACCCAAAATCCAGATGTAATCAAAGAATGACAAAGTGAACCAAATAAAAATAATCTTTTCATAGCAAAAAATATATATGCAAATTCAAAAAAGAAATCAAGAGAAAAATTTGTAATATTTGGTTAATACTCCTAATACACACATATATGTTAAAAACTTAAACTTTGAGGGGAAAAACACTACAAAAAATAATTTTTACAAAGAATAGATAATTCACAAGGTATAAAAATGATTCTTAAATATATGAAAAAATGTTAAGTTTTATTCATAATGATGGAATGTAATTAAAGTTACATTAATATACAATTTCTCAGCCATCAGACAGGCACAAATTAAAAAGTTTAACTATACACTATACACTTTGTTGGCAAAGTTGGGGAAAAAGTATCCTCTCTCATACAGGTTGAGCATTCCTAATCCAAAAATTTGAAATTTGGCCAGGTATGGTATCTCACACCTGTAAGCACTTTGGGAGGCAAAGGCGGGAGGATCACTTGAGGTCGACAGTTCGAGACCACCCTGGCCAACATAGTAAAACCCTGTCTCTACTAAAAATACAAAAATTAGCTGGGCATGGTGGCAGGTGCTGGTAATTCCAGCTTCTTGGGAGGTTGAGGCAGGAGAATTGCTTGAATCCAGGAGGCAGAGGTTGCAGTGAGCCAAGATCGTGCCACAGCACTCCAGCATGGGCAACAGAGTGAGAATGCGTCCCAAAAAGCAAACCAAAAATCTGAAATTCAGAATACTTCAAAATCTGAAACATTTCGAGCACTGATAGGATGCCAAAAGTGAAAAATTCCACACCTGACCTCATGGGACAGGTTGCAGTCAAAATATAGGCACACAATGCAGTTTATTTATTCAGTGTCCCCAAGGGAAAAGAGACCTTCCTAGCCCCCTTCAGCTGTGATATATCTTTTCTGTACATGTATGACATACATACATGCTAGATATATATGTCACATTTTTTAGTAAGTACTTAACGTGTGAATAAGTGTAAGAAAACGACTGCTTATATAAATTCAGAATCAGGAATGACAGTGATGTCAAACAACCACAGATTGTTTACATGGATGGCTAAGATAGGAACACTTTCACTTTCTAATGATTCAATGTATACAAAGTTTGTTCCATGCATAAAATCATTTAAAAATTACATAAAATTACCTTCAGGCTATGTGTATAAGGTGTATATAAAACATAAAGGAATTTTTGTGTTGAGATTTAGGTCCCATCTCCAAGATATCTCATCAATACGCCAATATTCCAAAATCCAAAATCCAAAATACTTCTGGTTCCAGGCATTTTGGATAAGGAATACTCAACCTGTACAATGCTGGCACAAATGCAAAAATGATACACACCCTATAGAGAAGGTTTGAAAATATCTAACAAAACCACTTATACATTTATGCTTCAAACTAGTAAAGTCACTTCTGGAAAATTACTGTGAAGATACAGATTCGAGCACTGATATGATGCCACAAGTGTATCCAATAATACACATACACACAAATGTGCGTGCATGTGCAAGATAAGTCATTGCAGCATTATCTGTAACTGCAAAATACTGGAAATAACCAAAATGCACACACACAGAATGATTGGATAAACTATGGTACAGATCAATGTGTGTGTGCAGACTCACAAAACAGAGTACAATGAAGCTGTAAAAAGAATGAGGAAGATCTCAATGAACTGATATAGAGTGATCTTCAGGTATACTGGTGAATGATAAAAGCAAGATGGTTGACTACCTTTTGTGAAAAAAAGTAGAGGAACCATGGGAAAAAGAAAACACATATGAACCTGCTTACTTTCACAAACAAATAAAAAACATGAAAGATAGAAAATGAAAAAGAACTGGTGCCTATAGGGATTGGGCAGGAGAAATGGGGTGGAAAGGATGAAAGGTAGAACACGTCCCTGAATATACTTTTGTTTATGGCTTTGACTTGTGAAAACATGTTAATTTCTACATATTCCCCTCGAAGATAAATTACATAAACAAGGATTAGAGAAATCTAAAATTGAATGCAAACAAAAACAAAAGCATTTCTAAATCAAGACAATAACTACAACAATAAAAACCTAATCCAAATAACTTTAGAACAGAGTAAATTTACTAAATAGTAGAGAAAAAATAACTGCAAACACATCTTGAATGTTTTTCAATAATTTTCTTTTTGTAGATATATATTGTGGAACTGAGTAAATATTAATGTTGTTGAGAGCCAGAGTTCCTTCCGTGGAGGAAAAAGAGACAGAAACAAGGAATAGGTTAAGGTTAAAAAGCCCTTTGTGGGATTGGACTGCCACTGGAGACACCAATGCAAACTCACATTTTTAGTTCTGTTAACTGAAAGGTACTGGAAGAAATGCTACTCCAGCAAAAATTAGCACCCCTAAAATCCAAATTTTGTTTTTAGGTATCATTCCTTAAAAAAAGGAACCAGCGCTCTTTGGAGAAGTGACTGACTCCAAGGCTGGGTCAGGTATAGAATGAGCTTGAAACATTTTGTTATGTCACAAAGTTTAAAAATGCTATTAAAAAAAAACAACAACAAGGAAAGCATGTTAAGAAAATGCAAGAACCAGCTTGAAGAGCCTCCATTTGACCAAAGATGGAACAATTTAAATCTTAAAATAGGCCATGCAGTGGCTCATGCCTATAATCCCAGCACTTTGGGAGGCTGAGGCGGGAGGATCACATGAGCCCGGGAGGCAGAGGTTGCAGTGAGCCGAGATCCTACCACTGAACTCTGGCCTGGACAACAGAGTGAGACTCTGTCTCAAAAAAAGAAACTCTTAAAATAAACATGGACTATAAATGACTACAGTTCATTGAGTAAAACAGAAGTCTGTAAAATTAAATTAACAAGGAAACTGAATGCAAATAAAAACATTTCAAAATCAAGTCAATTAATAACTGTAACAGTAAAGAGAGAAAGAAAAACCTAATCCAAGTAACTTTAGAACACAGCAAATTTACTAAATACCAGAAAAAAAAAATCGTAAACACATCTTGCAGAGGGGATTTGGCAATAATTGCAAAGTCCATATTGCAAAGGCAAGTAAATAAATTAATATATAGATAAATTGGAGATAACGTAGGCTCTTCCTTACAAGTGACTGATAAATATGAAGGATGCAACAGAATTGAAAAATCCTCATTTTGCAAGCAGTATAGTAAAGATTCGTTCAGGTAAGAATCATTAGCAGATGATAAATCTAGGGATGAAAATATGATAAAAAGCAGGATACTGGCAGGGTTGCAAAGTGTCTGTCCACAGAATGTTTATTAGTTGCAAGGAAAAAACAGTAAGGTATATAATGGAAAAACCAATTAACACCTTTACTTTTGCTTTTGCTCAGGTTACTAAATTCACTGAATAAATTAACAATGAAAATCAGAAAGAACATCATAAAGCCACAATAACTAAAACAGTATGGTTTTTTAACAACTGCCTGTGGCCAGATGTGGTGGTCAAAATTAACATCATCAGTGAGAGAGACAGAGAGAGAGAGAGAGAAATAGATAGATTATGTGCCTCTGGATATGATATCCAGAAAAAGATACATCATTATTTCTGTGGCATCCTGGCCAAGAACACATATGAACCTAATTATGAGAAAAAATATCATATAAAACCAAAACAAAGAGCACTCTGTAAAAGAGTATGACAAATGAAATACACGACCCTAGACTGCATCTGATATCGTAGGAAAGACACGGAGAACTGTCAACATCGGAATTGGACTACAGGTATCAATGTTAAGTTTCCTGAACTTTATAACAGCATTGTGGTTATGTAAGATAATACTCTTATTCTTAGGGAATATATTGAAGTACTAAGAAGTAAAGGGTCATGATATATGAAACCTACTTTTGAATGGTACAGAAAAAAAAATTTAAAGAAATGTGAGTGCATGCATATGTGTGCATGTATACATGCTAAATATATATGACTTTTCAATAATGTTTGAAGTTTTATGATTTTTGATAGAGCTATCCCTCAGTATCCGCGAAGGAACTGGTTCCAGGGACCCCTGTGCAGATACCAAAATCCATGAATCCCTTTCATAAACGTCACAGTGTTTGCATATAACCTATATACATCTTCCTGTATACTTTAAATTATCTCTAGAGATTACTTATAATACCTAAGACAATGTAAATGCTATGTAAATAGTTGTTTTACTGTATTCCGTATTTTTTTAAAATTTGTATTATTTTTTACTGTTGTATTCTTTTTTTGTTGTTTTTGAGATTTTTCCCCCAGTCTTTTCAATCTGTGGTTGGTTGAACCTGTGGATATGGAACCAGTGGATACAGAGAGCCAACTGTATTTATAATAATGGATGCATGTCTATGGCAACTGGATCTAGGCAATTTCTCTGTTCAATACACTATTAATTCCAAATGGGAAAATCTACTAGGGTTAACATTTTGTTTGAGCTCATTGCTTCTTAAATCATTACTACAATTATTTTATTTTATAACTAATAGAAAGAGAAATGTAATATGTGAGTGACTAGCAGACTATGGAATTAAAAATTGATTTTCCACAGAAAAATAAATAACTTTTGCTCAGGTTACTAAATTCACTGAAAAATTAACAATGAAAATCAGAAAGAACATCATAAAGCCACAATCATTAAAACAGTATGGTTTTTTAACAACTGCCTGTGGCCAGGTGTGGTGGCTCATGCCTGTAATACCAGCACTTTGGGAGGCTGAGGCAGGTGGATCACCTGAGGTCAGGAGTTCGAGACCAGCCTGGTCAACATGGCGAAACTCCAGCTCTACTAAAAATAAAAAAAATTAGCTGCGCGTGGTGGTGCACACCTGTAATGCCAGCTACTTGGGAGACTGAGGCAGGATAATCACTTGAACCCAGGAGGCAGAGGTTGTGGTGAGCCAAGATCGCACTACTGTACTCCAGTCTGGGTGACAGAGGAAGACTCCAATTCAAAAAATCAAACAAACAAACAAAACAAAAAAACAAAAAAAACCTACCTGTGAATACATAAATATCACAAAATTAATTTAATTTAAAAAATCTGCATAATGTACTGAAAAGAGAAAAAAGTACATGAAAAGGTTACAGAAAAATAAATATAAATAAATGAAAAGATGTTCAACTTCACTCAATATAAGAGAAATGTACATTAAAATTATAGTTAATTCTTTTTCTTGGGAAATCAGCAAAAAAAATCTAAGGACACGCACTGTTTAGGCTGTAGGAAAACAGACACTCTAATACATTGCTAATGGGAATGCAAAATTAGTACAATCCCTAGAAAGGGAAATCTGACCATATGGAGCTTATACTATTAAAAAAAAACAACCCTGAGTACATATAAAACAATGCACATTCAGTTATTGTGTTCCACCATTTGCAATAGCAAAAGATTAGATTAAAACTCAACTATCCATGAAAAGGAGATTATTAAATACAGTGAAATTATAAAAGACACTGAGGAAATATCTATGTACTGATACAAGATCTTCAAGATATATCACTAAATCAAAACAGCAACTATTTACAATAGCCAAGATATGTGATCAACCCACATGTCCATTAATGAATGAAGAAAGAAAAATGTGTATACATACACACACACACACACACACACACACACACACACCCCAGAATACTATTCAGCTATAAAAAAGAATGAGGCCAGGCATGGTGGCTCATGCCTGTAATCTCAGCACTTTGGAAGTCTGAGGCAGGCAGATCACTTGAGGTGAGCAGTTCAAGATTAGCCTGACCAATATGATGAAACCTGGTCTCCACTAAAAATACAAAAATGAGATGGGCGTGGTGGCATGTGCCTGTTTGTAATTCCAGCTACTCGGGAGGCTGAGACAGGAGAATCACTTGAACTTGGGAGGCGGAGGTTGCAGTGAGCCAAGATTATGCCATTGCACTCCAGCCTGAGCAAGAGGAGCAAAACTCCATCTCAAAAAAAAAAAAAAAAAAAAAAAAAAGGAATGAAATCCTGTTGTTTACAGCAACATAGATGGAACTGGAGGTCACTTATTAAGTGAAATAAGCCAGGCACAGAACAACAAATCTTGCATATTCTCACTCATACACATTGTATGTATGTACCAAAATACCATACATACCCCACTGGAGAATGTAATAGCAACAAAATTACCTGGTCAATTAAAATTTTGACAAAATACATTGACATACCACTAAATGTTTTTCAGAAAGACATTAATGATAACTAATATACTATATTTCCTACATATTGTTTACGGATCATTTCATTTAATCTTCAGAACAATCCCCATTGTGTGAATGAGAAAATTAAAGTTCAGAGAGACAGGTAATTTGCCAAAGTCATATAAGTAGGTGGTGGAAATGCAATTTAAATTGAGATAACTCTTTCTTCAGAACCTGTGCTCTAATTATCAAGAACGTCCGTTTTTATCAGTAAGATAAAAATTTCCATTTCATTGAACCTTACTGACCTAGAATATTAGCGTTATTTTCATCCTATTCGATTTGATGTATTTGAAAAATGGCTTCTGTTTTGATTTCCATTTCTTTCATTACTTATGAAGTTGAACATTTTCATGTCTATATGAAACTTACAGATACACAAAAGCATTTATGTTAAAATGAAATTCCATAATGAGTTTTGTAATAGTTCAGAAGAAAAAAGGTTACTATTTATTGAAAATAACACACACATAAAGGACTACTTCAGCTATAAGTATTTGCTACAGTAACACTTCATTTAAATTTAAGACGTGTATATGTTTTTCATTTTTTGTCTTGATGATATGCATGAATAATATGGTAAAGCAGAAAAGCTACCAGCTACTTACCTCATTATTTCCTCTCGATCTCCATGACTAGCATGTTCTGCCTGTATCTTCTGCCTTAATCGATTAATTTCTTTGTCCAGAATTGATGCAGATTTTTCTACTTCTATACGCTCCGGGCAGATCTGTCTTGCTTGTGACATTTTCTCCTAAGAAAATAGATGTTTAAATATTTAAAACTCTTCTTTGATATAACAATTCATTACACTACTTGTGCCAAAATATGCAAAGTAAAATTCTGAACTTACGTGTAAGAAATGTATTTTAATTACATTTAATATCAATGTTATTTATATTTATCTAGGTTTTATATTGCAGATAAAGTCCAGAGGAATGACCTCAAGAGAAAATTGCATTGCTGTGTATAACTTTAAAAAGGTGCAACATCTCCACAACTTCTTAGTGAAACAAATTTAATGTAGCAGTTTCGAAAAGCTTGCTACCCAGGGCACCAAGGTGAGATGTAGGTTTCCACGTCCTTTAGGGTGGACTCTGAGCACCAATGGTATTAAAAACACAAAGACCCTCATGGGGTAAAGAATACAAGGCACTTTTACACATAGTACTTATTTATATTCACAACTTTCTGTATTATTCTTAAACAAATGAGGAAAACAAATAAGAAAATGAATTACAGAGTTTAGATCATTTTCCTTAAGATATACGTGCAAAATTGGAATCCATCTGTTCTGGTTAGGACAAGATGGCCTTCAATTTATTCTCCTCTAAACACTGGGCCACTCTAGTTGCCAACAGACACGTCTAGTAGGAGCTAAAATCTAGCCCAGCCCACAGCCCAACTACTCTCTGGAAGGGGTGCCTTTTCCGGACACACAATGGCTATCCGCTTGCCAAAGTGGGCATCTAAGGAGCTATGTTAGCTGAAAGACAGTGCTACTTTCTAAAGTACTCAGAGGCATAATACAGGACTGCTGGAGTCTTGCCTATTTAAGTCCTCACACTTTGAGGGTCCCTAAGTCTCTTCTGTTGATTCACCCAAACACCTATTACTCTATATGAAACAAATTCAGACAAGTTGTCTGTTTTTAGAAACATGACATTAGGGAAAACACACTTTAATAATCATGACAGGCTGAAAACAAAATAACTTGAAAAAAATGGTGAAAAACCTCTAGTTCTTTCTCTTTCATATCCAGTTCTCGTTTCTTTTTATTTAAGGTATGCAGGTGTTCTTTTTGTTTTTCTTCATAATGTCGTTTCCCTCGTTTTTGGTTATCTACTTCAGAATCAGCAAGGTTTAATTCATCCTGTTTGAACAAAGCCAAAATAAAAGACTGTTTTAAAAAAATTTCCAGCATAGGTATAAAGATAATTAACAACTCAATAAAGTGGCTAGGATTATGCTGTTTGAAGAGGCAAGTGTTATTTTATCCATATGGGTCTGAATACAAGTGAGGAGTTTCCCAAATTAGGAAGTCACCTTAAATTCAAATTCTTATCTGAATTCCCCATATATTAAGGTACTTTCAGTTTTATTTTAATAAACCAGGCATTTTTTGGGGAATCCACATTAGCCTTTAAAAACTTAAAACAATGCAAGTGTTAGGTACTTACAGAGGACACCTGAAAAAGGATACCTGGTTTTAAAAAAGGTGGGTCGAGGAAAAAGCAAGGATGTAAAAAAATTTAACTCTGATTTATTTAGTCATATCTGGTATAACTTCACAATTTTGAGCATAAAATACAACTGGAAAGAAGCCATCCCAAGATCACTTTAAAAACAAACAGTAGTAGATATAAGGTAAAGATGCATACTGTAATGCACAGCCACCACTGGAAAAATAAAACAAAGGGTATAGCTAAAAAACTGGGAGAACAGATAAAGGAACACTCATAATTACTTGGTAATCTCAAAGGAAGGACATGAAGAGGGAAAGTATGAAGAACAACAAAAACAGGACAATTAAAAGCAAATAGTAGCTATTACTTCATGATGAATATAGAATGCTTTCTAAGAACAAGAGCAAGGTAAGGACTTCTAGTTTCATGGCTTCCATTCAACACTGTACTAAAGGTCAACAGTTGTTGGAAGTCCTGGCTAGTTCAATTAAAATAAAAGGAAATAGAAAGCATAAAAATCAGAGAAAAAAAAAAAGCATAATACTGTATTTATACAAAAACAGATGATGGTATATAAATTCCAAAAGAATTTTAAACTAATAAGTGAATTTAGAAAGGTTACTGGATACAGGTCAATACAAAATTCAGTAATGTATCTATATACTAGGAATAACTGAAAAATGAATTAAAACATTTACTATATCATGAAAAACAGCCAACACATATCCAGAATAAAGAACTCTTACAACTCAAAAATAAAAGACCCATAACCCAACTGTAAAATGGGCAAAGATTTAAAGAGACGTTTCCCCAAAGATAAACAAATGGCCAATAAGCACATGAAAACTACCAACAGTATTAGCCATAAGGAAAATACAAATCAAAATTACAATGAGATAGCACTTCTCACTCACTAGCATGGTTAAAATTAAAAAGGCAGAAAATAACCAGTGTTGATAAGGATGTGGAGAAATTGGGACATTCAAACACTGTTGGTGAGAACGTTAAATGATACAGTCACTTTGGAAAGTTTCAAAGTTCTTCAAAATGCAGTGTAAGCACACAGCTTAGTAATTCCATTCCCAGGTATCTGAGACAAATGACAATACATATCTACCCAAAAACTTGTACATGAATGTTCGTAGCAGCAGCGCCCAAATGTCCATCAACTGATGAACGCATAAATAAAATGTGAACTTGACTAGGCAATAAAAAGTAAGAAGGTTCTGACACATGCTACAACATGGATGAAACTTGAAAACATTATGCTAAGTTGAAGGAGCCAGTAAAAGAAGACCGCATATTATATGATTTTACTCATATGAAATATCTGGAATAGGCAAATCTATAGAGATAGAAAGTAGATTAGTCTTTGCCAGGGGATGGGGATAGGAGAGAATTGGGAGTGACTGTTAATCAGTACAGGTTTATTAGGTGATGAAAATGTTCTAAAATGATAGAAATGGTTACACAACTCTGAATATATGAAAAATCATTGAACTATACACTTTAAATGGATAAATTTTACTGAACAATATATAAATAATGATTAGATCCTGTTGAGTTTTTCTATATCCTTGTTCACTTTTGGTATAGTTGCTCTATCAATTATTGAAGTTCTATAAGATTTTGCTTCCCATATGTTACAACACTAATATTTGTTGCACACATATTTAGAATTGCTATGTATTTTTGGTGGACTGAATCTTTTGCCATTACATAATGTCCTTGTTTGTCTCTGGTAATTTTATTTTGAAGTCCACTTCATCTGATTTTAATATAGCTACTCCTGCTTCCCTTTGATTATTATTTGCAGGATATACCATTTTCCATCCTTTTACTTTCAACCTGCCTATATGGCTGTATTTGAAGTGAGCTATTTATAGAGAGCATATAATCATGTTTTAATCTACTCTGTCCATATCTGTCTTTCATTTATTTAGACAGGTAAGTCTAAATTTAAGTCTGTCATTTTATTTTTTGCATTCTGTTTGTTGTTTATCTGTCTTCTCCTTCCTGCCTCATGTGTTTACTCCAACATACATTAAGGATTCCATCTCAACTTATCTGTAGTATGTTTTAGTGCACCTCCTTGTACAGCTTTTTTTAGATGCTGCTGTAGGTATTATATTATATACACCAAACATCACAGTCTACTGGCATAATTATTTTACCAGTTTGAGAAGCATAGAAATCTTACCTCCCTTTTGTATCCCTTTTCTTTTCCCCATTTTAAATATAAGAGTCTTAAATACCTTCCTCTACATACATTTAGAATTATCTCAGATAATTTTTGCTAGCCTTCTAAACATAATTTTTAAAACTCAAGAAGTAAAGTCTATTGCATTTTTTCCTATTTTTATCTCATTTTTTTTCCTTCCTGATGTTCCAAGATTCCCTCTTTTATTTTTCCTAACAAATTCTCTAAGTTTGCCTTTATCTGAGAATACCTTGATTTTTTCCTTTATTGCTTGGAAATATATTTGGTGGACACAGGGTTGACAGGTCATTTCGCACTTGAAAAATACGCCACTTCCATCTGGCCTCCATGGTTTCTTATGAGAAATACGCTGTCATTCAAAAATCCTTTTCTATATAAGGTTTTCTCTTGCTATCTGTAAGATCTTTTCTTTAATTTCCAGAAGTTTCACTATAATGTGTCTTATTGCAGATTACTTTGGATTTATCTTGTTTTCGGTTCACTTACATTCTTTAATCTGTAAGTTTATGCTTTTTGCCAAATTTGGGAAGTGTTTAGCCATTATTTTTTTAAGTACTTCTTCAGTCATGCTCTCTTTTCCCTCACTTTCTAAGACTCCAACAATACAAATGTCAGCTATTCTGTTATAGTTTCACAGGTCCCTAAGATATTGTTTGTTTGTTTCAGTCTATTTGTTTTTCTTCAGTTTATTTTTTCTCTGTTGATCAGATTTACGAGGAATAATAAGGGAATATTATGAAAAACTTCATGGCCAATTTTGTCTCAAAAAATACGAGCTAAAAATAAAGTCAATTGAATTCAGCCTGGAACATAATGAGATAGCTGACAAACAAGAGATGAGTAGTACTTTATTTCAAGTTGGCTTTTATAGCAACTAATCTTTGAGTTATTGAAGCAAAGTTGGGACAACAGAACAAGCAAGCACAGAGACATTCTACATGTACAAGATGTCTCTGCTCCTGGTTCTGATTTTTAAAAATCATAAAGAGGTTAAAAAAAAAAAAAAAAAAAAGCTATAATCCTCTAGGAGAAATGGAAATTTGGTGATTTATTCTCCTAAAGGCATGAACAGAAGTGTTTAATACTAATTGATCTAATCATGAAAGTTTGGTTCCCACCATTCTTTATATTCGATTTTTATGCTACTATACTTACATTTAACCAGAAATTATTTTAGGCCAATACCTAATAAGTACACTGTGGATATAAAACTAAACCATAAAATACATACATAACAGAATATCAAAAATATATACCTTAAGTGGGTCGGCTAGCTCTGATAGTTGATTAATTTTTAATTTAATTGCATCATACTTATTTTCTGCTTCTATTTTCAGACTTTTAAGATGCTCCATATTTTCTTTTTGTTGCTCCATATGTTTCTCAACCATTTTCATTTTGCTTTTATTTTCCTGAGCTTCATCTTCCTGATAAAATTTAAACAGCATATAGGGTTAATTAAAACACTTGAAGCTTTCAAATAGAAGAAACATATAAATAATTCTGAGAGGAGAAACTATAGGCTATATGCAAATCACATCAAATACAAATAGAAAGAACACTAGAATATTTTTATACTCTTAATGGTAAACTAGGAAGTAGAGGAAAACAAGCTGAATATTTAGGAGACAATATTCTGCTTAAGATCATAATCAAAAAGAATAACTTTCATTCTATCTATTCATTTTTTCCAAACTATACTATATCTTGTGCCAGAGAATATGTTAGATGCTAAGTAAACAAAGATAAATAAGATATTATCCGTATGTTTAAGAAATTTAGTTGGCCAGGTGCAGTGGCTCATGCCTGTAATCCCAGCACTTTGGGAGGTCGACACGGGTGGATCATCTAAGGTCAGGAGTTTGAGACCAGCCTGACCAGCATGGTTAAAGCCCGTCTTTACTAAATACAAAAAATTAGCTGGGCATGGTAGCACATGCCTGTGTAATCCCAGCTACTTGGGAGGCTGAGGCAGGAGAATTGCTTGAACCTGGGAGGCAGAGGTTACAGTGAGCCAAGATTGCACCACTGCACTCCAACCTGGGCAACAAGAATGATACTCCATCTCAAAAAAATAATAATAATAAAAAACGAAATTTAGTTTATCAATAAAAGGAATTAAAGCAGAAAAATAAAAAGCAGAAAGTGAAAAACAAGACTACTAGTAAAAAATGAAGAGAAATTCTAATCAGAGTAAAACTTTACCAGCACTGAGACTTATTCCATTTTGTGCACTGTTGTATTCCTTAGCAGTTAATATGCTTCCTGATACAGAGCACTCAATAAATATTTATTCATTTTAACAAAACTGCAATTTATCTAATTCACTGTTTGCTGAAACTCAGAAAAAGCTAAGTGTCATAGACTCCTGAAAAAAAAAATACAGTAAAAAATGTGTTGAATTAAAATGAAAAATACTGATTTGAAAAAAAGAAGAAAAAAAAAAAACAAGACACCAATTAGAACTGACTAAAAGATGATCCTGACATCTGACATCTGTGCCCATTCATATTGATATTGATGAACTCTGAGAGTACCTATGTGAAAAACACTATGCTCAGTAGCAGGGTTTGATGGGCCCTTGTTTAGAAATATAATTAAGTTTGGTAAAGCTTTTTTGCATGTGATAGAAGACAAAATCAATTATTATGCATAAAAGTTATATATACACACAACATTAAAAAATATGAAGGCTATATACCAGGTAGTTTTTACCTTCTTGGTGAATGGAGACAGCAATCATAAAGAGTAGCTTCAATTAAAAGAACTTTTTTAAAAAGCTGAGTTGATGCCATTAACCTGAATGGTGGCTTTATCCTTTAATATTACATTTAAATTGAAAAAAAGTATTTTACCAAAGTTGCAATATCTACAGACTGGTGTTCTTCTATGTTCTCAAGTTCCCGAATTTCAGAATTACTTTTTCTTATTTTCATCTAAAAGAAAAGTATTTGGATTTTAGTAACATAAAAAAAAAATTTAAACCAAAAACCTTGGAAAGGATGTATTAATCTACAAAGCTCTACAATGTTGATGATACAGAAGGATTCCATAATTAATGAAAGGGGTACATTAGTATTAAATCAACCAAAAGAAATTACATATAAATTCTGCCATATCACTCTTATATACTAATCCAAAAAGAGATGTAAGTAATCCATCTTAGCATTTTAAATGATGGCACTGTTGAGTCCATTGAGAAAAATTTTTCTGAAACATCCAAAGTCTCAAGTTATGGAATGATTATTCTAATCCAGTGGTTTTCCAAGTATGAACCAAGTAACCTATGGGGGTTTCTGATATCCTTTCGGATAGTCTGTGAGGACAAAACTATTTTCATAAAAACAATTAGACATTATTTGCCATTTTTAATAGCATTTTTTCATGAGTGTTTATAAGGTTTATAAATGTATGATTTGTAATATCACAACAGACTGAATGCAAAAACTGATACAACTATTTAATTGACTTTTATTAAATTGAACATTAGAGACTTACAAAAATATTCCAATCTTCTCACAAAATCTTTTTGGTTTCAAAAATTTGTTTTTTTAAATAAAAAATATTTCTGTTAACTAAGTTTATTATTATTTTTAAATGATTTGATATGGTTTGGCTGTGTGCCTACCCAGATCTCACCTTGAATTTAATTCCCATAATCCCATGTGTTGTGGGAGGAACCTGATGGGAGATAATTGAACCATGGAGGCAGCTACCCCCTACTGTTCTTGTGGTAGTGAATAAGTCTCATGAGATCTGATGGTTTTATAAGGGGTTTCCCCTTTTGCTTGGCTCTGTTTCTCTCGTGGCTGCCGCCATGTAAGACGTGCCTTTTGCCTTCCGCTATGATTGTGAGGCCTCCCCAGCCACGTGAAACTGTGAGTCCATTAATTACCCAGTCTCTATTATGTCTTTATCAGCAGCGTGAAAACAGACTAATACATGAATTAATAAATATTCTTACATTTTGTTTTAATTTTTAAAAATGTAAATGTTGATAGATATACCCACAGAAATGAAAGCTCTTTGATGAGTGTAAAGGGGCTTGAGGCCAAAAGGTCTGAGAATTACTCGAAGTTAATAATGGGATCTTAAAATCAACTTGGTAGTAGTAAGTTGAAAAGAAACAAAGAATGTTTGTTTATTTTTTTACCTCCAGTTCTTTATAATGTAGTTGGCACCTTTTAAGAAGTTCCTCATTGCGTTTAATATCTTTTTCAAGGTCAGATAAATGTTGCTGAAGATTTAATATCTGGGCCATCTTATTTTCAACCTCATTCTCCAAGTCACTTGATAGGTAAGGAGAAGATAAAAAATACTTCAAATCTTTTTCTCAATATTACAAATACTTTAGACCTTTACAAAGAAAGCCTTATTTATAGTAAGTTATGTGCAAAATCCTTTTCAGTTAAACTAGTTCTATAATCCTACCAAGCTATTAATCATGAAAATCTACTGCAGACATTTCAAAAAACATTCTAAACAGGAATCAAGTTTTACTTATTTCCTTAACAAGTAGAGTTTACTCTTGAACAAAGCAGGGTTTGAAATATGTGGGTCCACTTATACACAGATTTTCTTCTGCCTCTGTCACCCCTGACACAGTAAGACCAACCACTCCTTTTCCTCACCTTATTCAATGTGAAGAATAAGGATAAAGACCTTAATGATGATCTACTTTTATTTAATTAATATTAAATATATTTTCTCTTCCTTATGATTTTCTTAACATACTCTTTTCTGTAGCTAACTGTATTGTAAGAATATAATATATGATACACTATATGGTACTATATACTGTATTTGTAGTATATTGTATAATATACTGTACTGTATATACTGTATTATAAGAATATAGTACATAATACATATAACATCTAAAATATATATTAATTGATTACTTATGTTATCAGTAAGGCTTCCAGTCAACAGTAGGCTATTAAGTTTCTGGGGAGTCAAAAGTTATACACAGACTTTGCACTGTGGGTCAGTGCCCCTAACCTCTGCACTGTTCAAGGGTCAAATGTACTTATGACTTCTGTGTGCCAGAATTATGCATAGTGGTAGACAGAAGTAGAAACAGAATTAAGATGTGACTCTGAAAAAAAAAATCAGGAAATAAACTATAACATTAAAATGTGAACAGGACACTGTATTATATATCCACAGTACTACAGGAGCATAAGAGTGAATCTGGGAGAAGAGATAACTGAATTGTATTATCTAATTCTTCATCAGGTGGACCAACTAGGGGAGAAGATAAGAAACACAAAAAGGCACAGAGAGTGATTAAAACAGATAAAACTAATAGCTTAATACTTCTGTTGGTGAACAAACACTACGAATGTGTGAGGAGTGAAGGGGAAGAAGAAGATGACAATAAAAAGATACGAAGAATAAATAAAGTACCGGATTCCAAATTCATAAAAAAGTGTCCCCATATGGCAGAGTCAACTGGCTTCAGAGGTGATCTTTTCCTCACTAATCCAAGTATCTGTCTTCCAAAGCTGTGTGCTTGGCGGAAGAGAACTACCTTTGCAGTTAAGAACAACTTTTCCCTAGTCTGGGGGGGAAAATTCCTGGAAAGGGCCATATTCCACTGAGATGCATATTTCTCCACATTTTAACATCTCTGAAATCTGAAACCATTTTGTAGTCTGTGGTTCAATTAGTATTTATTTCCTTTTTACTGGTACATGAGATAATAGTATATACAACATTTACTGGTATGTAAAATAACCATGCTACCTTGCTAGAATTTTTAAATTAAAAAAAAAGGCTCAATAAATGTTAGCTGAATAAATGATAAAAATGGGGAAAGGAATAGTGCAATTTCTGATAAAAATGGGGCCAGGAGGAACATTTAATATGGCTCCTCAGGATTGAATATGAAATATTTATTTTATCATATATAAACCTAAACTTTTATTAACAAATAGTAAGTTTGCTTAAAAAAAAAAATATGGCTGGGCATGGTGGCTCACGCCTGTAATCTCAGCACTTTGGGAGGCTGAGGCGGGCAGATCACTTGAGGTCAGGAGTTTGAGACCAGCCTGATCAACATGGTGAAACTTTGTCTCTACCAAAAAGTACAGAAATTAGCCAGGTGTGGTGGCATGTGCCTGTAGTCCCAGCTTCTCAGGAGGCTGAAGCAGGAAAATAGCTTGAACTCGGGAGGCGGAGGTTGCAGTGAGCCGAGATTACACCACTGCACTCCAGCCTGGTCAACAGAGTGAGACCCTGTCTCAAAAAATAAAATAAAATAAAAATAAAAGTTGCCCGGCCAGGTGCAATGGCTTAACCCTGTAATCTCAGCACTTTGGGAGGTGGACGTGGGTAGATCACTTGAAGCCAGGAGTTTGAGACCAGCCTGGTCAACATGGTGAAACCCTGTCTCTACAAACATTAGTTGGGCATGGTGGCGCTTGCCTGTACTCCTAGCTACTCAGTTGGCTGAGGCACAGGAATCACTTGAACACTGGAGGCAGAGGCTGCAGTGAGCCAAGATCCTGCCACTGCACTCTAGCCTGGGTGACAAAGGGAGACCCCTGTCCCAAAAAAAAAAAAAAAAAAAAAAAATTGCCAAGTAAACAAACTTTAGAAACTACAGCCTAAACCAAAAATGAAAACCAACAAAATAAGCAAGACAATATTGTTATTATACAATTTTTCTGAACATATAGAATAAACTGAAGCAATCAATGTAACCTGCATTAGTAAAACTAATAAATTTTACAACTTTCTTTTTACTGGGTAAAACTAATTCCTATACATTTTCTTTTTTTTTTTTTTTTGAGACGGAGTCTCGCTCTGTCACCCAGGCTGGACTGCAGTGGCTGGATCTCAGCTCACTGCAAGCTCCGCCTCCCGGGTTTATGCCACTCTCCTGCCTCAGCCTCCCGAGTAGCTGGGACTACAGCCGCCCGCCACCTTGCCCGGCTAGTTTTTTGTATTTTTTAGTAGAGACGGGGTTTCACCGTGTTAGCCAGGATGGTCTCGATCTCCTGACCTCGTGATCCGCCCGTCTCGGCCTCCCAAAGTGCTGGGATTACAGGCTTGAGCCACCGCGCCCGGCCTATACATTTTCATATACTGTTACTCCTTAGTTTTTTTTAATGAGTTTTTACATAGAGAACATGTTACCTAACGAAAACTATATTAAGCCTGAGCTGAGTATATGAGTTGTTTGTGTAGGATGAATACATATTCCCTGAAAGCCTGTCGAAAATAGTATACTTGTCACTCTCTTGCCCCATACTATGCTTTATTTGTCTCCACAGCACTGATCACCACCTAACCTAGTATTCATTTACAGTCTATCTTCCCCTTAATTTAAGATCCAGTAGAGAAATTATGTATATCAATACTTTGTTTCCTTATGTGTCTTGTGCCTTGATTAGTGACTGGAATATCAGATAGCCATTAAATATCTGTTGTTTGAAGAACAAATAAAAGAATAAAATTTTAAGAGCATACTTCAGAAGATTACATTAAAATGTTACAGCGTTTTAACAACTCAAAAATTCATAGGTAATTTTTTTTATGAACCACCCTGGTAATCATTCTAAGGGCTTAGTTACACATTATGTGCACTTTTATAACTGAAAACTGCATTAAGATAATAAACAAAAGCAAGTGCCACAACACCATGGTGCTAGTCATTCAACTTTTTCTATTGCTAATTGAAGTTTTACTAAACTTTCCAACATCCATTATGGTATTATGGTTATTTTCCTTTCTTCTGCTCTCATAATCACATAAAAATGACTAGAAGAAATCTATTTCAACAAAACTCTCATTTCCCCTACACATACAAGTCATTTATAATTTTTTTTTTTTTTTTTTTGCTCAGTTTTCTTAGATATTTCTTTTAAGTCCTAAGTTCTTCCACTGAAGATCTTCTGAGTCATTAATTCAGGCCCAAAACGTCAATTCATCAATTGAATGAATTCAGTTAAGCAATCATGGGGTTGTTTTTTGATACCAAAATGTCTTTTTGCATGTTCTTGAATCTCTTATTAGTTTTCCGTTTAACTTCTCAACTTGTCTCTTCTAGCAGCTGTATTTTCCTAGGCATGTATTCTAATCATGTCAATTGATCTTCTTTCTAGAACTGTGCAACTCAAAGTACCAATCAGGGACATTATAAGGAGCTTGAGCCAGAATGTAAACCAGTCTGCTGTATCCTCTCTTAGACAAATCAGCAAAATTAAACAGTGAGCACAGTGATGTAGCTGATTTACATTCTGAGTCAAGCTCCTATCTCCTTGAGGACAAGCAACAAATAGTATACAAATGAGCTAGTTGAGGGAATATGTTCTGGATTATCAGTCCTGAATGCTGTTGTCGAAGTGATGATGCAAGATAACTGTCAACCTCGAATTCTATAACTAGCTAAGTGATGTTTGAAGACTAAGCACTGAGATAGATTACTCCAGTCCTCACTGAAACAACCATTGGAAGAGTAATATGAAAGAAAATGAACCTCAAAGGAAGCAGTGGGAATAATACAGTAAAGTTAAACTTGACTCTAACCTTATTTCAGAATCCACATCTCTGCTTAGGAACTTAGGTCTTGTATTTTCAGATGAATAATAACGTCCTGCAAAAACTTGATCGCCCTCAGCAGTAAAAGCTTCTCTACAATTTTTGGGTGGCTTTTGGGACTGCATTACTGCACGAGCTACAGAATTATTCTAAAAGAATAGAAAAAAATAAATTTTTTAAAACGATGTGAAAATTTTTCTGATATACAGAATTTTAAAATGTTACTCGTCCTTATTATTTTAATATGATTCAAGTATTCTTTTTAAAACATTCAAATAATTTTATAAAGTTAAATATAAGAATTTTAACACTTTCAAGGTTAGAAGAATTAAAACTATTTAAAAAGTCTTAAAACAGTTTAGTAAACAATGCTTCATGACAAATTGGTGTATATTTATTTTTAAATTTGAGTATTATCCATTTAAAATTTAAAACTATTTTAAGTGCTTTTTAATGTGAAAATACAGACTTTAGACCAGTTCATACTAATTATTTTTTCTAAATGACTTTTACACCCTAGAAAAGATATGAATGAATAGCAAATTCCAATAAAATATTACTATACTGAAAAATGTATGGAAAGTCTGGAAATATTTAAGCCCTGGAGGAAGTGAAAGAAGATTAGGTTAATTAAGGCCTAATCAACCTCTCTGGGGACAGACCTTTACAACAGGGCTTTATTATTTATTTTTTCAAGTACTATTCTAAAATATGAGAGAGTAGAACACACAAATAATTACAATATGAACATATGTATATATATATACACACACACATTTGAGTTATCTAGACCCTTCTTAGCTTCTGTTAATGAGAAAAAAAGACTTTTGTTTGTCTTGATTACAAATTTGTTTCAAATAACAAGACAATATAAATCACCTTGTCCCTTCTCAGCAAATTTATGCCAACAGAGGAAACAAAATATGGTGATCTAATCTAACAAGCACATAAAAATACCTACACAGATAAACAGTAAATATTGATTTATCTAACAGAGTACAAAGTTATATGAAAAAGAAGTCATAAGATATCAAGCAAAATACTTAAGTAGAATGATAATAATATATGTATCTGTAAGGGCAAATAAAGAATAAATTTGGCAGCTAAACAAGAATGAACAAAAAAATTTTATAACACCATGCACCAAAAGAATAATATGTGTTTGTGAAATGATTTTATAAAGAACAGCCAAAAGTTATAAAGTTCCATGGGGCAGAAAACATACAAATCAATCAGTTTCTATATTACCCTATCGATTTTCCTATCAGGTAAAAGTACAACAGTGAAACACATCAACAACTCTATGATCAAAGGAGAACTGGAATTTATATAATCATCTTCAGTTTTAAAAATTTAACAATAACATAAAATACAGCAAAGATCTGGTGGTCTTACTTTGATTAGTAGCACTGTCTCTATGCCTCTCATGTCAATCAGGCTATTTGCCACGACCGCATTATCTATTTCTAAAGCTGTCAGAACTGTTGGAAACTCTGGATGATAAGCAGCTCTAGGAGACAAAAAGACAGAAGGATTAACTTAGCAAATTTTAATTATAAATATATATATGAAAATTGTGTATATATATACATATAATAGAGTACATATATTTCCATATATATTTGTAACAGGGGGAGATTATAAATAACCAGACAATATCAAATACCTGGTAACATTTGAAAACACAGGTTTTCAAATATATAGAGGTTTATTTATTTAGCATTTATATAATACTATGTGTTAGGCACTGTTCTAAGCATGTTACAAATATTAGCTCATTCATTCCTTTTAACAATCACATAAGATAAATAGTATTATTCTCTCCACATTTTTTTCAGATGAGGATGCTTCAGAGAGTTGAGTATGTTCCCCATCGTCACGAAGATAGTTATGTAACTGGGCTAGGATTTAAACCAGGCAGCTCGGCTCTACAGTCCAGATTCTTAATCAATATGCCCTGCTGCCTACTATAATTAATAATTACAATTTCCTTAAATCTCATACAGTTATCATACATAAACATAAAAGTCAATTATTTAAAATTCATTATAAACAGCTAAACAATTTTTTCCCTGATATAAGAAAAGAAAAATTGAAGCAAAGTTTATTACCAACACAGAGGAAATATGAAAGAAAAGATATTCTTAGGAATTGTAATTTGGGCTCATGAAAGAGTCAATCTTTCAACTAAAATGTAAACATGTAAGCTATTAATAGCACTGAAAAACGAACACACTAAGAATAGGAGGTACAGGAGCAATGAATGGCTGAGGAGGAGATGGTGGTAGCATTCTTAGTGCTTTTCTAGTCTTAGAATTCCAAAACAAAGTATCTTTGCATGCATGTTTTATACCTACTCATCCATTAATTCAACACATATTTAGTGAACACCCACTTTGTGGCAGGTGCTGTTCCAGAGGATAAAGGGAGCAGTATACAAAACAGACTACACCCTGGTCATGGAGCTTACATTTTTTTGAAGGACGACAGAGAATAAAGAAAAAGAACGAAGGGAAAGGCAGCTTATGGTGCTTTTTTACACACACACACAAAAAGACTAGAAAAAGCCTCACTAAGATAACACTGGGCAGATACCTGAGGAAATGAGATAGTCACGTAAGTAACCTTAGAAGACCATTCCAGACGAGGGAAGAGCAATCATGAAGACCCTAAAAGGTGTGTCAGAGAAGCAAGGAGACAGACTGCCACAGTGGACAGATCAGGGAGGGAAGTGCTTCTAGAGACAGGATAAGAAAGATGGTGAGAGGACAGATCATCCAAGCCTAAGTCAGGCCTGTGATAAGGAAAACAGCAAAGTTTAGAGTCCTTTGAGCAGAGGCACAACATGACCTGACTTTCCGTTGGCTGCTGTACTGAAACTGTGGTGCCAAGTAACCACAAGCAGGGAGATCAGCCTGTGAATCCTCAAGGGAAACATGATGATGGCGTGAGCCAGTGTAGGCACCACACAAGTGGTAAGATCTTGGATATATTTCTAAAGTACAGCCAGTAGGATGTGGGGTAGCAGAAAGGAGTCAAGAGGCCGGGCGCGGCGGTTCAAGCCTGTAATCCCAGCACTTTGGGAGGCCGAGACGGGTGGATCACAAGGTCAGGAGATCGAGACCATCCTGGCTAACACGGTGAAACCCCATCTCTACTAAAAAAATACACAAAAAAACTAGCCGGGCGAGGTGGCGGGTGCCTGTAGTCCCAGTTACTTGGGAGGCTGAGGCAGAAGAATGGCGTAAACCCGGGAGGCGGAGCTTGCAGTGAGCTGAGATCCCGCCACTTCAGCCTGGGCAACAGAGTGAGACTCCGTTTCAAAAAAAAAAAAAAAAAAAGGAATCAAGAATGACTCTGCAATAGGGAAATGAAGATGGAGATTACTGAAAGTGCAGGTTTTGGGGTGGAAATCCGGAGTATGGCTTTCAGACATGTTAAGTTTGAAATGCTTATTGGGCATATAAGTAGAAAATACATATTAAGTAAATTATATCCTAGAGTTCAGAAGAAAAAGGCAACCTACAAACATAGTTTCACAGTCATCAATGTATGATCTGTAAAGTCATGAAATCAGATGAGTTCACCTAGGGAGAAGTGCAAGCCAAGAAGAGTTCTGGAGCACTGGTACAGTCAGCAGTAAGGAGGAAGCAGCAAAAGATACCAAAAACGAACGCCTAGAGAATTAGGAAAATGAGAAGAGTGAGGCCCTTGGTGCCAAGTGAAAAAGGGTTTCAGGAAGAATGAAAGGATCAAGGGCAAATACTGCCAGTAAGTAAAATTAGTGAATAGTAATGACTTTGAGTTAATTGAGTTAAGCAAAGTGAGGGTTGCTGATGCCTTGATGAGAGCTGTTTTGGTATGTGATGAAATTATAAAGTTTGACTGGAGAAGGTTCAAGAAAGAAGGTAGAGAGAAATTAGAGACATAGACAATTCCTTTGAGTTTTTCCTGAAAAGGGAAGCAGAGAAAAGAGACAGTAGCAGGTAAATGGCTTTTTAGGACAGATTTCAGGTGGAAATAAAAACAAGGATAAGAAAGAATAGCGTGTGGATGCTCTAGAAACGTCAGGCAGTCAATGACACAAAGTAGAGAATAAGGAGATAAAGAAAGGGAGTAGGAGTCTAAGAGGGGAGGATGTGGTAGGCAGTTCTGGTGAAATGCAGACTCTCGCCAGCCTGTGGAGAGCACAGGTTTTGAAACTAGGAAGGAGTCACCATTTTTGGGCAGCCACAGGCCATCATTACATGAAGTTGTTACTACCAGTTTGCTCTAAAGCACCAAGTCACGACTATCTCTTCCTTTGGCTATTCATCCCTGGGATTTACTTCATACTGGCTTATATTACAATTAATAGTATGTTGAGGGAGGATACAAAATCAGTCTAGCAGAGCAAAAAGTAGAAAGGAACATTAGCAATGAGATGTTGGTGAGAAGGGACAAGAAGAAGATAATAGGACATAGGTTCACAAACAATGTTAAGCAGAAAGTCTAAACAAAACATACTGACAAAGGAAAAAGTGCACAGAAAATCTAGGCAAGTATAATAGGCCTCACTGGTAAGCAGAGTTACAGGACAAAATGATTTTTCCATCCTAATTATATTTAAATCATTTGATAAAAAGGTGTGATTTCTAAAGTCAAGTAAAAGGAAAAACATCACTAAGTTAAAATATAGGAAAAAAACATGATTAAAATTTGGTGTATTTTTATTCTACTTTTTTTGAGACAGGATCTCCCTCTGTCGCCTAGAGTGCAGTGGCACGATCACAGCCCACTGCAGCCTTGACTTCCAGGGCTCCAGTGATCCTCCCACCTAAGGCTCCTGAGTAGCTGGGACCACAGGCACACAGCACCATGCTCAGTTTATTTTTGTATTTTGGGTAGAGACGGTGTTTCACCACATTACTCAGGCTGGTCTTAAATGCCTGAGCTCAAATGATCCACCCGATTCAGCCTCCTGAAGTGCTGGGATTATAGGTGTGAGCCACTGTGACTGGTCTAAATTTGGTGTATTTTTAATTTTCCAAATATAAGAAGATATAAAGTGAGAAGATATAACAGACTATGAAGAGAGCTGTAGGGAGCACCAGAAGGAGATGAAGAAAAGCCCACATATAGGCTGAGAAATACCTAAAGAGTATGAGAACCAAGAAAATGGTGTCATAGTAACAAAAGGAATAAGAAGTTTGAAGGAAGGTGTATTTGATAGCATCTAATGCTTGAGAGAAGGTAAATATCAACTGGATTCAGCAACAAGGAAATAATTGGAGAATATAATTAACATTTAGGGACCTAGAGTGGTAAGTCTATGAGTGAATGCAGTCTCCCCTAGGAGGGGTGTGTTTTTAAAAGGAGAAACACAAATCAGAGACCTACCATGTTTAAAACAGAAAATTTAATGGGAAAGTTTAAGGCTCAGGAGGGCTGAAATAATTTTTTTAAATGGTTAATGAGTCAGGCAAGAAAGTATGTGATTCAAGGCACAAGTAGACTAGCCTCAGGCAGAAAGAATCTCTCTTGAGATGGGGGCAAGATGTACAAATGCAGGCATAATAGCAGGAGGAGTAGTTTAGTAGCTTCTATGTCCTCTGAGAAGAAGAAACAAGACCATCTTTATAGGAAAGGTGAGCTAGGCACCTTCCTAGGTACCTCTGTTAAGGTTATATAGCATAAGCCTAAATGACTGAAATGAGTCCTATGTATCTGATGCATTATAAACTCTAATAATATTTTACTATTTTTCACATTAAAATAATACAGCCAGTTTTTAAATTTAGCATTTGAACCATAATTCATACCGAAAAAGTTCTTCAAACACACAAAAAATTCACCCCTTCAAAATATTTACAAGGCAGGTACAGTTAACAGAATGTTAGACGTACTCAAGACTCTTGTCAATATCCTATCAACACCCAAAAGGATTACAATCTAGTTTCTTCCCCTATTCCAACAACTTGCGTTTCAGCTACCTGCTCCTGAAGCCAAAACACGGACTTTGTCATCCCCTAGACCTGTTCCATTCAGCTTGAATTTTTCACTCTTACCACAACCTCCTCTCCTTCCAGACTTATGCCTTTAAGTATGTTCTCTAACTTTATTAAGGTGGGTCTAAACACTTTCTCCCAGTCCTCTCTTTCTTTAAACTAATTTGTCAACAATACACTCAACTGCTTCCCTTTTCCCTTTCTGTAATACCTCTCCACTCTAAAACATTCTAATATTTACCTAACAGTACAGACTCTCCCTCCACTCATCTCTAAAGAAACGTTATCAGTGAAAAATCCTGCAGCCACTAGGCTTTTGTATCTTAACAGACTTTGAGTCAGCTTCCTCTCTCATTCTCCTTGGCAGCCAATCTAAACCCTTAAAGAAGGTACCTCCTACCAACTCCTGAGACCCTTGTTCTCAGCACATAAACTCACCTACTTCCAAGAAAACTGGCATTACGACACACACATTGGATCCCTTGTCACATGTGTTTCATGGCTAAGTGACTAGAAGCACAGGCTGGGACATACAATGTGCCAGCAAGGCAGCACCAGGCACTCTTCTTCAGAGTCCTCATGGCAGTTCACAGAGCAGGCCCTGCCAGAATGGCCAGGACTATTCTCTTTGGTCCCAAAATGACAGTTCAGATTCAAGGAGGACATTCCTCACAATTGATGGCATCCTTCAGCTAGTCACTCCAGCCAGAAACCTAGAAGTCATCCTGATTTTTCCTTCTCTTGCATTCAATTAACAAACTTTATTTTGTCCTAATCTCTCTGCTAATCTGTTTCTTCCTATCAAAAATGCAAATGCTATTTTCTGCAGAATAACTCCCAATGTCATGCTTCCACACGTTTTACACACAGAACTCTATTTGCCTACAAGGCAATTAACTTTTTCTATCACTTGACAAACTCATCAGTTAAACGACTGATGATTTCTCATCTCCTCTCTGAATTTTTTCTTGTCTACCTAGTAACATGAGTTAATTACACACACAAATTTACCAAATACGAGATACACAGCATTAGACTTAATTAAAAAGAAGGTTTATTTTAAAAAGTAGAGATGGGAGAGAAAAGAAATTTTAAAATGTAATCTGGGAATAGAGATATATATATATATTTTTTGAGACAGGGTCTCATTCTTCACCCAAGCTGGAGTGCAATGGCATGACCCTGGCTCACTGTATCACCACCACAACCTCCGCCTCCTAGGCTCAAGCGATCCTCCCACCTCAGTCTTCCAAGTAGCTGGGACCACAGGCACACACCACCAAGCCTGGCTTTTTTTTTCTGTATTTTTGGTAGACAGGTCTCTCCAAGTTGCCCAAGCTCGTCTTGAACTTCTGAGCTAAAGCAATCTGCCCATCTTGGCCTATCAAAGTGCTAGGATTACAGGCATGAACCCGTGCCTGGCCTACATTCATTTTTAAAGTGTTAGCCAGCAGTTAGCAAAGAGGCCAGTTTGGGTACTGAGCTCCCTTGAAAGGTCATCAAAGAACACAATTACTGTCTTTATGGATTCTGTGAAACACCTTCAGAATATAACTGTGTGTAATGAGCGCCAATGTTCTTCCTTAGGCCTTCCCTCTTAATTTGGTCATATCATCTTCCTCACGGGTATAATTTCTAAGCCATAACTACATCTGTTTTCCTGTAATGTCTCCCACATATAAGAACTTCAATGGTAGGGAATATTTATCTATGTTTCTCTAACGCCTAGAACTAATACCTAGACAGAAATTAAAGTGGCTTGATGAAATTTTACAAATCAGGGGTAAAGATATGATTAACATTAAAAGTGTTTTAACTCTTTCCAGTCCTACATATGATTAAGCAAAGCCAGAAACATATTCAATTACTAATGCCTTACCTGTGTCTTACATCATATATCTCATTCCGAAACTCAGAAACTATTATCTGTGGCCGTGAGGTCCCTGGTAAATAAAACCTTTTCATGAGTGCCTGAAGGACACGTTCATCAGCATGATTATGGCAACAATAGGCCTGCAGAAGTCCTTTTAAGCAAGATTCAATAGCCAAAGCAAGTTCCGGGTCCCGAAGATGAATGCAAGCTCCTAAAAGTGAGATAAAATTACAGACGAGCTCATAAATACTTATTTTGAAATATTAACATCACTCCTCTTTAATTATAGTTTATAAATGACATATTTTTATATAAAGCTGTTTAAATGACATTACAGATCATTTAATCATAGTTTATAAATGACTTAACATACTTTTATATAAAGCAGTTTAAATAATATTTTAACTGAATGGGAAATCCCCTATACCCACAGGATACAATGGAGAGAAAATCCACCAAATCCTGTGAAAAAAATTGTCCCACGCTAATGTAAACCAACGGTGGCTTTTCTATATTCAGTTTATACTATTCTAGTCTTTCAATGGGGTTCTGAAAATCAAGGGATTTTCAAATTCCTTAATGGGATGGAAAAAAAAAGCCTCGTCCATTGAAATGGATCCTGGTATAAAGGTACATATCATTTAAAAGAGACAATACTACAATATTTAAATGCAATACTTTACTAACAAAATATATTTATAAGCATTTTCACCTAATGATTTTCAGAATTAAAGATAACCCTCCAAGAAAACGTGACTTAAAAAATTTTTTTAAGTACCATGTATATGTAAGAGTAAAGTAACCACAGATTTTACAGTTGGAAGAGAACTTAGAAATCATGCTGTCCAACCAAAAGAGAAACTAAGAAAGAAAAGTCATTTTAAAAAGGTTACCAAAACTCAGGTAACTGCTCCTTCAACTTGATGTTATTATTTTTTTTTTCTGAATAATCAATTATATTAGTTCATTCACTTATTTATTCAGAAAAACAAGAACCAAATTATTCAATTCTGTAATTACTTTTCCTTTTCCAAAGTTCTCTTCCTTCTGGATATTTTATGCTCTAAAAATATAAAACAAAAGCTACAGAGCTTAACATAATTTCATCATTTTATCTTTTTTAATGAAATCACTTTATTTTGAAAACTTCATTCAATCATTCTGAAAATAAAAACTTATTTATAAAGTTTATTATAACCTCACTAAATTAAGACAAATACCTAAAGGGCCTACAGGTTTATAGGTAAAAAGTCCTTGTCTATAAGCATCATCTATGGCTTCAAGAAGAGCTGGAACATTAGGGCCAAATCTTTTGAGTCGATCAGTTTTACTATCTTTCAATTCTTTCAGTTGCCTCTGATTGTAGCTCAGTGCATGCTTCACATCTGACTCTTCTCGCCTAAAAAACAAAAGCAGAACAGGACAGATATGTGATAGTTTTACAGAAACATTTAACCTTTGCCCATAACACCTACATCCCAGTGAATGACCCACCTAGCTACCCTAAAAACCAAAAGCAGAATTATTTATTTGAAAATAATTGTGTTACCAGAGAAAAACAGTCTGGAGTCCTCAAAACTTGGCATAAAAAAAGTAATGCAACGATGATGGGCTAGGAATCCCAGAAATTGTTCAACTCTACAACTATAAGAAGTCTTGAAAAGTGATTTTAAAAGATCCAGCTGGCTATAGGTGCACTGGCTATGAGTTAGCCCTGCTCTGCAAGGTATTTAACATAAAAATAAAATCTTTTTTAAAAGATCCCTTATTATGTAGAAGAAACAACCATATTTGCTCTCTTCATATAAGAACAAAACTATATGATGTGAAAGTAATTGAAAAAAATCATTCTAAGGATGTTGCAACTTACTTAATTTTGCCATATTCTTCTTTGTCCTTTTCTATGGCTTGCTGAAACTGTTCGATCTCTTGATTGACTGAATTTTCTTGATTTCGTAAGGCCTTTACTCTCTCTTTTAACCAAGATATTTTTTTTTGTCTTTCCAACCGTTCAGGTTCCAAAGATTGGTCAGTGCTAACAGTAAATAACCCAAAGTGAAAAATGTTAAATGAACAGCTTAACATTTAAAGAACACAAGCCAATGTAATAAAATTTCATTAACAACAATACATAAAATACAATATTCCAATGCATCTACCTTACTTTATTACAAAATAAGAGTCATGAAAATTTCAAAGTAACTATCCTACCTTTTTTTCAGTTCTTCAATTCGTTTACAAAGCTGCTCATCATCTTTCTTTAATGCTTTATATTCATTTAAGGATCGGTTATATAAAACCTAACAAAAAAAATTAGACACGCTTTGCTAAAATGAAAACAAATATCCCATTCAAGTCCACTTTTGTCAAATCCTCAGAGACTGAATGTGTACAGGAATATATTTTTAAAATGAAGCACCAAATGGCCATTTGAAACCATTACATTTTTTAAAATCTCAAAGCATCACTAATTTCAACTCAGGTACAAAATCTCTACTTTAAAAAGTAGAAGGCTGGGTGCTGTGGCTCACGCCTGTAATCCCAGCACTTTGGGAGGCCAAGGCGGGTGGATCAGGGGGTCAGGAGATCGAGACCATCCTGGCTAACATGGTGAAATCCCATCTCTACTAAAAATACAAAAAATTAGCCAGGTGTGGTGGCACGCCCCTATAGTCCCAGCTACTCAGGAGGCTAAGGCAGGAGAATTGCTTAAACCCGGGAGGCAGAGGTTGCAGTGAGCGAAGACTGTGCCACTGCACTCCAGCCTGGGCGACAGGGTGAGACTCCGCCTCAAAAAAATAATAATAAAAAAATAAAAGAGGCTGGGTGCAGAGGCTCACACCTGTAATCCCAGCACTTTGGGAGGCTGAGGCAGGTAGATCACTTAAGGTCAGGAGTTCAAGACCAGCCTGGACAATGTGGTGAAATCCTGCTCTACAAGAAATACAAAAAAATTTAGCCAGCCGTGGTGACAGATGTCTGTAGTCCCAGCTACTCAGGAGGCTGAGGTGGGAGGATAGCGTGTGCCCAGGAGGTAGAAGCTGCAATGAGCCGTGATGGCGCCACAGCACTCCAGCCTGCGTGACAGAGCAAGACTGTTTCAAAAAAACAAAATATAACAATAAAAGATAGAAGAACAATCTTTATATTTGCTATGTGGCTTTTAATATTCCAGTTTAGAAAATTTCTCTCACCTCAGCTTCATTATAGGCCCTTTTCTTAGCAACGACATCTGCTTTCAATGCCATACATTCTGGTGCTCGTGCATTTGTCTCTTCACTAATCTTTTCTAGTTTGTCTTGAATATCCTTGTACTTTTGTTCTGCTTCATTAAGTCTGACCTTTAAGAAAATAACATTATTAAAGTATATTTTTTCGATAGAATTTTTAAAAATAATTATCTATAGTTCATATACCAATAACAAATTTAACTTCACTCAAGACATTAGGCAAATAAACATAGTAACATAACATTATATAAAATACTATAATATAATTTGATCTTAACCCACAGTTAGTTATCCAACAAATGTGCTATCCTCTAGGGATACAAAGACATGATAACAAATGTCCTCAGATAACATAAAAGAGAGAGAGATAATTTAGCAGAAAAACAGAACACAAACTGATGATACAGTCTGTATACAATAATGCTAAAATAGGGTACATTTATTCTTAATTGTGGGAGCACAGAGAAACAAACCAGAGGTTGGCCAGAAAAAGCCAGGAATGCCTTCAAAGAGGAAGTAGTATTTAGAGCTGAGATTTTAAAAATTAATCTAAGTGTACCAGGAAATAAGTTGAGGAAGGGTGTTAAGAGGCAGATGAAAGAGCATGTACAAAGGTATTCTTATTTTAGAAATTAAATATTGCTAGAGCTTAAATTCATAGGATAATGGTAGGAGATGAGATGAAGGGGTAGAAGGGCCTTGCATTCTACAATGAACAGCTTACAACTTAATCTAGAAAACAGGAAGACAGCCTAAGTCTGTCTCTTATCTCCTAAATCTGCGTGTTAGATTACTCTGGAAGCACTTGGCACACAGGGTAGACAGAAAAATCAAAGGAAAAGATTTCAGTAAGAAGTTAATATAGTGTTATGGATCAAAGATAATTAGGGACCAAAATGGAATGCTAACAATAGGGACTGATGAGAAGGAACAAATATGAGCACTATTTCGATCGGGATCAGCAAACCTTTCTATAAGAGGCTAGATAGTGTACACTTCAGGCTTTGTGGGCCACATGGTCTCTCCTAAAACAATTCAACTCTGCCATTAAAACATGAAAGCACCCAAGGACAATGAGTAGAGGAATTGCTTTTTAATAAAAATGAAAGCTGGATCCAGGTTTTATACAAACTAAACATAATTCATATTATTTTTCAGTTTTAAATTAACAAAAGTTTAAAGTCTGCTTGAGACACTGCTTCTTCAGAAATCTTCCATTTAATAGTCATTCTACAAGCAATAATCAAGGACACACAATGTGAAAGACTTTATGTAAGACAAGATGGAAAGGATATAAAGATAAAATAAGATAGTCCTTACCCTCCAGAAATTTGCCATTTACTACATACAGTATGCAAACGCTTAAACGGAGAAAAAGGCCTACTAAACTAAACATCACCTAGCCTTATGATCCTCCTTTCCCATTTAAAAAAGAGGTGAGCAGCTGTTACTCAGACTGGATTCCATCTTAGACAGCGAAATGCTTGAGGAGGAAAGTATTTAAGGCCTTACCTGATGATAAGTTGAGAAATGAGGGTGAGAAGAGAAACATACTTGATGAAAATTTCAGAATATTCTCTCAGAAATGAAAATTTAAGGTGAGAGGTGGAAAGCGTTGAAATTCCACTTACTGCCTGAAGAGGGAGTAAGAAACTTAGCCCACAAATCACTAAGTGTCCTATCTTTACCTATTTTTACATATTCATCTATTACCTCTGATGAATTAATGTCATAACCCTTAAAAGAAAAAAAGATCAATCTGCTCATCTTAGAGGCAGACAGAAAAAAGCAAGCTAGGAAAGATTACATTCTACACCACAGCCAAGCTTGGGGGCCAGAAAGAAATTTCCTAAGCAAAATAGAGAAAATGCTAAGAGGTAAGCAAGCTACACTGACATATTGAGTACATTTGTGGGGGAAGGGGAGTAAAGAAAAAAAAAACTACGAGTTCTGCTTCTGGCATTACAGCACGAGAAGCCCCACAGTGCTGGCTGCTCAACCTTGTGAGTATACTAAAACCCAGTCAATTACACACTTTACATGGGTGAATTATATGGTATATGAATGATATCTCAATAAAGCTGTTCAAAAAAGAAACAGTGAGTATAAAGAGTGGATCTGCTGAATGGTAAAAAGGTCCACATGGAAAGCCCCAACAAACAATGACTGCCTTTACTCGACACTCAACTTCTTTACAGAAGAAGGCCCTCTAGGCCCATGTGGAAGACTTTGGTGACTTTCTTGAATTTTAGATAGGGTAGTTTCTACCTGCACTCTTAGATGTCAGGCTGAAATTAACCTTAACAGACCTAACAATGAATCCCACTTGCCTTCCACCTATATGAAATCCTCTGACAGGCCATCTTGGTTCTGGACCATAAATCTCAGTTCCCTTAGCAATCTCTGGGCATTGTTTTCAGTTCTGAGTTCTCATACTTTCTGATACCTACCTTTAGTGTGATTCTAATTTATATTATTCTAGTACTCCTTTATTTCTCAGGTCTGTGTTTAAACTCCTTAATGAACCAAAGAGTAAAAGCTTCAGGCTCTTCTTATATGTCTTGTCAGTAACAAAGTTCCACTGACAATATGCATGAGTTCTAGAGCCCTAGCCTCAGACAGGCTTATCATAGATAGAATATTCTTTTCAAAAGACAGTTACCACAACAGGCCTTGAAAACAAGTTTAGGTCTATTTCATCTAACCAATAAATTCAAATATAGACAAATATACAGTCTGAAACTGCCAGTTTAGTGGGTCATAAATAGTCTAATATCAGCAATTTCATATGATTCAACCTATTAAATCTGCATTTAAAAAACTGTAATTACCTGCTGTTCTTCCATTTTCCTGTCAAGTCTAGCAGCACGATCTTCTCCAATTTTGATATTATCTCTGATAGCATTCAATTGTTTTTCAATTTCATTGACCTAAAAAAATTATATAGCATATTGATAAGATTAACAATAATAACCAAATATATTCTGCAGATCCCATATATATGTGAACAAGTAATTAAGTGATAATTACCACTGCCCAAGCCATTTCATGTTTCAAGGACTCTAGATTAGTCTTCATTGTACTTAAACCAGCAATACTTTGAAAACGTTCCTCTTTCTCTACGCACTGGCGCTTTAGTTCAGTAAGCCGCTTAAAAAAAGAAAACAGAAGGGACATATTTTTTATTAATGTTGAAAAAACACGTTTTTGCAAATCTATTTCTTTTAAAAACAATGCCTAAACAACTACTACACAAAGATTTGTTTAAAAATAACTTTTTTTTTTTATTCTTGATTCTTCGGTATACTTTTAATAAGTCCAATAACTTTGTGAATTTCTGCACTATAAAAATGGCCAAATACTCTTCAGATGAAGAGCAAAGGAATTAAAAGTTCAGGACTACGCAAATATAGAGAAATCCCAAAACTCACTTGCCCATTTTCCCTCTTTATTCCCTATCTGATAGACATGATGGTCTGTTCTTCAAAGTATAGCTAGTAGGCATTCCAAAGAGAATGTAAGGATCAGGAGAAATTTATTTCTGAAAATCAAACAAGTTATAATTTTCTTAACTAAGGTCACTTTTTTTTTTTTGAGACAGAGTCTCACTCTGTCACCAGGCCGGAGTGCAATGGCACAATCTCGGCTCACTCCAACCTCCACCTCCCAGGTTCAAGCGATTCTCCGGCCTCAGCCTCCCAAGTAGCTGGGACTACAGGCAAGCACCACCACGCCCAGCTAGTTTTTGTATTTTTAGTAGAGACGGGGTTTCACCATGTTGGCCAGGAACTAAGTTCACTTTTAATAATTAATTAAAAATCACCAAATATCAAATACCGTGATATTCAAACAATTTCTGGAGCTTATAGATCTCATATTCTGTACACCTGGGTAGACAGCCTCTCCCCTTCATTCATGCTTACCGGAGTCAACTAGGGCCTCAACACTGTAGACCTTACTTTGTTTCCCTATCTAATGCACTTTCCCATTCTACAAAATTCTTTCAATCTATTATCATTCTCTTCAAACCTCATATACCCTGCCACCACATTCCCTCATCCATTCCCCCTCTCCAGCTTCAGATAATTTAGAAGCCATCAGACAGAAACTCCCTCAACAATCTTAACTACAAATCTAAAGCAGTCATCCCTTCCTTTTGCAACAAAAGAAAGGTGGCCTCATATTTAAGACCCATACCATCCTCTACCTCTATCTTGGATTGTACCCCTTTTCTATCTTCTCAAAAGTCTAAATCCACTGATTTTCCATCACATCTTTTCATCTTTGTTTCCACGTTACCCTCTTCATGACTCATGTTCATCGCTACTTGCTCATCTTTCCAACTTACAAACAAAACCACCAATACCCATCCCTTGGCAGCACCTCCTCCTCTAAAACTCTTCTTCCCTTTCTATCCAGTTTCATGAAAATTGTCTCTATCTCCTCCATCGCCTCACACTTTCCAGTTCCACAAATCTGGCTACTGTTTTCACTGCTACTGAAATCCACCTTGCCATAGTCATCTCTGAAGATTATGTCATTAAATACAGTGAGTTTTTTCAATTCATGTAGTGTCGGACCACAGGTACATCTCACGGTCATGACTTGTTCCTTCTCAAAATCGCTCTGCCCTTGGCTTCTCATGGCTCAGGCCTGGCCCCACTTTTCCCCTATCTCAGCAATCTAAATTATTCTTTTGGCTTATATACTAGTAGCACACTGACAACTCCCAAATTTTTATTGAGGCCAGACTTGACTTCTGTATTCTTAATTTACATATCCAACTTCCCACTTCATATTTCCACTTGGAAATTAATGTGGAAATTAATTTGAAAACCTCAAAATTAATGTGTTCAAAATATAATTCAGCTTTCTTTAAAAATAGAAAAAAAAAGAAAAACTGGCTTTTCTTCCCAAACTTCCTATCTCAATAAACTTACTCTACTACTGAAGTAATTAATTTGGAGGTCATTCAGTCACCTTTGATGACTCTGTCTTAACTTTACTTCTCCATGTCCACTACAACATTTGCCTACATCATTTCAAAGTTCTCTTTCCTACTACTGCCAATATCCTTAACTTAAGCCATCATTATCTCTTTGGACAATGATAATGGCTTCTTTATCTATCTTTCCACATCTCTTCTCTCCTTATAGCGGTTTATTCTCTTGTACAGCAGAGTAATCTACTGAAAATACACAATTAATGAAGTCATCCATTTTCATGTCTTCTATTGTCCCCTAAATTTTATAAGGTCCTCCACAACCTGGCCTCTCATCTCTCACACCTGTGTTTTACACTCTAGCCAAACTGGAATTCTTCTAGTTTTTTAAAAGAACACACACTTCACTTTCTTGCCCCTGAGGCTTTAACCACACTATTTCTTAGAACATCCTGTCTTACCCTCACCATCCTTTGCCTGGTATTACTCATCCTTCAGTTTTCTTCTTAGGCATCACTTCCTTATAATAACTCCCCGATCATGACTGCCCCCGACACTGCCAGTACCCTATTAGGTGCTGTTGCCTAGTCTCCATCTCTTTTAGTAGTCCTCACCATACTCAAATTATTTACCATCTATGTTTCCTGCCGAATAACTAGGTCTATGATCCCAAGAATCCTATTTATTTGTCACTATATAACCATGGCCAAAGCACGATGCTACAAGGCACATGGTAAGAACTTAATATTTATCAACTGAATGATTATTCTAGCTTCTAGCCTTTACATACTATTTCTTAAAGATTTAATTATTCAAACCAAGAGTTTATTTTGAGAATATAGGTTATTTCACCAATTAAGAGAAAAGTTCTTTCTGAGTGCATATTATGCATCAGGAATTCTCCTACATAATTTAGGGAAGTGCTCCTTATACTTCATAATTACAATATCTTTAATTGTTATTGGCATACTTTGTATATACCATGGAGAAAATAAGTGTTTAATCCCAAGTGGTCTGAAACAAACAAATTTATTTCAAGTCCTGATTTATATTAAAAATAATAAATGTAACACATGGTATGTACAGTTTGTTTGAATATACAAGTATTTCCCTTCCCCAATAACACTGATATTCCAAGAAAGTGTGCTTTAGTATTTTTGTGGTTTATAGTAGCTCCTTAAACACCACCACATAACCCAGGTTTGAAAGGATAATGTGGGAAATAAAAATAAATATACTCATTTTTGAGTTTTCATTTAATGAAACACTTAACTATAGACCTAACTTAAAATACGCATTCTTCAAAAATGTGAAGTAAAAAGGTCAGTATAATATAATGAATTTGACTTTAATCATTAGTACAATCCTACCTCAAAAGGACAAGCTACAAAGTTGATGAAAATTCAACAGGTTATATAAAACTAACAAAAGAACAATATATGGAATTACATAAAATTGGTGGGACTTAATACACTGGATAAACAGCTATAACATAAGCCTTAAAATTTTGAGGTCTCTGATTATCACACAGAAAGTTGGATCTTCAGGAATCCGAAGAAGAAAGTATAAGAACAAAATATAACAGATTTAAAAACAAATTGAAATAAGTGATTTAAAGTGCAAGCAAATCTGCACAGCTGCCAAGCCTGATGAGTAAGGATGTCACAGCTGCTACCAACCTACCAGTTGCTTAAGGAATGTTAACATTTTACTAGAGTTATAATTACTATGATTTGTAGATTACAGTATATAATTATAAATGCATACTATGTTTAATAACAGTTTGAAGCTTGTGCTTATTATCCCAGAAGAAATACTGCAGTTTTTAAACTACTTATAGTTTTTAAACTACTTAAACTACCATACCTTATTGTGGAATCCATTAGTCATATTATCAGAGGATAAGTATGTAAGATACCACCCTGTTCTCTAGCTTATAATCTAATAGAGAAAGTAAGACATGTATGTACTCATTATTACAAAATTAAAAAGTAACAGCTAATTAATACCCAGAATATAAACACTATATTGCATTACTTCAGAGTGCTATAAAAATGTTACTAGTTTTATATAAATATACAGATGCATAGTTTTACAGTATCATTTACTACAGTAATGATATTACTATAGGAATTCCTATTACTATAGGAATTTGGCTGATCCCAAAAAGATTTACATTAACTGTTTACAAACCTCTTCTCCTTGATGTATCTGCTCCTTTGTTCTTTCTTTTGTTTCCATAATGTATGAATAATCTTCCTTCATCTGTTCAAGTTGTGTTGCTTTCATGAAGAACTATTATCAACAACAAAAAAACGCAATTAGGAGTTTGTAAACTTCCATAGAACTGTTAAAAAGAAAAAGAAAAATTTGGTCTCTGAAAACTTTTAGATCAATGATATAAAAAGACATTAAAAACACAAGCAATCGCACAAACACAAAAGAATACATTTCAGATTCAAATTTACTGAACCTACTATGCTCACATCCACATGTTCATTTGCAAAAGGTCCTAAAACTCCATGAAAGAAAACACTGCAGGGTGTGATGATAAGCTCATTTTCACTATTGCCATTATTTAAGCAAAAACAGCTGAAAAGACTGGCATCCTTGGTCTTAGTACATCTTAAATTTTTAGAATAAGAAATGCCAAAACTCACTCAAAAGACTACACAGAATATTTAGCAGTATAGTCAAGTATTTTGTTAGCTTTTAAAGTTTTTAATAGTTTAAGATTTACAGGCACACTGGCTCACACCTGTAATCCCAGCACTTTGGGAGGCCAAAGCGGGTGATCACTTGAGGCCAGGATTTCGAGATCAGCCCAGCCAAACAGGTGAAACCCCGTCTCTACTAAAAATACAAAAATTAGCCAGACATGGTGTCACATGCCTGTAACCCCAGCTCCTTGGGAGGCTACGGCACGAAAATCACTTAAACCTGAGGGGTGGAGGTTGCAGTGAGCCGAGATTGCGCCACTGCACTCTATCCTGGAAGACAGAGCCTTGCTCTGTCTTTATAAAAAAAAAAAAAAAAAAAAAAAAAAGATTTACAAGTTATTATGTATGTGGGAGCAACTATTATCCTGTATTTCCTTAAAGATTAAGAATTAACAGCCAAAAAGTAAAAACAAAGATTTAAAAAAATTATACCCCCATCTTACTTAACAATTTCCTAATCTAGGAAATTGAATTACTTTAAACAGATGGCTTTAAGAAAAAAAAAAACTCAGACTCCATTATGTGAGCAAGAATATTGTTTACAATATGCCTAAAGGTACTCTTTTTAAATGGGTTTATATTACCTTGGTGCCACTTACTTTGTATTTGTCTCCTTCATTTTTAGACTGTAAGAACTGCTTGCTCATTTCTTGTGTTAAAACGGAAACTGGATTATCCACCTCAAACAAACAAAAAGTCATTTTTGAATATTTTACTTTAATGCTTTAAAGATAGGTAAAAACTGAAACATACATTACAAGTGACCTATGGTGCCATCAGGAAGGCCAAGCAATAGCCAAAGGTTATAACATTAGGATAAAAATACTAAAAAAAAAAAATTAGAAATGTATAATGCAGGAAAAATAATTTAAAATTTCATTATACCAACATACATGGTATAGTTAAAATTCAATATTCTACCAGTACATGAGGGCACAAGCACAAGAACCCTGTGAAAAAGTGTTTTCATTAAAAAGTTTTTCACTTCTTACCTGCTGTATAGAATATCACCCTCATGCCAATGTTTAATCATGGGCTAGCAGAATGGGAAGAGTCCTAGCATGGTAAGGAGTCAGCCACCTTGGGTTCTTGTTTGAGTTCTGTTGCTAACTTCCTATGTAGCCTTGGACAAGTCAGTTACTCCATTTAAACACAGTCCAACTCAGTTACTTCTAATCAGAATCATGATAACAAGTATTGTTTATTTTTCTTATAGAAGTTCTTCATATTATTCCTTCATGAGGATATTGTAAAACAAATGAAAATAATGAAGTCTTTCTATCTTTTGGAAACTAGTCATTGCTTGAATGAAACTACCTTTGGCTAACGTGACGGTTATTACTGAGTGTCAACTTGATTGGATTGAAGGATGCAAAGTATTGATTCTGGGTGTGTCCTCAAGGGTATTGCCAAAGGAGATTAACATTTGAGTCACTGGCCAAGAAAGGCAGACCCATCCTTAATCTGGGTGGGCACCATCTAATCAGCTGCCAGGGCGGTTGGAATACAAAGCAGGTGGAAAAACTTGAAAAGACTAGACTGGCCTAGCCTCCCAACCTACATCTTTCCCTAAAACTGGATGCTTCCTGCTCTCAAACATTGGACTCCAAGTTCTTCAGTTTTGGGACGTGGACTGGCTTTCCTTGCTCCTCAGCTCACAGACAGCCTATTGTGGGACCTTGTGATCATGTGAGTTAATACTTAAAACCATATATATCTCCTATTCATTCTGTCCCTATAGAGAACTCTAATACACCTAACAAGTTAAGATATCAAAATAAATTGGAAAAGTACAGAAAAAATACAACTTTTTTCAAAAAGATTCAGGGTCATTATTCAATTACTAACAAATAAGTTTACATGTTAAATGTTAGTCAATTGCTAACAAATCAGTTTACGTGTTAAAAATAATCTTAAGGTTATCGTATAAATGAAAAAAACTTTAAACCCTTCATGTTTACTGTCTGAAATAAATATTGTGTAATTTGTTGGTATACCAATGGTTAAAACATTTCTCTTAAGTAAAATGTTGGGCCTCTCTTCTAAGATAATAAAACACATTTATGTAGTTATAAACAAAACTTTACACGTGACATGTTTCTTATTATACAGACCAGACTCCATCTACCACATATTTTTTCACAAAGCACCCCTAGCTCATGATTTCATACTGCATCTGACCGCTTAATAGACCTAATGCAGTAGTAGCTCTAATAACAAACATCTTAACATCAACTTTCAATTAAAAGCTTCACCAAAGTTTATATTCATTTCTCTACACCTTTTTCACTGTTTTTGAAATGGAGTTCCTACTTCTTATACTACTCTTGGGATTATTTAAGAATCTTGGCCAGGCACAGTGGTTCATACCTATAATCTCAGCACTTTGGGAGGCTGAGGCAGGTGGATTGCTTGAGCCCAGGAGTTCAAGATCAGCCTAGGCAACACGGTGAAAACCGTCTCTACAAAAAGTACAAAAATTAGCCGGGTGTAGTGGTACCCGCCTGTAGTACCAGCTCTCAGGAGGCTGAGGTGGAGGATCACTTGAGCCTGAGAGGTGGAGGTTGCAGGGAGTCGTGATCATGCTACTGCATTCCAGCCTGGGCGACAGAGTGAGACTCTGTCCCAAGGTTCATGCCAGCACTTTGGGAGGCCAGAGCCAAGGTGTGAGGATCGCTTGAGGCCAGGACTTCAAGACTAGCCTGGGCAACATGGCAAAACCCAGTCTCTAAAATCAAACCAAAAAAAAGCATGTTGTAGCGCTATCTGTCAGAACCCTGAAAAAAGCAAAAAGCAAAAACAGGTAAACTTCAGCAAGAGGATAAGAAACGGAGGCAGAGAAGACAAATATGATCAGGTACTTAAAGACATTAAATACCCTCTTCCGTCCTGGGTATTCTAGACCAACACTGTCTAAAAAAAATATAATGCAAGTCACCCACAATTTTTTTTTTTTTTGAGACAGGGTCTCACTCTGTCACCCAGGCTGGAGTGCAGTGGCGTGATCTCGGCTCACTGCAACCTCCGCCTCCTGGGTTCAAACAATTCTCCCATGTCAGCCTCTCGAATAGCTGGGACTAAAGGCATGTGCCACCATGCCTGCCTAATTTTTGTGTTTTTTGGTAGAGATAGTGTTTCACCATGTTGACCAGCCTGGTCTCGAACTCCCGACCTCAGGTGATCCACCGGTCTCAGCCTCCCAAAGTGTGGGGATAACAGACGTGAGCCACTACACCCAGCCCATACATACAATTTTAAATGTTCTAGGAGCCACATTAAAAATATAGAGAAAAAGGTGAAATTTAATAACATATTTTTAATCCAATATAACCAAAATATTATCATTGTAACATGTAATCAATATAAAAAACTAAGTTATTCCTTTATATTAAGTTTTCAAAATCTGGTGTGTATTTTACATTACTGCATACCTCAATTTGAGCTACCCACTCTTCAAGTGCTCCACATCTACCTGTGGCATGGCTCTAGATCTTCTGCATTTTAATCAATGAAACTGAATCTTTTGTTACACATTAAGTAAACCATGGAAGAAAAAGGACCAGGAATCTTTAAATATTTCAACAGAGAATAACATGTTTTACATTCCCCAAGGAAGTGAGAGCTTAGAGAAATACACTTTTTTTCAATTTTCCTCATAATGAAAACTTTCTAATAAATACAGCTGTCCACAGAAGAAGGAAGCAGCCTTGGACAGAGGTGATTTCCCCATTATCCTTTCAAGAACCTGTGCAGGAAAACCTGGTGGAGATTCTACACAGGGTAAATACACAGTATTTATACAGTATACTGAATGCCCTTCAGATTCTCCCAACACCTATGATTCTATAAACTCTAACTCTTGGTTTTCCTGATTCTAATAAATTGTCCTGCATTCTAGTCTGAAATTCATTTGCTGTACCTGCTTTTCTCTAGATTTTAAGAATTATTTTTCCTAAACTTGTACTGTCTGATACGCAGCAGGCCCATTTGCCATGTGTCGCTTATTCTACTTAAAAAAATACAATTAAAACTTCAATTTCTTAGTCACAATTTCAAGTAGTCAAGAACCACATGTGGCTAATGGTTATCCCACTGAACAGCATAAATACAGGACATTTCCACCATCACAGAAAGTTCTGTACCCTCTGTTCTAAACCAAAGTGGAAAAGAGACCCAGACTCCTAATTGTTCTTTTTCTTTGATCACAAATCTTGGGAGTTTTTAATTCTGTAACGAGGCAGTATTGCACAATGGAAAGAGCAGTAGAATGAAACTGGGATGCCTGGATCCCAAATCCAGGTTCTACCAGTAACCACGTCTAGACAGCCTTAAATATAAATTTATTTTTGGTAGCTCCCAGTTTCTCATCTACAAAACAAACAGCCTGGATTAGGTGTCTTCTAAAGGTAATTCTAGTGTAAATGTTTACAGAACTACATGTACCCTATTATCAATTAATTCAGCCAAAGTATCTTAGCAGAAAGGACTCAAGTCTTTTCCCCTACAAGTGTGATCAGTAGCTCCGAAATAGAGAAATGCTTTATCTTTCTAGAATAAATTTTCTTTAAGAATTTAGTAACTTTAGAAGCTAAACACTCATCCAGGAAAAAAAAAGAAGAGTTTAGCAACTAAGTTTAGGGAACAATGATGCTATTTTGACTAGGACAGCAAAAAGCAAAGAAACCTGACATCCTTATTAAGATAAATTTTAGCCTAGAGTAGTATAGACTAAATGTTCTTGACTGCTCTATCAAATTAAAGGTGTTATATTATGTATTGACAATCCTGTGTTGAATTAATAATTTTTTTTTTTTTTTTTTTGAGATGGAGTTTCACTCTTGTTGCCCAGCCTGGAGTGCAGTGGCACAATCTTGGCTCACTGCAATCTCCACCTCCCGGGTTCAAATGATTCTCCTGCCTCAGCCTCCCTAGTAGTTGGGATTACAGGTGCCCACCACCACGCCCAGCTAATTTTTTTTTTTTCTGTATTTTTATTAGAGAAGGGGTTTCAGCATGTTGGCCAGGCTGGTCTTGGACTCCTGACCTCAGGTGATCCACCTACCTCAGTCTCCCAAAGTGTGGGATTACAGGTGTGAGCCACCGCACCCAGCCAAATTAGTAAATTTTAAACAACTTCACTGATAATAGTTACACATATGCTTCCTGTGGTCAACTTACTCATATGAGGCCATTTAAATTTTTTTCTACACAAGTGAAATCACACTAAAAAATGACAAGCTGTATGAATTAATCTGAAACACAAATTCACCAATTACCTGGATGTTAAAATGATCAAGAATTGCAATCAGCTCTTCTTTCTTAGTGGAAACCACGGAGCCTAGTTATGAGAAACATATGAAATAACCAAACTGTTTCTAGGGCATAACACAGAAAAAATGTATAGTTACTTACAAAATATAAATATTAATTAGCTTTCATTGCATCATCAAGAAAGGTACCATTGAATATGTATAAACATGAATGAACACGGCACAAGTACAGAGGAAGAAAAAGTACCCACATGCAATAATGGTGCTTATCTTGTTCCCACAACTAAACATATTTTGCTCCTCATCCATCACTCTTCAAAAACTAAATGCTCACCTCTTCTTTTATGTCATTTTGCACTTTTGCTAACCATTTATAAAAACCCTGGTGTGACAGGAAGTCTGTAGGTGAAAACAAAATGGCACAACCTGTTTCAAATAATCCCCAGTTCTGCTAATCATGCTTTTGGTGACATAATATCCTGGGGTAAAACAATCATGTGTAATACACATACACTTACAACCAATCATGTTACAACGAAGACAGTTTAATCAATACCAACAGTCATCTAATTCTTTCTAATTGAGTATTTCCTAATAAATGAAAAGAGAATCAAAACAAACCTGTTGCACTTTTAAGTTTATAAGATCGACTTCCATCTATGCTGATGTGTTGCTGTATAAGTATAGAGTTACCATACACACTGGCTTTAAAGGCATCATCTCCTCTGTTCCTCAATGTTATTGAGATATCTGCAGAGCTGAAACAATGAGGTTAAGCTAAGTTACATGAAGACACAGTGTAATTACAATACTAGGTTGCCACAATTTTCAAAATTTTCAAAACCACCAAATAATTTGGCCAATTCATTTGCAAATTAGCTTTACATCAATAGCTGACACTGACTGTTCACTACAGCATAACGTTAACGATACTGTGCCTAACAACAAAATTAAGTTGAGAATAAGTGATGCTTCATAAAAAATAATTGACTGACTACTCTATCCATATGGCACATTTGACAAAAACCATTAAGTTTCGGTTGTTTCAAGACATGTAGATAAGTTATATATTTTCCTGTAAAAATCACGTCATCAACATTATACTGCCTGACTACTATAAGTTATATAAAGCATCATGCTTGACAGTAGGCCTTTAAAGAATGATGAAGTAAAAATTATGGTAAAGTAGTAACATTTTCAAAGAGGATTAGAATTAAGAAAGGTAATTTTAATTTTTCAAGTACTTGGCAATAAAACATAAAACCATTTGATATCAAGAAATGTAACTAGGCTGGGCACAGTGGCTCATACCTGTAATCCCATCACTCTGGGAGGCCAAGGTGGGTGGATCACTTGAGGTCAGGAGTTTGAGACCAGCCTAGCCAACATGGCAAAACCCTATCTCTACAAAAAATACAAAAATTAGCCAGGCACGGTAGTGCATGCCTGTATTCCCAGCTACTCGGGAGTCTGATGTAGGAGAATCGCTTGAGCCTGGGAGGCAGAAGTTGCAGCGAGCTGAGATCGTACCATTGCACTCCAGCCTGGGCGACAGAGAGACTCCATCTCAAAAAAAAAGAAACTAAAGCCCAAAATTTCTTTACTGGCATTAAAAATAATGAGTATAAATCTGCCTAACCAATAGGCTCTGTTATAGTTTTTAAAGTTTTAAAGATGTTTTAGGGACTTACAGCCATGCATATTTTAAGATCTATAGGGGTAAAAAAAAAAAAAAAGAATATTTGTGTACTACAACTCGTGTTAAAATAAGACTTGGTAGAAAAACAAAGATGCTGATAAAGGACATTAATAAAGATATAATTTCCTTAGACATAAAAGCAGATATTTTACCTGGTACATATGAGCATCTGTCAAAATGCTGAAGTCCTTTAATATAAAAGTGTTTTAATTGGTAATTAAATGAAACTTTTAATAGAACAAACTTGTTTTTGTGAATTTGTAATCATACTCAAAAACTGTTCCCATCTGTGGGAAATGCATGGAAGAAATATTCCAGATGAGCTTCATTGTGAACTACTGCTAAGACAGTAGACACACTGAAGTGTTTGTTCTGTTGCTCACCCATCCTTTTCTGTACAAGTGCCCTAGCAGAAAGGGCTTAGCAAAGATATAATTTTCCATCCTATCCTCTTGGGATTGAGCTAAATATAGACATTTTTACCAGCTGAGCAATCAGATTTTCTTCTTTAAAAAATCAAACTAAGAAAATCTGGTTAAAAAATTTCAAAAGTCTGTAGTTTAGTTGATATTGTACCAATGTTAACTGCATAGCTTTGATAAATGCATCTTAGTTACGTAAGATATCTACATTAAGGAAAACTGGGTGAAGGATATACAGAAAATTGTACCATCTTTGCAACATTTCTGTAAATCTACAATTATTTCAAAACAAAAAGGTTTTAAAAAATTCAAATTAAGAAATGATCAAGTCAAGAGATGGTGAATCCTGGGAGCCACAAAGTTATGGAGCCTCTAGATCTAGAGAAACCAATTTGGGGCATTATACTCTAATAAGAAAATAGAAAAGTCTGAATAGAACAGATAAGCTCTTCGGAAACTACCTAGGCAGACTAATAAAAAGACATACATACTCACAGATACTGGCAGTGAACCAGAGGCACAGAAAACATAAGATCACTTTCTTACACACATACACCCACAGACTAGGACAGTAAGACTTATAAATGCCTGCACATGTGAAGACACGCAGTAACAAAGATTAGCAAAAGAATAAGAAAGTACACATACTTGAGACAGTGATAGAGAAAAACACACTCACTTACCTGTACACTTTTCGTTAAGGAGAGACAGGAAAGAGCAGAGCATAGTGCACACACAGAAGCACAGCCAATTAAGTTAGGATTGTGAGGGTGGTGCAGAGAGGAGAGATGCAGAACAAACCAAAGGGAGGGAGAGGGAGACAGAGGCCCAGAGACAAGACACACAGAGACAGCGAGAGATGCAATTACTCAGTTCTTACAGGGTCTCAGTCTGGTCCCTCAAGAGACCCTGCAGTATTTCCTCTCTGCAGTTTCATGGATATATATCCTTGCATCTTTATGGTAAATACCCTTTCATAGAGCTACCTTGAATAAATTGGTGTGGTTTTTCTATAAAAACAAAATTACCCAATTAAGACAGATATGCTTCAGAAAAATTACAATTAATGGGATTATTTAAAAGCTCCCTAAGTTGATTCTAATGAACAGTTAAGGTTGAGAACCACTAAAGTATGAGGGGAAGGCTGGCTGGCCTCTGATAATGTAGCTAACAAATATTTTATTTCATTAGCTAGTATGATTACCTGCATTAAGTTACTGTACCTCATGAAAACATTTCTTAAATGACTACATATATGTGCTCTCTGAATAATCAAACACCTCTCTTGATTACCAAACACCTACTTTATTATCTTCATTCCTGGCTACTCCTTGTATTTTAGCTATCTTTAGTATAGTGAGAACTTCAGAGGCACTGATATCCTACTGCTATATAAATTTTCTTTTCTTTTTCTTTTTTTTGAGACAGAGTCTTGCTCTGTCGCCCAGGCTGGAGTGCAGTGGCATGATCTCAGCTCACTGCAATCTCCGCCTCCCAGGTTCAAGTGATTCTCCTGCCTCAGCCTCCCAAATAGCTGAGATTACAGGCACCCACCACCATGTCCAGCTAATTATTCTATTTTTAGTAGAGACAGGGTTTTGCCATGTTGGCCAGGCTGGTCTTGAACTCCTGACCTCAAGTGATCTGCCCACCTCGGCCTCGAAAGTGCCAGGATTACAAGCACGAGCCACCGTGCCTGGCCTGCTATACGAATCTAATAAATACAAGAAAGCAAAATTCTTCTAAAAAATAACACTTATAAAAAAGCCTCATAATTACTGCTAAACAAACCAAAAAAACCACTTCTGCTGGAAGACAGAGACAACGAAGCTGGGCACTAGCTCTGCAGTCTTCCCCTTTACACTGATATGGTCTGTGCTGATGCTTAATTTGGGTCAATCAGCCATAGAGCCCAATGCCTGTAAATACAGGAGAGCCTTAACTGAAAAGAGAGACTATCTGTGAGATTTTTTTCAGAATGACAACACAAACAAGCAGTACCACAGTAATAATTGAGCTTCTTTCTCAACTCAGGAAGAATCTATCTATGTGGAAGTAACTGGCAGCTGTGCACATGGATGAGAACAAGGAAAAAGAAAAGTCATACAAAAAGATGATACAACTGCTCCTTCTCTGCGTCACCAGCTCATCTGTAACAAGTTCTGTATCCTTGACTAAATAAATCAGGAACATAAAACAGGAGAATGAGTTTTTGTCCCTCTATAACCCTTGTGCCACAGTTGATGTCAAAAATTAGACTACTGCAAAGACCCCAAGGCTACCAGGGTTGGTATTATGAAGGCCAAGGGAGGGAACAGTAAACTGTATATGTTTAAAGAGAATCTAAATAGCAAAGGGCATGAGGCCTTGGGTCACTGAGAAAGGTTCTCATGTGAAGAGATACATTAGGAGGATTCATTCAGTCCCTGTGTCACTGCAAAGGCTTGGTGGATAATTAGAAGGATGAGTCCCAGGCAATGTCTCAAGGTGCAGTTCTCTGACTTCTCCTAACAGTATTACGCAAGCATCTCCAAGGAGAGTTGAAATATCCCAAGAAAGGAGGCCCAGAGCACAGGTGTCACAAATGGTGAGTGTAATGTTAGAGATGGGGGAAGGGAGGGACAGACTCCTTAGAAGAACTATCTCAAACTTGTGCTGGACTACACTGACAACCATTCTTCAGGTAAAGTGAGACTCCTGCATAGACTTTAGATGTGCAATAGAGTAAGAACAGAACTAAAAACCTCAACGAGCTGATTCTGCAAAAAACTGATGACAGAATCAGATACTATAAAACCAAGGGAAATTTTATAAATACTAAATGTTTTCAATGAGGGAGGGGATAGATAAGAACAATACAGATATGGAAAAACTCTGCTTTTAGTTACTTTTTTAGATAGAAGACTGAGCTAAGGTTAGAGTTTTTAGCTGTCACTAACTGTGTTTTAAAATATATTTCCCCCAATTTTGTACTGGAAAAGCAAAAATAAAATATATACATTACTATTTCACTCTATAGGCAGCCATGTCCTTAAAAGTCGGTGATTTGTTTAAGCTAGTCTTTTTTTATTAAATAGTGTTCAGAGGACAGGTCTCAGAGAGAAGTTTCTACCCTGGTCTAAGCACTTTTCAAATAGAAAAAAAAAAAAAGTATTTAACTGAGAAAACATTTAACAGTGCATAAAAAATAATTTATTCCTAAAGACTGTATCTGAAAATTCAATGTGCTATTTGGCCAAGTAGACTGGGTGATTGTTGGGACAGCTAAGAAATGGATAGTTAAGTATTATGAACTGTGGCTGGGTGTGGTGGCTCACACCTGTAATTCCAACACTTTGGGAGGCTGAAGCAGGTAGATCACTTGAGCCCAGGGGTTTGAGACCAGCCTGGCCAACATCAGAAGACCCCTTCTCTACTAAAAAAAAAAAAAAAAATTAGCCAGGCATGGTGGCATGGCTGTAGTCTCAGCTACTTGGGAGGGCGAGGCATGAGAATCACTTGAACCCAGGAGGTGGAGGTTGTAGTGAGCCAAGACTGCGCTACTGCACTGCAGCCTGGGAGACAGAGTCAGACTCTCTCTCAAAAAAAAAAGAATTTCTCATGGATTCTAACGACTAGTAAATAATAATAATTATAAAAAATTTAATATAATGAACTGAACTAAGAGTTGATACTACTAACTTAAAGGTGTTAAAATAACTAATTTTTTTGTTACAAACGTCATTTTGGTTTGTGGTGAAAGGAAGACTTTGCTGGACTGGGGCCCCATAAAGTGGAGACAGACACTATGCTGGAGAATTGTTATCAAATAGTTTTTTCCCAGGGCCATAGAGCATGGGAAATAATCTTCTGTGTATCTTTTCTCTCTTTTTTTTTTTAGTCAATTTGGAATCTTGGCTTAAGGTTAAGATTCCTAAGGCTTCTGAGGAATACATAAGAAATCTGCAGGTCTAATTCACATCCTATCCTTGTTCTATTTTTTAGTAATAAAATAGAAGAGAAATGGATATAACACTGAGCAGAAGGAAAAGTCTACTGAATGAGAAAAAAGATATTAGTGTTAATTATGAAAGTTTCAAAAGTTCTCAGCACTGGGCATGAGAAGGAGGAATGGGAGTAGCCTCATGCTAGAAGATGTATGACAGCATTTAGGGCACTTTGTTGTTATGAAAAACAAAGATCCCTTCAGAGGTATCTGGGGCAGTACGGAAAAGAATGAAGAGATAAGCCTGAAGACAGAACAGCTAGTGGGCAAAAAGCAGTGAGTCCATGATGATGCAAACTGGACAATTCATATATAGCTATGTGATGGCAACTTATGACAAAAAGAAATATAAATGTAAAGCCAAAAACAGTAGTGATATAACTATTTACTAAGGGTCTGGGATAGACAGATCTGTCACTGTGGTCCTCAAATTAAACTCACTGGCAGCCCACTTGGGTAAAGGGTATAAAATCAGAGTCAAAAAGTAGAATTCTTATTTTGGGACTTCTTAGAGAGCTAAAGACAGTTTTGTGCAGGGACACTTTGGCTGGTCACTGATTTTGCTCTCCCTACTATCGTATCAATGTGGACTCACTGATGCTGGGTTTGGGTCAAGAGTCAGGAATTAGCAAGGTTTATAAACACTTGTTAAACAGGATACATAGATTTATCACAGCCATTTCTTTCAGCAAGTAACAGAAGCAAGTTGGCCAGGCACATGGCAGTAAGTTACACAAGCTATCTGTCTTGAGAGGATAACAGGCAACAGTGCGCCATGCCGGCAACAAGGGGTAAAAGAAAGGATTGAAAAAATAGGACACCTCTGCTCCTATTCTGGGAAGGCACTTCATTTCCAGTCATGTCTATGTAAACTGGGAATCTAAAGTAACTGTTTTCTTACTAAAGAATTGAAAATAGATGGTAGAAAGCAAACACTTACTTCTGTCCATCCTTCACAAAACCTTTTAAAGAGGATCCTCTATTAGTAGCAACTGCTCTTCCACCAAGACCAACTATGAGAGCTGTGAGTACTGCGCTCTTCCCACCTAAAGAAACAGACGTTGAAGAAATCACGTTCATTAAAAGAAAAAGGAAAAAGCTGACTCCTACCATGTCATGCAAAAAGATTTATGAATGAGACTCACTTTAAAATAAAATGTTAAAATTCAACTATAATTTTCTTCCCATGCAAAGCAACAACTTAAAAAAAAAGTTATATATGTAATGAAAAATTGAGCTGCCGCTATTAGCAAAAAAATAGTACATTTCAGGAATCAAATTTTTGCCACTAAAAGGAAAATGGTAAAAATTGTTTTGACACCTTTCCAACCTAAAACTTTCATTGTACCACCTTGGCCTATCAACCTAATAAATGAATATATCCTTCTATTTACACGTATATTATTAATTCATCTAATTTTTATGACATTTTATTGGCATACTCATTGCTCACTGTAACCTCAAACTCCTGGGCTCAAGTTATCCTCCTGCCTCAGCCTCCTCAGTAGCTGGGATTACAGGTACACATCACTACGCCCAGCTAATTTTTTTTTTTATAGAGACACACTGTTGGTATGTTGCCCAGGGTGGTCTCAAACTCCTGGTTCTCAAGCAATCCTCCTGCCTTAGCCTCTCAAAGTGCTGTGATTATAGATGTGAGCCACTGGGCCCAGCCAGAAACTACTGTTAACATCCCTCAAAAGTAAGCTCCATGTGGACAGGAATGTTGTCTCTTTCATTCAATACTGTATCCCTAATATTAGCAAATAATAAGTACTTGCATTATTTGTTGAATGAACTTAAGTAGAAAAAAATCAGCCAAGTCATATACATGTTTTTATACAATATTTTAACAATTGTTATTTGTAATTTGAATATTATTCATTTTCTAGCTCTTTGAGAACTGTACTTCTTTATACTCTCACGGATCTAAAATATTACAAGCGGAGGGCTAGGTGTGGCGGCTCACACCTGTAATCCCAGTGTTTTCAGAGGCTGAGGCGGGAGGCTCACCTGAGACCAGAGAGACCAGCCTGAGCAAGAGTAACACCTGGTCACTACAAAAAATAAAATTAGGCAGGCAGGCTGGGCACAGTGGTTCACGCCTGTAATCACAGCACTTCGGGAGGCCAAGGCAGGTGGATCACTTGAGGTCAGGGGTTCGAGACCAGTCTGGCCAACATGGTGAAACCCCGTTTCTACTAAAAATACAAAAATTAGTTGGGCGTGGTGGTGCACACTTATAATCCCAGCTACTTGGGAGGCTAAGGTGGGAGGATTACTTGAACCCAGGAGCTGGAGGCTGCAGTGAGCCAAGACAGCACCACTGAATTCCAGCCTGGGCAAAGCAAGACTCTGTCTCAAAAAAAATAAATAAATAAATTAGGGAGGCATAGTGGCATGTGCCTGTGGTCCTAGCTACTTTCAAAGCTGAGGGGAGAGGACAGCTTGAGCCCAGGAATTCAAGGCAGCAGTGAGCTATGATCACATCATGCAGTCCAGCGTGGGTGAGAGAGAGAGAGAGATCCTGTCTCTTTAAATACACACACACACACACACACACACACAGAATATGGTAACAATTTTTTGAACTCCATTCAACCAATCCAATCAACTTTTATTAGCCCATTATCTTCCTCAAAGTAATACAAAGTAACTAACACACACCACTGATTAACCTAATTTAGTTCCTGGAATGCCTTTAAAGTTCCTCTTCTAACTCCCTTTTCTTCATTACCAAATGCACTGCCTCCACTGTTTGCATTATTTCCTCTTCTATTAGTTTTTATTAATAAAAACCATTGTTTTGAAAGCTAAAAGACCTAACTTCAGAACCCACCAGTATTTATTTCTTGTCCCATGTGACCCCTCTAAAATAGGGATCCCCTTGTCCTCCCATTTCTCCTAGAGACATTTTCTTCTTGACTGAATGATAAAGTAAGAAAAACAGAACCACAAAAGGGACGGCAGAGCTACACATAACCTAGCTTCCTATTCTAGACTCTGGTAAGCCTCCTCTCCCTGTGTACCTTCTCAGTCCAGGAGTTAACACCACATTCTTGGCAGACCTACCACAGAACTGCCTGGAAACTTTCTGCCTCCTGTATTTTTCCCCTTCTAATCCATTGTCCACAATGTGGTCAGTCTGTTTCATGAATTGTGGCCATGTCACTCCTTTACTCAAAAACTTTAATTGTGGCCGGGCACAGTGGCTCACACCTGCTAATCCCAGCACTCTGCAAAGCCAAGGCGGGCGGATCACTTGAGGTCACGAGTTTGAGATCTGCCTGGCCAAAATGGTGAAAAGCTGTCTCTACTAAAAATACAAAAATTAGCCAGGCGTGAAGGCACGCTAATCCCAGCTACTCACAAGGCTGAGACAGGAGAATCACTTGAACCTGAGAGGCAGAGGTTGCCCTGAGCCAAGATGGCACCACTGCACTCCAACCTGGGCGACAGAGGGAGACTCTGTCTCAAAAAAAAGAAAAGAAAAAAAAAAAAAAAACCCAAACCACCAAGCAACAACAAACAAAACTCTAATTGGTTCACCACTGTCTTCAAACTAAAACTCCAAACTCTTTATTATGACATTCAACATCCTCAACAATACTGCCTAGAACATGACTCTCCACAGTCAGCTTCTGCTTCTCTCCACCGTCCACCATACGATAAATCATATAAGGTTATTCACCAGTTCCTATACACATCTACCTCTACTCCTCCAAACCTTAGCTGATGAGCAACCTTTGTCTGGAACATCTCAGCCTCTTCTTGCCAATGAGACCTACAGAATCGATAATTTTCATTCAAGAACTGGCACAAAAACCACCTCCTCTTAAAGCTTTTATTGGCCACCTGGTAAGAATTTGTTACTTTTATGTTTGGATTGCCAAGTCACTTCATTTGTGCTCTATTACAATGTTTAGTAAGGTAAGACACAAGGCTGCCTCAATTGCAATAAGGATCGCTTGTCTACCCTTCTGTGGTATAAGATAAATACATTAAAAACATAAGCAGGAAATGTTTATCCCTATTGCTTAAGTAACAAACCTAGAGTTAACTCAATATTTTCTTTAAGTGTACACTGGCAGCAAATACCAAGAATATTCATAACCACAAGTTATACATCTATAGACAAAACACTTATTAGCACTAATAGTCACCTATTTCAAAAAGTTAATGTACTCTAATCTCAAAGTACTACTCAAAGTCAAACGAGGAGGGAAAAAACACTTACTTCCATTGTTGCCAACAACAAAGTTGACATTAGAACCAAACTTAAAGGGTCCAAGCATTGAATGACACATGAAGTTTTTTAGGTGAATACTCTCAATTATTCCAACTTCTGCTGCAGTCTATGAATAAAAAACAATAGGAGAAAATAGTCAATCTAATTCACTCATTATAACCATTCAAGCATTGTTGGCATCAGAAAGACTAGCAACATCACCAATGAAAAAATTTACAGAAAGTGACTAATGGTAACTTCAATGAATAAGATGAAATTAAATGGGAACCTTCTATGAGTCAGTACTCATTCCAAAATCTTTAAAGGATTTAAAAGTGTGTCACCAGATTTCTCAATATTGGCAATAACATTTTGGGTCTGATAATTTTCTGTTAGTGGGGAGGTCTGTCTTCTGCACTGTAGAATGTTTAGCGGCATCCCCAGCCTCTATCCACTAGAAGCCAGCAACACATACCTGTCCCTAAGTTGTGACAACCAAAAATATATCCAGACATTGCTAAATGTCTCTGGCAGACACAAAAGGGAGAGAGAAGAATCCCCTTTGTTGAGAACTGCTATCCCAACTGGCATAGCAAAACTTCCTATATACTTTATTTAGAATACCTCTGAAAGATGACTATCCAGCCATGCATTCAACACTGAATTCACTATCTGACATATACTATTTCAATTCAAAGAGCGGAGTACATGTTCTTAAAAAGTAAAGCCTGCTCTTCTTGTGACTGTCACTTATTATCACAGCTGTGTGACTTTTGGCAATGTTATAAAGAATATAGTTTCCGAGTCCGTAAAACAGGAATAATAATTCCTATACTGTAAATATTACATCAGCATTAAGTTACATAAGGTTTACAAATGGTTTAACCAAGAGTTTGGCAAATGGTAGTCACTTGCACTTTGTAGTTATCTAAGTACCAGAACAAATCAGCCTTATTTTATCAGGCCTTCTAATTTTTTTGAAGACCATTTTCAAGTCTCCAGGTATTTTAAAGATTTCTTTAAAACTCCCTGGCTCTCTTCTTCTGGACATACATCTTATTAAACAGTAGAAAACATTTACATCCTTGTATGAGTAGAATACTGGAAATCATGGTTGAAGAATTTTTGAAATATTTTTATTTTTAAATAATAACAGATTCACGTGCAATCCTTAAGAAATGAGATCCTGTGTCCCCTTTACTCAGTTTCCTCCCATTGTAACTTCACAACCTTGTAACTTCCTCCCATTGTAACTTACAACTTGGTTGTAACAATATCACAACCAAGTTACTGACACTGACATAGTCAAAATACAGAATATTTCCATCATCATCAGGATTCCGCATGCTGCCCTTTTATAGTCACATCCACATCCCACCTTAACCCCTGACCCACTAATCTGTTCATTTCTATTAACTTTGCCCTTTCTAAAATGTTAAATAAATAGAAATAGACAAAATGTAGCCTCTTGGGACTAGCTTTTTTCACTCAGCCGAATTCTCTGTTGTTGCCTGTATCGGTAGTTCACTCCTTTTTATTCTTAAGCTATATTTTATGGTATGGATGTACCAAGGTGTATTTACTAGTTCCTTTGCCTTTTCACCTAAATTTTAGAATAAAATATACACCTGCAAAATATCTTGCTGAGGTTTTAATAGAACTGCATTTAAACTTACATACCATTTTGGGGGAGAATTGACATAATTTCTATATTGAGTTGTCTAATCCATGAATAAGTATGTATCTCCATTTATTTGGGTGTTCTTTGATTCCCTTCATCAGCACTGTATAATTTTCACCATATTAGTCCTGTACATATTTTGTTAGCTTTAGACGTATTTCATTTTTTAATACTTAATTTTTTAAGAGTAGTTTTAGATTCACAGCAAAATTGAGAAGAAGATACAGAAATATCCTATATACCCCCTACCCCCACACATGCATAGTCTCCCTCATTATCAACATCCACCATCAGCGTGGTACATGTGTTACAGCCGATGAACCCACACTAACACATCATTATCAACCCAAGTCCACCGTCTATACTAGGGTTCACTCTTGATATTACTGTACATTCTATAGATTTGAACAAATTTATAACGACATGTTTCCACCATTTTCGTATTGTACAGTGTTATTTTTACTGCACTAAAAATCCAGTGCTCCACCTACTCATCCCTCCCTTTCCTCAACCGCTAGCAACCAACCACTGATTTTTAACTCTCTCCATAGTTAATGCCTTTTTCAGAATGTCATATAGTTGGAATCATACAGTATGTAGCCTTTTCTGATTGGCTTCTGTCACTTAGTAATATGCATTTAAGGTTCCTCTATGTCTTTTCATGGCTTAATAGCTTAATACTAATGGTCCATTGTCTGGATGTACCAGAGTTTATTTATTCATTTATCTACTGAAGGACATTTTGGTTGCTTCGGAGTTTTGGCAATTACAAATAAAGCTGCTATAAACATGAAAGCACAGGTTTTCGTGTGGACGTAAGTTTTCAACTCCTTTGGGTAAATACTGAGGAGTTCAATTGCTGGACTGTACGGTAAGAGGATGTTTGGTTTTGTAAGAAACTGCCAAACTGTGTTCCAAAGTGGCTGGACATTCTCATCAACAACGAATGAGAGTTCCTGTTGCTCCACATTCTTGTCAGCATTTGGTGCTCTCAGTAGTTTGAACTGTTGCCATTTTATCTTTATCGGGTGTGTTGGTATCCCAATATTGTTTTAATGTGCATTGCCCCAAAGTGGTTCATTTTTCTTGAGTGATTGAAAATAGTATTTTGAATTTTAATGTCCATGTGCTCAATGCCAGTATATAAAAGTAAAGCATTTTAAAAATACCTTATCCTATAACTTTGCTGAATGTATTTATTCATTTTAAGAGTTTTCTGTAGATTCCTTGAGATTTTTTATGTAGAAAATGAACAAATGGATTATCTACATAATCTGCAAACAGACACTTTTTGCGTGTTTTTTTCCTTTCCAAACTCTATACCTTCTGTTTCCTTTTCTTGATTTGTTTGCACTGCTAGATTTCCCAGCACTATGTGTTCAATAAGTGATAAAAGCAAACAACTTTGTCTTCTTCCTGATCTTTGGGGAAAAGTATCCAATGTTTTACCATTAAGTATAACGTTAGCTGTCAGTTTTTTTGTGGGTGCTCTTTAACATATTGAGGAAGTTCCAGTCTATTCTTATTTTTCTGAGCGTTTTAGTCATGAACAGGTGTTGAATTTTATCAAACATTTTTGCTGCACTGAGTGATATAATCATGTGATTTTTCTTCTTCAGCCTGTAACATGGTGAATCACAATGACTGATTTTTGGATACTGAATCAGGTTTGTATACCTAAAATAATCCCATTAATCACGACATATAATTCTTTTACATATAGTTGGCTCTTCCTATCTGCAAATTCTGCAGATGTGAATACACAGGGCAGATTATAAAGGACTTCAGCATCAGTGGATTTTGGTCTGAAGCAGAGTACTGGGAACCAATCCTGCTTGAATACCAAGGAACAACTACATTGCTGAATTCTCCTCGTAAATATTTTGTTCAGTATTTCTGCAACCATATCTGTTAGGTATACTGGTTTTACAGTTTGTTTTTTGGGGGGTCCCACTTTGTCTGGTTTTGGTATCAAGATAATACATTGAAAAGTGTTCTCTCCTCTTACGTTTTCTGGAAAAGACTGTGTAGATTCATGTTGATTCTTCTTTAAATGTCTGGTACAATTCTACAGTGAAACCAACTGGGTCTGTAGATTTCATTTTCAGGAGTTTAAAATTATGAATTAAATCTCCTTAGTAGTTATAGGGCTATTCAAATGATCTATTTCATACTGGGTGAGTTGTAGTAATTTTTCCTTTTTGAGGATTGGTCCACTTCATGTAAGTTGTCAAATTTATGTGTGTAGACTTGCTAACTGCATTTCCTTTGGATGTCTGCAGGGTCTGTGGATAGCCCCTATTTTATTCCTGATATTAGTAATTTGTGTCTTTTCTCTTTTGGCATTTGTTGGTCTTACTAAAAGTCTGTCAATTTTATTCACTTTTCTATACAGTCAGTCCTTTGATCATTTTCTCTATTAATTTTTCTAATAATTAACATAACCTTCAAAATTAGCCAGAACAGATTTTACCTCAACTTTTAAAAAAAATATTACTTTTTCTTGATTTTAAGTTATCATACAATGTGATATTATGAATGTGACAAGAAAAACATATCAAAAAGCGTAATTTTATAATTTTTCACTTACCAAAGTAGAAGTACCTTTACATTCGTCTTCATCACCATCTTTATCAAAATCCTCCAATTCTTCTTGTCTTGGCCTTTTGGCATTTTTAGGAGAGGAAAAATTTTCTTCCTTTCTTTTGGCCATCAGGTCTGAACAAATATTTATAGCAACAATGAAGTAAATCAAGTTCCATATATATTAAACTTAAAATAAATCTAACAAAGTTAATTAAACTTTAAGTACTATGTCCGTCTATTTTTACCTCAAAAATTAAAGTAAATTAGTCTTGCATCTTGCACTGAGGAAGAGAGACATGAGTCAAAAAATGCTGGACAAGGCAAGGAAACAGATTTTCTCTTAGAGCCTCTAAAACAGAACATAGCCCTACGGACATTTGGATTTTAGCCCAGTGAGACCTGTGTTGGACTTCTAATCCACAGAAGCATAAGATAGTAAATTTCTGTTGCTTTAACAGCCGCATATTCTATACTAGTTGATTTTACTTCAGACGTATTCATAGCCAAGATTTTATCAGTAAAAGATTTTCTGAAATTGTGGTTTCTAGTTTTCTAAATCTATTCATAGAGATGGCATGGTGATTCCTGAAATTAATCCAAAGCAATCCCCAGTTTTTACAAGCTATAAAGTAATCAGATAAAACTTTTAATTTTTAAATTGTCTTTCGCAAAGAATCATATTTTGAAGCACATTGCCTAGCACCAGTGGTTTCCTTTAACTCTTCCCTAAAAAAAAGTCCAGGTTGATTGTCTATTTTTTTGCCAATCATCTACAAAATTTAAACCTAGAAAATTAACATCTTTAAGTTACACATGATTTTGCTGAATATATGCATACTGAACCTCCAGTCAAAGCTGATAGTTTGTGATTAAAATTAAACTTTATGACCTCTTTGATTGCTGCTTTCATTTTTTTCTTTAGAATACATTTAAGACCTAAAATGATTAAGTATCTAATTGTTTGCTAAATGGAGAGAAAAATCTCTAACATAATCAAAATTTTCTAAGCTATAAGAATATAAACAACAGTTCTAGGCTCAATGTACTTAAATCCCCCAAATATTAGAGCATAGCAACCGTCTCTGTACCATATATATAACTGGCTCCCCTACCCATGCAAGCAAAATCCAAGGGGGTAGCCTGGACTTCCACTCTAGCGAGGCTACAAGGTGGCATCTCAACACCCTAACGGGGGTAGAGTCAAAGAAGGCTAAGTAGACAAGTAGGGAGCCATGGTAATGATGTCAGTGGGGACCACCTAGAGAGCCTAGATTTCCACCCACACAGGAAGTAGTAGGGTGTTACTTACTCCTTCTCCTAGTTGGCTAGTGTCATAACGCAAAGTCAGGACTTTTGCCATTGCCCAGAGGCGAGAAGGCCACTCCCACTGCAGTATCACTGGAGACCACATGGGAAATTGAAACTGCAACCCCAGCCTAGCAGTCACTGTGGCTAAGGAAATAGCTCTGATTTAAGTTCTAGATCTGAGTCTCTGTGTCCACAGTCCAATATGGAGGGAAGCAGTTCTCAAAGGTTATAATCTCTTTTACAAAGGAATTCAAAGAGCTTTTGCTTATGTCTACCAATATTTATTATATTAGAACTTAAAACTAAACAACTTTTTTCTCTTTTTTTTTTTTCTGAGATGGAGTCTCAGTCTGTCTCCCAGGCTGGAGTGCAGTGGCACGATTGCAGCTCAATGCAACCTCCGCCTCCTGGGTTTAAGTGATTCTCCTGCCTCAGCCTCCCATATAGCTGGGATTAAGGTGAGCGCCACCACACCCAGCTAATTTTTTATTTTTAGTAGACATGGGGTTTTGCCATGTTCGCCAGGCTGATATCAAACTTCTGACCTCAAGTGATCTGCGCACCTCGGCCTCCCAAAGTGCTGGGATTGCAGGTGTGAGTCATCACGGCTGGCCAAAACTGAGCAACTTTTAAAACAAGGGACACACAGTATGTATTCCATCAGTCAGAGCAATGACATCTCACAAGTCATGTAACCTGTGGAAAACTCCACTGTACACTCATAAGTGAATGACAGTGAAAGGGGCAAATAACATCTTACTATTATCATTAAAACAGTTTTGGCCTTGTAGATCCCTTGCAAGAGTCTCATGGATTCCTGGACCACATTTTGCAAAGTGCAGCTACAGGGGGATATTAAAAGCAAGTCCATGATACAGTGTCATAAATTATAAGGCACAGCTAGCAAGCAATAAAGTTAGAGCAGTACGGAAGAAACAAACCACAAAAGGACTTGTAGATTCCTCATATTTAAAGTGTGGTCCAAGGACCGGCAAGCAAGATCTACATCTCCTGGGAAGATATCCAATTATCAGATATCCAGAATCTCAGGCCCCACCCTAGAGCAAGTGAATCAGAATCTTCACTTTAACAAGACTTAAGGTGATTCACAAGCCCATTAGAGCTGAATTGTTATGTAAACCATAGAAAATAACTGGGACTTTATCCTATCCTGAAGGCAATGAAGAACTTTATATATTATGAAGTCAAATATCATTTAAAGGGTATATTACTTACCATCCAAAGGATATTTAACCTAAACAAATGTCTTCTAAGACAATATTACCATTACAATTACATCTATGTAATATTCAGCTTCATTTTTACAATTTAATATTTTGAAACTTATAAAAATCAAAAATTCAAAATCAAACATATTTTTCAAAATAATAAGAATCAACATAGATCAGTTTCAGTTTATTATTAATTTAAATTCCGAGATACTACCAGGTCATTATTTTTCCAACACTTTCTTCTCTGCTAACCACCCTCTATTCCCTTCTCAGTTACTGAGCAGTAATTTATTTATTACAGAAGAGCAAAGAGACAGCATTACTTTTTGGTGTCTCCAACATTTAATGTCCTTTTAGAAACTGTTTTTATTAATGCCTAACATTATGCAGTTAGCAGGCACTCAGACATTAGCTAACAGATAATGCACTAGGGAAAATGTGATGTGCTTCTCACAAGGAATATGAGATTCTATACAGAAGACAGTACACCCAAACACTACATGATGACGATGTTTTTTATTTGCTGAGCATGACCTGGGATTTGCAGTTTGCTATTAGGTTGCCAGGGTAACTTGCATCTAACAGACACTGAAGGATCCTACCTTTTAAAAGAGGACTCACTTTGTAATTTAATGGTGATGGATTTTCAAACACATATTTGAATGTCTAGAGCATCAGATACAGATTAAAACAGTAAAATTGTTTCCAAAAGGCTAAAGAGACATATTTACAGATGCAAAGAAAAATATTTTAATTTTGCTGGAATAAAAAAAGGAGAAAAAAGGCTCCTCTGGGATTTTCAATTTATCTATAAAGCTCGTCATAGTTTTTAATATTTCTTTATTTATAATTTAAAAAAAAACAGAATTAAAGAACACCTCATTTCTCCCTTACAAGAAGAAGCAGGGACAATGAAGACCATCAATAAAATAAGTTCAAGAAGAAAAATTAATGGCCGGGCGCAGTGGCTCACGCCTGTAATCCCAATACTTTGGGAGGCTAAGGCAAACGGATCACGAGGTCAGGAGTTTGAGACCAGACTGGTCAATATGGTGAAACCTCGTCTCTACTAAAAATACAAAAATTAGGCCATAGCACACGACTGTAGTCCCAGCTATTTGGCAGGCTGAGGCAGAAGAATGGCTTGAACCCTGGGAGGTAGAGGTTGCAGTGAGCCAAGACTGTGCCACTGCACTCCAGCCTGGGCGACAGAGCAAGACTCCATCTCAAAAAAAAAAAAAGAAAAGAAAAATTAATAACCAAGAGTTCATTATAGCATGTAGATGTATAGGAAATTTGATAGAGATCATGCATTTTAACAGAATTCTAAATTTTATTAAGTATGTAATAATTCATATTTCCCATTAATACTAAATTAGGAACTAAGAGTAGTGACACACGTAACAAAACTAGAATTTAATAAAAAAACAGTGTTATTTTTTTAAAAAGGCAAATTACTACTACTTCTGAATCTGCCCTGGATTGTGTTTACCACATCCTCAATTCTACTCTGCCTACCACAACAGACATTTATTCTACAGTAAACAACTTCATTTTGAATGTGCTTAATTAAGTACACTGCTTGGAATATATCATGAAATTACACGAGATTAACTAGATAATAAATAGTATAAATACTTATGTGAAAAAATTTGTTAAGTCCATCCATCTAAAATGTTAGGATCAGCAAAATTGGGAAGTATAAAGCACAGCATTTCAGTTAATAAAATCTGAACACTGAGATTTCTGTACTGAAAACATCCTGTGGCTCAATATAGAAGATAGATGAAACAGAACGTAAGAATAGCAGCAGAAGAGATGAGTTGCTAAACAAAAGCAGTGGTAATATCAGGGACAAAGGGAAGAGATAAAACAAGAAATTTAAAAGACTGAATAAGCAGAATTGGTGAGTACAAATGAGTGAGTAGAATTAACATTTGTTGAATAACCACAAACTTAGCTTTTGAGAAGAACACTTTCTATTTTCTTTGATCCCCAACATCTTTATGAGATAAATATTGCCCTTATTTTTACAAAAGGAGAGACTGAGTCACAAGTAAACGACTTGAATTTGTAGCTACAACTTAGTTCTAACATACAAAGGCTTCTATAGCTCTAACATAGCAGGGCTCAGATCCAAATCCAGGTTTGTCAAAATCCAGTTAAACCTCTTTAACGCCCAGGTTCCTACTGGCATAAACTGAAATTTGACAGTTAATTACTCACAGACAGTGAAATTGGCTATTAATCTGTCCTTCATCTTGTCTATCCTTCATTAAACTTAAAAAAAGACTATTATTGGCTGGGCGCGGTGACTCATGCCTGTAATCTCAGTACTTTGGGAGGCCGAGGCAGGCAGATCACCTGAGGTCAGGAGTTCAAGACCAGCCTGGCCAACATGGTGAAACCCCATCTCTACTAAAAACACACAAAAAAATAAGCTGGGCTTGGTGGTGCACGCCTGTAATCCCAGCTACTCAGGAGATTGAGGCAGGGGAATCACTTGAACCTGGGAGGCAGAGGTTGCAGTGAGCCGAAATCGTGTCACTGCCCCCCAGCTTGGGCGACAAGAGTGAACAGCTGTCTCCAAAAAAAAAAAAAAAAAAAATTCTCTATTGTTACTATTAAAGTCAATCAAAACATTGGGTGTGCTTTATAAAATTTCATTTTGTGTTTCATCTTCACACTTAATACTAAATGCCATTATAAGTTGATGGAACAGGTTTGGCAAGAAGGGAGAATGAAATATTTATTTTATTTGAAAACACTGAGTTTGGGCTGGGTTCAGTGGCTCATGCCTGTAATCCCACCATTTTGGGAGGCCAAGATGGGTGGATCACTTGAGGTAAGGAGCTCAGGACCAGCCTGCCCAATGTGGTGAAACCCCATCTCTACTAAAAATACAAAATTAGCCAGGTGTGGTGGTGCATGCCTGTAATCCCAGCTACTGGGCAGGCTGAGGCAGGATTGCACCACTGCACTCCAAACTGGGCGACAAGAGTGAAACTCTGTCTCAAAAAAAAAAGAAAGAAAACACTGAGTTTGAAGTGCTCCTAAGGTATTTGAGATAGAGAGGCCAGTGAGGTAGTAAAGTATACTCTGCAATAGAGAAGGATTTGTGGGTGGAGCTGAGAAAGCTACTGGAAGTAGTTTGAATTTGGTGACCAAGAAAAGCATGCTCAGAGAGAAAAGATGTAACTTATTTAAATAGTGAATCAAAAATGCCAACATTAACCTAAGCAACTACACTTGACCCTCAGTCAGCTGGACTTATGGTTGTGTATAAAGAACTGTGGCATTTTAATTGTGTCTTAAATATAATGCAAGCTATCATGGTAAAATTTTGAGTTACTTACTAATTCCTAAAAGTAAGCCAAGTACAGTTTTAATTATCTTTCCTAACTTAGGTCTAAAAAGGACAGTCAAGATTTAGGTAGGTTTTACATAAAATTCTACAGATTCAGTAAAATACACTCAGTAAAATAAACCTTTGGGGAATAAAACTTGTTATTCACTGCAATACCTTTAACACGACCTTTGTACTTTTTGCCAGGCTCAATACTAAGTGCTTTATACAGATTGTAGACAGATGTCGATAAATAACTACATAACTTTCTCTTCCTCTCTGTCTCCACATACTTAAGAATCCTGTCAGCTAGGTCCAGTCAATCCCTAAGAACTGGTTCCAAAATTACAGCCCCTCTCTCTCACTCAGATACCAAAATCCACAGATGCCCAAGTCCCTTATATGAAGTGGTGTCATATTTGCGTATAACCTCCCCACATACTTAAAAATTATCTCTAGATTACTTATATAATCTAATACAATGTAAATGCTATGTGAATAGTTGTTATACTGTACTGTTTAGGGAATAATGACAAGAACAAAAAGTCTGTGCAACCATCCACTTTTTTTCCTCTGAAATATTTTCACACCCTTGACTGAGTTCACGGATACAGAGGATGCACTGATAACTGTATTATTTCTTCCAACTTACATAAGAAGAACTGAAACTTACAAGAGGTGGTACCAATCTGCTCAGAGTCACACAATTCTGGCTCTTTGTGATATAAATACACTTTTTTAGGCAATATACTAGTGGTCTCCAAACGTTTTGTACTTGCACCCATTAAGCAAAAGAAATTTGAAATACACATTCCAACATAAAATTAATACCCTATGTTCTCCATAGAAATCAAACGAAATAAAGTAAATCTAAATAGAAGTTCTCATGTTCCCTATCTACCCACACACCCATGGACCAAACTGCATGCCACTGTATATACTATCGTACATGTTAAAAGTTCACACAGCAACCATATAAAAGTCAGGAAATTTGGGTTTTTATTTTTTCCTTTGAATATATATTACTGAGAAGTTTGCCTTTAAAACACTGGCTTTTAATCTCCTACTCTGAAATATGCAGAGTAATAAGTGCTCACAAAACTTCTGTCTTGAGGGCTTAAACACCAAATGATTGCTCTAAGAATTTTCACAGTATTACCTCAAGCCCTATTGGTTCTACAACCCTTTCTCTACCCTAGAGTCCCGTTTTCCGCAATTCCCAATTGGGATTCTTCTCCGGTTCATTTCCGTAAGAAATGAGGGCAGAGAAATGCCATCAATAAACCTTTGAATACATGTTAATTTTTCTAGATAATACAATTTGCATTTTCGTAAAACTGGGCTTTAATGACAAATTCGATTTCAGGGATCTTTGCATACACCCTTCAGTGATCTTTGCATAACACCAGTTGCCGTCTGCGAGGTATCATCAGACTCATGCTAAGAGCCACTCCCGACCCCAGCTTTCCCCAGACCTCTCCCCGCTTTATAGTTATTCGCCACAGCCCGGGGGAGTCTGGGGACCGCCACCTGGGAGACAACGGCCCCGAGCCGACGCCAGATTTCCCGCGGCTCAGGAGACCGGTGCCGCCTCGGAGAGCGCGCGAAGGTGCCGCCCGCCGCCCGACCCGCCCGAGGAACGGACATCCCCCGCCCAGGCCCGCAAGGACGACCATGAACACCGCCGCAGCTCAGCTGACCCGGCCTCTCCCAGGTGGCTAGGGGTCGCCAACCAAGGGGGCAGCGGGCGGAGGATGAACCCCGGAGCAAGGGAAAGCGACAGCGCGCGCCTTCACCCTACCGCCAACAATTCGAAGTCTCCCAAAGGAACCTGATCGGCGGGGCTGCCGTGGTACGACCGGCCGCTAAGGCCACCCTGCGGGTGTCTCGACCTCGGCTGACCGCCGCCGGCCCGCTGGGAACCGCGCGCCTGCAACAGGAGAAGGTAGGATCCCGGGCGCCCCGGCGCCCACCGCGGGACTAACCGCGCTTGCGCCCCGCCCTCCCTCCCTTCGGGACTCCGCCCGCGCCTGCGCAGTTCCGGGGTTTCGCGCCGCCGGAGTCTGAGAGGCCGGAAGTGCCCCTTGGCGGGCGGGGGAAGCTGGTAGGCATCCGCTGCTCCGCAGTTACCGGACGCGGGGGAGGCGAGTGATTTGCCTAACTAAAAGGGAAAGATAACTGAGCAACCCCCTGCAACGGGTCTACGCATGCGTCCGCTGGGCCGGTTGGGCCGGCAAGGGAAAGCCGAGTGGGCCCCATTGGGGGAAAGGGGTCAGTCACTTCCCGGAAGAGGCGGGGCCGCGCGGGCCCGGCGCCGGATTCGAAAAGCTTCCTGGTGTTCCCGGGCCCGGCGGCTGAACCCGGGGCGCTACTCTTTGCTTGGGTAAAGAAAGAGGACTTTTCTTTTTTTTTCTTTTGAGAAAATTCAGGAATTTGGAGGCACAATAGTTAGGATTCAGGCCAAACTGGTAAATGACGAAGGGGCTTCTTCCAGAGCCAAGGAGGAAGGGTTGTCCGGGTAAGTCCGGCGGGACGTGGAGAGACTGCGCCGCTCGGGCCCTCCCGCTGGTTCCTTTGACCATCAGGGTTAGGGGTAAGCTCTTTGTTCGCTGCTCTTCCGAAAACGCCTTCAATGACTCCCTTTGAATAAAGTAGGAAGTCCGAACCGAGCCACCAGGCCGCGACCTGGCCCGTTTTCCACTCTCGCGGGCCCTGCGGGTTACCCCGCCCCGGGAAAGCTGCTCGTTACCCGGCCGCTGGCGCTTAACGGAAGCTGCTGGGTCGCGTTGTGCGCCCCCCGGGCATGCGATGGGGATAATTCCCACGCCTCGCTCAAAGCCGACCCGGCGAGCCCTCCCTGGTCCCCATAGGCACAGTTGAGTGTTCCCTTTTCCGTGTTAACCTTGCATTTTGGATATAGTTCTGTTATAGTAATTACCTTAAGGGATTGTAGTTGTTTATTTACAATCGTTCCTTCCCCCCCCCCCCCCCCACGGTAAACTAAAGTGTAAACTCCCTAAATAAATGTCAGAATTAATGAAGTCCTACTTCCTTGGCTTAAGTTCCAGCGCCCTTCTCAACCCCACACTACCCCTTCAGTCTTTACGCAACCCTTCCCACGAATATACTGACCTAGCAAGTAACCTACGTTTCATACTCCAAAATGTTCTCTTCTGTGTGGGGAAAATAACGCATTGACTGCCACCTCACCCCACCTCCAAATAAATTGATGTTGAAATTCTGGCCGCCAGTAATGGAATTCTTTCTATCAAAGTCACTTTTTATTTCTAAAAGTAATCACATATATATTATATTCCTACTGTGGCCCTTGCCATGGATCTACGAAAAATATGACATAGTCAAAATAGACCAAAACATCTGGCCTTGTTGTAACCAATGGGAAACACAGTTGGGAGGTCCCTACTTGCATATCACTTGCTTCAGGTACCGTTCCTTGATTCCTAAGTGGGGGACCTTTTTTCCTAAATACAACTATAGCTTGCTTTCTTACCTCTTACGCCCTTTTTATCTGCAGTCTCGCCTACCCTACTAAGGTCTTTAAATGCAGAGCTGGATCTTCTTCCATTATTGTATCTCCAGCACCTATAAAGCATTCCTGTTAAATAGTAGACATTTAATAAGTATTTATTGATAAGCGTGAATTATGCCTCAATGTTTAGGCTAAATTCATATGAAAATAAAATTGAAAAAATAATTTTAAAGAACAGCATTAGTTACTGAGATTATGTGGTAAATCCCTTAAAATCTTGCATTGAAATAGTTTTCACCATTTACCAATCTTTATATGAATATATACTTATCTAAATGGAAATTGGGAAATTTGAGCATTTTCTGCTTTTCCAAAGTAAATTTTCTAATGTTTTTCCTAAAGCTGAACTAAATTGGAAAACTTGCTTTAATAAAGTGTGTATTTATGCATCATTTAAGCCCCTGACCTCTTTATGTTCTTTAAATTTGATTCATTAGTGAAATTAACAAGGTTCTGTGTTTTTCTCACCTCATTCAGTTTTATAATTAACCAATAAAAGCTTATTAGCTTTTAAGGAAGTTTTAGGAACTTAAATTGATTTATGGGTACCATATGGTTACATCAAAGGACTTGTTTTTGTTTTAACTGGAAGTGGATTCTTAAGTCCTTTAAGATGGACATTTATGTTCTTTCTATTATACCAAGCAATACTTTCTGAAATACAGTGATTTTTTTTTTATTCCATGCTACCAGTTGGTCATGAGATTCAAATATTAGATACTAGATTACACATACTAGAATCTTGTAATTCATCTGGTTTAATACCTGTCATTTTGTAGAAAGGTTGAATGTCTTCCCAAGGTCATACAGCTAATCAGTGGTATATTCAAACCCCAAATCCTAGGCTTTCTATCTGAAGTCCATTGCTTATAAAGTTGTTAGCTGTGTGTTCTGACTTTGTTGATTCAAATAAGTAAGCTAAATAAATTGAAGCCATTAATAGATTTATAAAGTGATTTGCTATATTGTTCTTACGTCATTGGTTCATGTAAGTAGGTTTGTGTGACAGCTAATTCTTAAAAACTTATGAAGATGTTAGACTTCTTTTGATATATAATATATATGTCGATTGTATGAACAGATTGACATCAATATAATTATTCATTATAAAAGATTTGAGTGGGAACTCACCAAATCCCACACCAAAAAAATTTAAAATTTTACCATAGTAAAAAAAATAAAAAGCAAGATGAAATTATACATAGTTCTTGGTGTGGTATTTTTAATTTTTATTTATTTATTTTTACAGAAATGGGGTCTTACCATTTTGCCAGACTGTTCTCAAACTCCTGGCCTTAGGTGATCCGCCTGCCTCGGCCTCCCAAAGTGCCAGGATTATAGGCATGAGCTACCATGCCCAGCCAGTGTGGTATTTTTAAATTTTAATTAATGCTGAGCCATTTTCAAATAACCTCATCACGTTATGACCTCATGCAAGAACCATCTGTTCTATCTTTCAGTGTAGTTGTACTTTAATATCTTAAAAGCTATTGCATTCAGTCCTGTTTTGGAATGTTTTAGGCTTTTACAGTCTTAACCATTGCTTCTTAATATCACTTCCGAGGAATAGCTGGTGCAAAGAACATGTGATAAGGAATGGAAAACAATTGATGATGGAAACAGAGATTTGGGGTTAATTGCATTCTTAAAATATTATGATGTTCTTTCTAATAAAATGTACATTTCACATAATTTTCCTCTTTCAGAAGTAACCATGGTTAATCATTCTTTAAACCAGGTTCGTTTCCAACAAAAGAAATGAAATAATAACTAAATTCTAACCGTAGTAATCATGTAATATTAAAGATATTATTTATGGGATTAGTTGAAAGCCCTCTTTATCTTGCTTAGGGGTTTCCAATAATCAAATCAGTGCTGGGCTTTTTTTTTTTTTAAGGTATGGCTGCCCCCCCGTTAATAATATATTTAATTAAAAGCTTTACAAAATGATCCTAATATACTTGAAATACTTAGAGGGCTGCAGTTTATAAAATCAAGAGTCTACCTTGTTGCTGTTTCATTTTTTTTTTTAACCATAACCCTCAGAAAGAATACAATTGACATCATAGTCCTATATATAAATGTGTGTTTATGTGTGCCATCATAAACATCACTGCACTAGGTGGCAATCTTCACTACTATTCATTTGTATATGTGTAGTCAACCAACGAAAGGAATCATTAGAAACGGTAGGAATGTTGAAACTGAGAACTGGAAGTTGCCAGAGAAAATATGTGCCCTGGCCAACTCCACAGGACTGGTTCTGGGCAATCTGAAGGAAACCAGAAAATGTGAATCTCTCTTCCCTCAAAAAGCTATACTGAAGTAGTATTTAATATTCAAGTACTTGTAAATTTGGAGAACAGTACTTTTTAATTTGACCCATGAATTCTGTTTAAATTTGTCACTTAATATTTAGCCAAGAAGCAAACCATCTAAAAAGATTTCTAGTTTATTTCTCCAACTCCTAATAAATAGGGTCACATATTTTTTAACTTTTTTCTAATTTGAAAAGTATATAGGTATGTGGTATTTTAAAAATGAAACAACACAAAGGGATATGTTTTGAAAAGTGGTTCTTGCCATCCCTGAACTATAATCATCCCTAACATATTCATACCTGTTTTCATTTTAAAACTTGCATCCGTTTTTTTATTAGTACATGTATTTCTATCCTACTGATTTATTTGCGATATCATCTAATTTAGTTTCAGTATTCCATAATTTACTTAATTAGTCCTCCATGGAGACCTGGCTCTTCTCAGTGTCTTACTATTATAAACAATGTTACAGTGAATATTGTTGTATATAAATCCGTACACACCACATAACGTATCTTAAATTCCTGGAAGAGATATTGCTAAACCAGAAGATAACCTGCATTTAAAATTTTGACTGCTAGGGTCAGGGTCACATTTAAATGAAATTAGAACAAAGGAATTGCCTAATTTTCTTTGATGGCAATCTATTCCAGTATGCACCTTGAGTCACAAAGGAAAGCAAAACTGTCAAGAACTTTCTTCTCGGACTTTTGGTTTAATGTGTTCTGATGGGTTAATAATTTATCTCATTTCTCTTCATAATAATGACCTTAAGAATATATGTACCCCACTCTTTCCAGAATTAACCACAACTTTTCACAGTAACTGAATCAATGCCACAATGGTACATTCAACCAGTGGGGCTTCAGGATGTGAAATAGACAATATTAGTTCTGGGTCACTGTTACTACCAAATACTTTCTTGACCCTTTAAGTCTGTATATTTTTATCTGTAAAGTGACATCCATAGATGTCACTGTACACTTCATAGAAATGAGTACACAGAATAATACTCATGGCAGAACTGGGTGCGGTGGCTCATGCCTATATTCCCAGCACTTTGAGAGGCTGAGGCAGGCAGATCACTTGAACCTGGGAGGCAGAGGTTGCAGTGAGCCAATATCTCGCCTCTGCACTCCAGCCAGGGTGACAGAGCAAGACCCTGTGTCAAAAAAAAAAAAGGAATAATACTTATGGCACCACTGGCCACACTGTAAAATTCAGGTTCAGAAAAACAGGATAAGTCACAGACAGCAACCCTTCCAGCATTTATTTTCTTTGCATCCATATGCAATTTGAGAAAATTTACTTTTAGAAAGAACTCTGTTAAAGGTACAGACAATACAGTACTTTTTATTCAGAAGGTTTCTGCATAAAGGCGATAGTCTTTTGACTTAATATATTCTTGTCTCCTACGTTGTGTTTTTGGAATGAATTAAGATCATTATTTAGAGGATAATAATCTGGGTTATATTTGTGTCGTCAGATTGAATTTTCATTGCACATGCTACATAATGTCAATTATTATAACCAAATAATAACAAAGGGAAAGAAAACCAAATATGGGTGTATAATAAGGAAAAGCTGGCCTATAGAAAATACCAAACCAGGTAACAGTAGCAAAGTTTAAACCAATTTTGTTTTTAAAATGTCATGTACGTGGAAAAACATTTAACTTTAGTTTTCTGTGGGTGGTGGTTAAAAGTTATAAGTGATTAAAAGTTTTTTTCTTTTTCTACAATGAACATGATGTGACCTTGCAATTTAAAAATCCAACGCCCTTTTAAGAAAGGTATGTCTATCAGTATTCCTCCAACTTCATTTTCTCTCGTTTCTTCCTCCCTCACTTTTCTAAGTTTTTCTTCATTAACCTCATTTTTCTTTAGCTTGTTTGCACGCTTCCTTGCTTTTGTTTTTTTGTTTTTCCTAGGTATGATAGAGAATTAGTCCCACTCTCCAAGTATGTAAATCAAGGAGTGAATTTTCAAGTAGACAAAAATGATTTACAGCATCCCTGCGTTCTCTACCCATCTCTGCATTTGTTAGCTCTTGTTTTTAGCTGGGAAAAAGCCAGTTACCATCATTTTAATGTTTCAGGTGTTCTTGATTCATTTTGAAAAGCTGACTGATTAAAGAAATAAGGATAATCCTCCATGAATTATCCTAAACTGACTTATAATATATTGTTTGAATCCCTGTTATGAGCTTCTGTTTCTTTAACAATATTTTGTAAAGTGTGTTTCACATAACAGCAGATAATCACCAGAATGGGAGTGAATGACTTGTGGCAAATTTTGGAGCCTGTTAAGCAACACATTCCCTTGCGTAATCTTGGTGGGAAAACCATTGCAGTTGATCTGAGTCTCTGGGTGTGTGAGGCACAGACAGTCAAAAAAATGATGGGTAGCGTCGTGAAGCCCCACCTCAGGTATAGTGAAAGTTCTTAGAGTATCAATGTATGATGTATAAATAGTCTTGGTGTCTTGATTTTGTTTCACCTTTTTTTTCTTTTGTTGTTGTTATTCTTTTACATTTTGAGGTTTCAAGATCTGTTTAGCATGTCTAGATTCACCATCTTTATATTAAGGACTCAGATTTGTACCTCATACTCTTTGAGCTCCAGACTCACATATCTATCTCCTACTTAACGTATCCACTAGGATGCTTCAGATACTAAAAGCCAGAGATTTGGGAGACATTTTCTCCCTGTTCTACTTCTCGCCACATCAGTAAGTCTTGCTAGTTCTACCTCCAAAATATACTTTGTGTTCACAAACTTATCTCAGTGGCCAGAGGCACCCAACCACCTCAGTCTATGCCGACCTCTTCTCTCATCTCTACTCCTGAAGTGCCATCTTCACTAGTTTCTTGCTCTTGGCCACCCCTACCTCAAACCATTTTCCACATAGCAATTAGAATAATCATAAATCTTTGTTGCTTAAAAATACTCAGTGGTTTGGCTGGGCGCAGTGGCTCACGCCTGTAATCCCAGCACTTTGGGAAGCCGAGGTGGGTGGATCACAAGGTCAGGAGTTTGAGACCAGCCTGGCCAAGATGGAGAAACCCCATCTCTACTAAAAAAAAAAAAAAAAAAAATTAGCTGGATGTGGTGGCGGGTGCCTGTAATCCCAGCTACTTGGGATGCTGAGGCAGGAGAATCTCTTGAACCTGGGAGGCGGAGGTTGCAGTGAGCCGAGATCACGCCACTGCACTCTAGCCTGGGCAACAGAGTGAGATTCCGTCTCAAAAAAAGAAAAAATCAGTGTTTTTGGCCAGGCACAGTGGCTCACACTTGTATTCCTAGCATTTTGTGAGGCTGAGATGGGCAGATTATTTGAGCTCAGGAGTTCAAGACCAGCCTGGGCAACATGATGAAACTCCATTTCTACAAAAAATACAGAAAGTTAGCCGGGCATGGTGTCACACACCTGTAGTCCCAGCTACCTGGGGACTGAGGCAAGAAGATCGCTTGAGCCAGGAGGTTGAGGCTGCACTGAGATGAGATCATGCCACTGCACTCCAACCTGGGTGACAGAGTGAGACTCTTGTCAAAGAAAAAAAAAAAAAAAAGTGGTTTTCCACTCTTAATTAAAACCTTAAGTAAAATGTTATTACATTAAAGTTTTTGATACTAGTCTAATGTTCTTGCCTTTATGTTATACTATTTTGACTTTTACTATGAGTGTATGATGATTAATATGTTACTAATTTATATATTTCAGGAACTTATTTTTTCGTATCTCATATTTAACACAAATGGATGTAAAACTGGTGTTTGTTATGGAAGGGGAACCACCAAAGCTGAAAGCTGATGTCATAAGCAAGAGGAATCAGACTCGGTATGGGTCTTCTGGAAAATCGTGGTCTCAGAAAACAGGGAGATCACATTTTAAATCAGTCTTAAGAGAGGTGAGCATTCAGATTTGATTCAGTAATTCTGATTTGATTTAAAGGGTACATTTTACTCTTAATAGTTTGTCATCTTTTATACTTATTAATTTTATTGTGACTAGCCAGCCAGTGTGCATAGAGAAAAGAGCTTATTTTTTAGAGTGAAATTGACCTGAGTTTCATTCCTGGCACTGGCATGTAGAAACTCTGAGACATTGAGCAAAATTTGTAACCTGTCTCTACCTTGTACGCTATCTTGTGAAATGACAACAGTAATACTCAGCCCGGATGAGATAAAAATAAGAGAAAGTATATCCAAAGCAACTAGTACATAGTAGGAACTTGATCATATTACCTTTTATAACACCTTCAGGACTTAAAGAATTCCCAGAATACATGAGATCTCATTCACACTTCACTTATTCAGAATTCATGATAGTTCATATACAGAATACATATTTGGCTTCCCTTAGGGCTTGTAATTTTAAAAACTAATTATTGTTACATTACAATGTATTCTTTGTATGTTACTTTAATGTTGCTATATTTTATATTTGTATAAAACTTAAGAAAGAAATCGCCTATAATGTATAATTAAAACAATAGGAAGGTTTTTTTTTTTGTCTGTGTGTTTTTTGTTGGGTTTTTTTTTTTTTTTTTTTTTTTTTTTTTTGAGATAGAGTCTCGCTGTGTCGCCCAGGCTGGCATGCAGTGGCGCAATCTCGGCTCACTGCAGGCTCCACCTCCCAGGTTCTCGCCCTTCTCCTGCCTCAGCCTCCCGAGTAGCTAGGACTACAGGCACCCACCACCACACCCAGCTAATTTTTTTGTGTGTTTTTTAATAGAAACCATGTTAGCCAGGATGTTTCACCATGTTAGCCAGGATGGTCTCCATATCCTGAGTTTGTAATCCACCCGCCTCGACCTCCCAAAGTGCTGGGATTACAAGCGTGCGCCACAGCGCCCAGCCTTTTGTGTCTGTTTTCTAGTGTGTGTAAAGAGTTGTAGTGGTACACATGATTTTTAACCTGGCCTTTTCACTTAATGCTTCATGTTGTCATATCTCCCTTTTGTCACACTCTAATCGAAATTATAACTTGTAGTGGTTGTGCAACATGTATGAAGCTATGAATCATACACCCGATTGTATGTTATTTACTTTTTTAGTTTTTCTCTACTATACATGAAAGTGTGATGAACATTTTTTGTGTATATAATGTTTTCTTGTGATTTGAAATTTTAGATAAAATTACCCAATGTTGGATTGATGGGTGAAAGTTTTGGAATGATTTTATTGCTCTTGCTGGTTAATTTCTGCTAATACAGATGTCAGAGAAGCAGTGTCAGTGCATTCACAAGAACATTGGATGTTAGGAGGCTTGTCTTTGTAATATTTTGTGTGCAACAACAAAGATATTTAATATGCATTTTTCTTTTAATAGTAACGTTAAACATTTCACCTATTTTTAGTCCCCCTTTGGGTAATGGCTATCATGTCCTTCACTCACTACCTCTTGAGGTTTTAATTTTTCTTTTGTGCAAGTTCTTTGTGTTTTAAGGATATAAGCTTTTATCATATTTGAATTTGTTTTTCTTTTTAATTTTAGTTAAAAAAATTATGCCATTTTTCTCTTCTTCTGAAATTGTATTTTCTACGCTTACGTTTAAAAATAGTTTTCAATTAGTGAATATTCCACCTTAATGACTATCATCAGTTGAAGAAAATACCTGTGCTGAGTCAATCAGTTCCTGGAAATATTCATGGTCCTCAATCTTAGAGTGTTAAAGAACCAGCATAAAACAAAAAAAGAGATGTCCATGTCTTCTTAAGAAAATTGCTCCATTCCTGTTTCTTTATTGCTGCAGTAATTACGGTGTTCTTAGGCATTTTGTGTCAGTTCAGTATTGCCTATTTGTCATTTTTATATTTCTGTACTCTTCAGTTACTAGGCCCTGCTTCCTCCTAATCCACTGCCATCTTTTAGGTATTAGCATGAAAAGCACAAATTAGTCCTCCTCCAGTACCACTTCCACCCCACATGGTAGAGACATAGAGTGGGAAAAATTGCAACAGCCTTATAGGAAACTCTGTGCTGGTTCTTTGAAAAAATTTGAAGTGGCAAATAGTATAAGAAGTTGAAATAACTGTATTATGAAAGGCTACTTTTTACCTAGGGGTAAGGTGGAAGCAACACTGTCACAAAACTATCTCTCTAAATTCACGGGGCCAGCGTCCTGAAAAGCACTATTTTTCAACATAGTACTTTGTCTTTTTGAACCTTGTCCACCTTGGTGGATAGAGGTATTTATTATGTAATGTGGCATGGAAGTCAAAGCAAGAGATAATATTTATTCTATCAGTCTCTAGAAACTACAAGTAAGTAGCCTTTTCTCTCCACCATACTCAGTAGTCCCTGATAGAGAATGATACATGACAAAAAGGAATGGTGTATGACAAGAAAGAATGAACTAGGCTATAAGGCTACTAGACTACTAGCTACCCAGCTGGGTTAAAATCATAAACCAAAGGAAACTCACAGCAAATTATTTGTACATCAGCATAATGATGTAATCATTCTGCACAAACATTTGATTTCCTAGGAGGACACTGACAGCTGACTCCTCCACAGTTTCCCACAATATGAGAGTTTCATTGTACAGGGAAGGCAAGATGAGAAAAAGATGCAAACATTAAAATTCAAGCCAAAACTGTATGATATCATCTTCTTTGAAAGTATGCATATTGGGTTGACCATCATGTGAGAAAAATTTTTGAAGTTTTGTAGATGTAAATTTTTTTTTTTTTTTTTTTTGAGACGGAAGTCTCGCTCTGTCACCCAGGCTGTAGTACACTGGTGCGATCTCGGCACACTGCAACCTCCACCTCCTGGGTTCAAGTGATTCTCCTGCCTCAGCCTCCCAAGTAGCTGGAATTACAGGCATGCACCACCATGCCCAGCTAATTATTTTTAGTACATGTTGGCCAGGATGGTCTCAATCTCTTGACCTCGTGATCTGCCCGCCTTGGCCTCCCAAAGTGCTGGGATTACAGGCGTGAGTCACTGCGCCCAGCTCTTTGTAGATGTAAATCTTAATGTGATTAATTATTATTTAAAGATATTTTCAGAATCTGACGATAATAACAATGAAATGTGAATATGGATTACTTTGTAATTTACATTAAAATCTTAATTTTTTATTACAGAAAAATTTAAATCAACACAAAAGTAACCCATTACCAATCTTAAACCGTTATCTTGGTTCATCTTGTTTCATCTATTCCCCTACCCACACATCATTTTGAAGCAAATCCTAGACATAATATTGTATCATTCCCAGTATTTAATCTTTTCTAAAAGATGATTCCTAAAAAATAAAAAGAAACATAACCACAATGTAATTTTTATTAGCACACCTAAAAGTTTGGCAGTTCATTCCTTAAAGCCCTCAAATATTCAGTCATTATTCAAATTTCCAAGTGTTTCTTAAATATCATAATTTTTAAAACACCAAAATAGCTACTATTAATATTTGTAATACAGAAGTACGTTTAATAGTAAACAAATGAGCAGTGAAGACATTCTCTAACATCTTGCTGTTTGTTTTCAGTGCCTCGATATGCTCGAATGCTTGGGAATCCCCTGGGTTCAGGCTGCCGGGGAAGCTGAAGCCATGTGTGCTTATCTCAATGCTGGTGGTCATGTCGATGGCTGCCTCACCAATGATGGCGATACTTTCCTTTATGGGGCCCAGACTGTTTACAGGAATTTCACTATGAATACAAAGGTGTTTATTTTCTTTCTCTTTTTCAGCATTTGTTTACAAACTTTATTAAAGGGCTGATTAAATGAAATACTAGATATAAAATGCCTACTGTAATGCCTTGCACATAGCAATTGCTAAATAAAATGTTTACTATTATTAAAAATCATTGCCATGTAGTTCATTGTCTTCAAAATATAGATTTATCTCATAAGAACTTGACTTGTTTGTTTCACATGGTTTGATTCTAAATCAGTTTCAAAAATACATCATGAATTGCGTATGAAAATGTGTTGCTTTGATCCTGAATTTCCAGTTTAGTATTTCATCCTCAGAAATACCTCCAAATATGCAAAGAGAGAGATATAAAGATGTTCACTGTAGCATTGTTAATAATTACAAGAATTTGGCAAGCAACCCAAGTGTTCATTGATAGGGACATGGTTAAATACTTCACACTTACTGGTTCCCAGTTGGAGAGATACCACCCGGAGACATTTTGGTTTAACAGTTCAGGCTTGGGCAAAGGAGACTATAGATATGTGGTGGCTTGGTGCCAACCAAACTAAACCTTCTGCCAGACATTTCTGTTATCCCTCCCAAAATGCTAATATTAGCACCCCCATTGAGAAACACTGTTTCAGAGTCCATATGATGTAATACAGTACGGTCATTGTAAAGGCTATTATTGACATAAAAGATATCCAGACATATTAATGTTGGAAAATGTCTCAAAATAGTATGTTTATATAATCCTACTTTTACTTAATGTAATTAACAATAAATACTCATATATATGTATCAAAGAAGATGGTTTTTTGGAATAATACGTACCAAGCTATTAATGATAGTTTAGGCAGTGCAATTACAGGGAATGTTTACTTTCTGTAATATATATATGTTACAGTGTTTTATTTTGTAAGATGGAAATCTGTATTCTTTAGACACCAGAAAGCAATAAAATGGAAAAAAATTGGCTAACATAGTTATTTTTAAGCCATTTTTGAAACTACAACTTTATTTCCATATATTGAAATGTCAGATTCTATAAAGATTCTGCTGATCAGGATAGTTTTCTTATATAAATTTTTTGGAATAATTAAACTTTTTTTCTTTTTTGAGATGTAGTCTCACTGTATCACCCAGGCTGAAATGCAGTGGTGTGATCTCGGCTCACTGCAACCTCCTCCTCCCGGGTTCAAGTAATTCTTGTGCCTCAGCCTCCCGAGTAACTGGGACTGCAGGCACGTGCTACCATACCTGGCTAACTTTTTTGTATTTTTAGTAGAGATGGGGTTTCACCATGTTAGCCAGACTGGTCTCAAACTCCTGACCTCAAGAGATCTGCCCGTCTTGGCCTCTTAAAGTGCTGGGATTACAGGCATGAACCACCGCGCCCAGCCTGGCATAATTAAACATTTAAAGATAACACTGACAAATTATTTTTTTAATGTTGTTTAATGTATAAATATGTACTTTTTAAGGATTAAACTAAATCTGTTCTTTCTTTAGGACCCACATGTTGACTGTTACACAATGTCAACTATCAAGAGTAAACTAGGTTTGGACAGAGATGCTCTGGTTGGATTAGCAATACTTCTTGGTTGTGATTATCTCCCAAAGGTAAGCTGAAATTGTCATATTTACTTGCTATTCATAAGTCTTTTTCGTACCTTATGTGCTGTATAAATATGAATATAATATGGCTATATTGATTAAAAATTGAATTTAAAATATAATTTCAGGCATAGTAAGCTATTCAGTGACTAAAATAATCAGCATTTCAGATGGCACTAAAAAGCTGACTTGTGACACACAATATTATAAGCAAGAATAGAATAATGTAGTACCACAGCTTGAATCTCAGTAAACTGTTACTCTAGATTAAGAGATTCACATTTATGTTTGACTATCTTTTTAAATAAATATGGGAGTTATTCTTTTCTTGTATTATGCCATTGTTAGTTTCTTTCCCCCTTTTTTCTGTTTTCTGGTGTTCTGTATTCTTTGTGCACATGCTCAATGCTATTACTGTTGCTAAGTCATGTGATCATTGGGATAAGCCATTCATATTTCCATGCCTCTCAGCGTTGTGCTGGGTTTTGTTCATGGAAATATTTTATTTATATCTTAAGATGCACAATCTAGTGCTCTGTAACAAATAGGTATAACAGGTGAGTGATGAGTTAAGTATTATGAGAATAATCCCATTTTCTTAAATGTAGTGTTTAAAAATATAAAATGATTGGTATTGTAGATCTTACTATTTAATTCCCTTATTATGTTCCTATTGATTATTTCTATAGCCTTACAAATCCCTCATTTTACCTCTGTTCCCAAGAGAAGTATAAAGAAGAATGACATGTAATTTTTTTCCATCTAAGCTCAGGAGAAAGGAAAATACAGTAGGATAATAAAATTATTAAGCCTAATTTATAATTTGTATCATCAAATAACATTTTTTAAACTTTTAGGAAAAGAAAGCAGAAGGAAAGAAACTTTTAAATACCACAAACCATTATTTTGTTGTAATTCTCCTTCTAAAATAGAAGACTATTTCCTAAATAAAATTATATCATAATTAAAATCTATAAACAGCCCAATGTTTGATTTAAGAAAAAATTTGCTGACTTGAACTCACAGAAACCAACTTTAGCTACAGTGGTGGTCGAATTATGTGTTAGCCATAGCTATATTGACCTTTTGTGTTTTTTAAAACCAAAACTGCTATGTGTTTCCATTGTTCTACTTAAAGATTTTTAAGACTATGTACTAACTTGATTTGTCTTCAGAAACTTAAAAGATAAAGCTAATGCTAATACAAGAAGGGTGATATTCAAGATATCTAATAACGTGTATGCCAAAGACATAGGCAATAGAGATGGAAGAGACTTCTGGGTATCCCTGCTGTGCCATAGACGCTCTTCTTAGTAGCTGGATTCTGGGTATAGGTGGATTGGGAAGTGTTCAGCTTAGATGGGACGTTCCTGTGCAGGCAGACACTCGGAATGCTTGGGCAGTAGCTATTTACTAACCAGTTAACATGAGTGTGTCAATCCTAGTGCATACTGGTTAAATAACAGCTCTGCTTATAAGGACATATTCATACACTTATAGGGGCTGGAAGACTCAGTTTAAATCAGAAATTGTGATAGGAATATAGATTAAGGCTTATCATTTTTGCATATTGGAAATTCACACTTTAAATTTTCTTAAGTTTTTAATTTCAAGAGTTAGAACGTTCCTTTGTTCTCTGTTTATGTCTGGGTTTTGGAATATTAAATGTTCATGTCATTAAATGAACTTGCTTTTTCCTGATTACAAACATAGAGTTAGGTTAAATTAAAATATTATCCAAATAATTAACATAGTAAATGAAAGCCCTCTAAAATTATGACCCTCCCTTCCCTAAAATAAACACCATCAGTGGTTTGGTATATAACTCTGAATTTTTTATTTACATAGATATCAGTGTAATTGTCATTTACTTTACAAATCCTGATCATATACACTATTGTGCAGTTTTTGTTTTATGCGTAGCAATGTATCTTGCATGTTTTCCTATCTTTATTTAAGAGTTACCTCATTCTTTCTTTCAGCTGCAGACTCTTCCATTCAATTAATGTACTTTTAACCATTCCTAGTGATTAACATTGGAATTATTTTTTTCCCACTTTCTGAAAGGGAGTCCCTGGAGTTGGAAAAGAGCAAGCATTAAAACTTATACAGATTTTGAAAGGGCAAAGTTTACTTCAGAGGTAACTAATAATTATTTTCTCTTACAACATTGAGCTTTTATTCTTGCTGAACTTAATAACGAATAGTACAAAAAACAATTGTTTTCCAAAAAAGGGTTTTGTATTTTTAAACTGACCTATATTTTGATTTAAGATAATTTATTTTTATTTATTTTGAAATTTTCCGAAGGAAGGATGAGAATACATGTTCTAAGCCGTACTGCATTTTTTTTTTTTCTTTTTTGGAGACAAGGTCTCACTGTGTTGCCCAGGCTACAGTGCAGTGGCGCAATCACTGCTCACTCCAATCTCAACCTGCTGGGGTCAAGTGATCCTCCCACTTCAGCCTCCTGAGTAACTGGGACAACAGATATGCACCACTGTGCCCAGCCACCAAACTGCATTTAAAATATATATATTATTTATATTAAACATGTTAATATATTAGTTTTTTAAATTTTTTTTGTAGAGATAGGGTCTCCCTATGTTGCCCAGGCTGATCTTGAACTCCTGGGCTCAAGTGATCCCCCGCCTTGGTTTCCCAAAGTGTTAGGATTACATGCGTGAGCCATGGTGCCCAGCCACTATACTGCATTTTAAAAAATCTTATTAGCTCACTAAACACATTTAATACAATATCAAGTGCATTTATGTACGACCATGGGCATTTTGCCACTAGCTATTTTAAACCCTTTTACCAACAGGTAAAGATAAACATGACATTAAAATAATTTTGTATTTAATACTTTGATATTGTATTTTTCTTTCTATAAATTAAATGTCTGTGGCATGTTGTAAATATTTAATAATAAGCAACATTAATCTAAATCATACTTGACTGGCCTTTGCTTTATAGCTACATATTTAATAATAACATTAATTAGCCTCTACTGTTGGAGGATTCAGAACAAGATGCAGACTATATAGAAGTTAACAAACTATGCTATTTACCGTCTCAAAAACACATGAATTATATTTACTGATGAAAGCAATGCTTTATAAAAATTAATATTAATGATGATAGGTATAGAATCAATAAGAAAGGAAGTAGGACACTGGGAAACTTAAAATAGTCTTGGCCTCCAGCCGGTTCAAGATGGCAAGTGCCTGAAAAGAAATGTTAAGAGGTAAAAATGAAAAAGGAATGACCATCGAATCACTGTATTCTTTCCTATGATACTTCTCTTTTAGCTGTAAAACTGTTGATAAATCTTAAGACTTCAATAAATCCGTTATTGACATTAGTTATTACTGTGCCAAAGCAAGCAAGAAAAGGTATACTTTGGCATGGGGGTGAGTTAAGGAATCATTTGGGAATTGTAAAAAATAATATAAAGAAGGAAAAGCAAGTGAATATAACAACTGGCTAACTCCAAACCATTCTTATTGAAATAGTTTCAGCAAATAAGCACTGCTGACACTTGAAAATAATAAAATTACATTTATTTTATAATCATCTTTTATTCTGTTTTATATACTGACTTTTCCTGCCAGTTACTTTTAATTTTTGAAGTGCTATTCTTCATCTGGAAGCAATTAATGCTAATTTTTAACAGGCTTGTACTTGGTCTTTGTAGTAAATGAGTTAGAAATTCCAGAAGCTAAATAGTAACTCTTAAGTACCAGATACTGCACAATGACCTGAAGAGATAATTTAGCTTTTTATAAAAACTTCAACTTGTGTGAGTAGAGGAACATAATTCAGAACACATATGTTTTATGATTAATACCTAACCATATCCTTTGTGGCTTTATGTAACCTGGAACTTTAGCCAAAAACAAAATTAACTTTTAATTAGTGGAAATCTTTATAGTAATATACATTTCTCTTAAAATCTTTTATGAAGCAGGTAATGTTTTGCTCTATGAACAAGAGATTAAGAAATGATCATTTTAGATGATTTATCTTTTTGATACAGTTTTCACCCAGAAGATTAATGTTTTATTTAATTTTATACATTACTCTTTACCCTTCTTTCTGAGAGAGAAATGTTCATGATTCTGTTTTGTACTGTGGCACACAGAGATCAAAAGGAGACATTTACAAATCAGTCTACTCACATATTGCTGCCTAACTTAAGATTCTTTAAAAAAAAAAAAAGCTGATTGGAGATAGATTAGATAGATAAATAGATAGATAGATTTTTTTTTTTTTTAAAGAGATACAGATATGATATACACACACACATATACTCTCTCTCCTGTCTTGCAGTTCTGCTGTCCTTGGGCCTTGGGGCCACATTTAAAACTTGTGACTAAGGGTTTTCCCATGCTAGGCCAGCAACTTTATCAACCACCCAAGGGAAAATAATTAGGTAGGTGAAAGGGAATAGATCAGCCTGATACTTGAGAACGTATCGGTTTTGTGACCTCATTTTTTTCCCTTTTTTTAAAAATCACTTTCTATTAAAGGTTTAATCGGTGGAATGAAACATCTTGTAACACTAGTCCACAACCGCTAGTCACTAAAAAGCTGGCTCATTGTTCTGTATGTTCCCATCCAGGTAAGGAGACATAGGGAATTGTTATTAGTATCTCATACCTATGTTTTAATTCTTGTTCACATAGTACTTTTTACATACCAATGTTAATAATACTTTGAAGGGTTTTACATTGTCTTCTCCACTACATTGGGAATTCCCTGGAGTCAGTTTTGTTATATACACGTAGTAATCAGTCAGTAAATGTTTGTTGAAACCAATAATGTGATGTAGATGATAAATATAGGATAAGTACAGTTTCAAACTGTGATACCAAATTAATTAGATCTTAAAATTATGTTTTCAATATAGAAATCCATTTTAAGAAAAAAATATATACTAATAAGTCTTAGGGAAAATGGAACTGAAACCATTTGTTAATATATTGGTGATTTGTATTTATCCACTTAAAAGATTCTTCATTGTCCTATAATGTATTTTAATTGTGTATGAAGATAGTGACTTAAAACTAATTTCTAATGTTTACTATTGTTGAAAATAGCTTAGATCTTCTTCATTAGTCTTGGTTTAAAAAAAAAAAGGTACCACAGAACACGTACTGGATCAGAAAGGCCTTTCATTCCCAAAAGAGAATAGGATGTCATGTTAACTAATCTTTTAAAAGAAATTCTGCTATATCTAATTGTCTTAATATATTTTTATTAACATTATAGATAAAATCATGGAAGAAAATAAATGTTTTTATAAGTAAGATGCTATTGTATAGTTTTTTGATAACTTACAAATGACAATTTTAGGTAATATCAAGTATATATGCTCTTACATATTCTCAAGACAATGTTGCAAGTAATCACACTTTCCTTTTAAAGGGAATTAAATTTCCACACCCGTGCCACAGTCATCATTTGTTCATGTTCCAAGGATAGTTTAAAAAATAACTGTAACTGAGATCTAGACACTAGCAGAGGTAATTAACTGCTATATTATTTTAATACACTCATTAAAGAAACTATTCTATTAGAGCTATTCTATTATGTAAATAATCTTTTTTTTGCCAATAATTACATTCTAGTTTTTATGCATGTAGCTTCTACTTAAACCAGAAAGTTTTCTGTTGTTGATTATTGTAAATGTGTAATTTCAAATGTCTAATTAACACTTTCAAATAGAAGAATAATTTTTTCTAAAGTGTCATGTGATAGTAATAGTTCAAGATCTACTTGAGCCCAAGAATTACTATGGTGTCTATTACTCTATTCATCCTAAATGTATTGAAACCTTTCTATATGCTAGGTAGTGTGCTAGGCAATATTAATTTTAGAAAATGTAGATACGGGCAAAAAGAATGTATGTGGAAAGTAATTATAAAAGGCAAAAGATATACTTTTTTTGGGTCTCCATAAAGGTTCACCTAAGGATCATGAACGTAACGGATGCAGATTATGTAAAAGTGATAAATATTGTGAGCCACATGACTATGAATACTGCTGCCCTTGTGATTGGCACCACACAGAACATGATAGGCAACTCAATGAAGTAGAGAACAATATGAAGAAGTAAGTGTGTTTAAAAACTCATGATTTTTCCTGGCATGACCTATACACATACCTTTGGTTGAATTATTTCCATATAATCTTTCCTCACTTGTCTAGACTAGTCATATGTTTAACAAAACTTTTCATTTCTGTTTGAAAACTTAGCTAACCTAGGAGATAGTAATGTAATAGTTATTCAAAGAGAAGCTTGACTGTTCGGGATACTGTAAATTCACATTTCTTATTAAATGGGAGGAGATTGGCTGAGATGATTTCAGAGTCTAAAATTGTCTGATTATAGTAATAACATATATATAATTTTTTTTTTCAGGAAAGCTTGCAGTTGTGAGGGATTCCCATTCCATGAGGTAATATCCAGTAATTCAACTGTATTAATTGTAGAAACTTTCTTAGAAGTGTAAGTCTCAATTCCTATTTTCTTTTTTCTTGCTAGGTTATTCAAGAATTCCTTTTAAACAAGGATAAATTGGTGAAGGTTATCAGGTACCAAAGACCTGATTTGTTATTGTTTCAGGTATCTGAAAATAAATTCTTGCTTTACCATATGAAGTTATATGCTGGAAAGATAGGAACAGGTATTCACTCTGATTGGTGTGAGAGGAGGTTTAAACTTAAGACAGGCAGCTCTTATATTTTTTCGGCATTTATTTCTAATCTTTCATTTGCCATACAGTAGCCATACTTTGCACACTATAAGACAAAGTACAGTTATGCTGTTTTAGAAGATGCCTTAATTAGCATACGTGGATATATTGCATCCAAGGATATTTTGGGGGAAGAGGGTTTAATAACAAGAGAATGTCAAGATCAAGTATATAATTATGGAAGGTAGTATCATTTACAAAAAACATTGAGATCTGAAATTAATGACCTAAATTTAAATTTGGACCATATTCCATTTACTGTGTGACCCTGGATGTGTATTATTCTCAAAATAGAAATAATATTATCTCATGAAGTCACCATGAGGATTAAATGAGATTATATTAACTCCTAATATAGTGGCTAGGGACATGGAGTGGTTCAATAAATTGCAACAGCTGGGTACTTACAAGTATTAATAATGACAGCCACATTAATAATGGCAGCCAACATTTATTAGACATTTAAATTTGCTGTTATGTTTAACGCATTACATGTAATCTCAGTCTTTATAATCTGTGAACTGGGTTATAATATTTTCACATTACAGATGGTAAAACTGAGGCTAAGAGAGGTTAAGTGAGTTACCCAACATCTAAGAAATATCATCCTGGTGTTCAAACCGAGAGCCTTCACTCTTAATCATTATACAATAATGATTCTTCTTTAGGAGGCTTATTCTTTCTAGAATATTCTCATTGATACTACTTTAACTTATGTTAATTCTAAAGGAAAAATTATTAATATCACCTAGGAGTGCTATTTGTCTCCAAGAGGTAACAAAATCTTGTTTTATTTTTATTATATTTACAGAGATTTACTCTTGAAAAAATGGAGTGGCCCAATCACTATGCATGTGAGAAATTGCTGGTACTTTTGACCCGTTACGACATGATAGAAAGAAAGCTTGGTAGCAGAAACTCTAATCAACTACAGCCAATTCGGTAATGTAAAGAACTGTATGGTGAAGATGGTGTTTTTACTTGAATATCTTATAATGAAAATATTCCTAATATCTTTAAGCTTGTTTTTGTAAAGGTGGAGGAAAGGCCTCCTGGAATATTAAAAGCTTATAATCAGAACAACATAGTAAGTCATGCTTTATCATACTTTTCTACTTCAAACACATAGTAATAATAGATTATAAAAAGAAACAAGCATAAAAGGATATAGCCAGCCTTTATAAGACAACTGTTTCAATGGACCAGGAAAGGAACAAACGTGTAAAGGTAATGCAGGACCTAAAACTGGTTTTGCAGAGCCTTAAATCTAGAAGCCAGCAGTATCATCCAGGAGATAAATCACTTCAGAGAAAAAAAAAAAAACAAAACAGGGACCAAAAGTGCAAGATGTTGATGGAGTCAGGCTTATTTCTTGAAACCCAGTAGGTAGGGTGGAATTTCTCTGTTCCTATCAGGAGATTAGAGGCTGGGGTAGACAATAAAAACTAACCAAATGCTGCCTGAAACCCAGAAAGCCTACTGGAAATCACTCAAAAAGCCTAGAGAGATAGAAGTAAAGACAGATAAAATATAAAAGAATTGAAGAAGAAAGCTTAACATATAAAGAAATACAATATTTTAAAAATCAAAAGTTATGAATTCACTTTAGATTAAGTTTTAAAACAGTCTGACAGGTTTTATGCAAGGGGTGGGTGTGTTGGCCTTTCAGAATGCTAGAATCCTCAAAAAGATGAAGACATACGTCTGTAAGCAACAGAAGACAAAATTATAAAAGTGTATGTAAATGGATGGATATAAAAAGTGAACTATTAGCTTAAAAATAGTTGATGAAATAAAAAGCAATAAAGGGGACTCTAGGCTGAACTTGGTCAAAAAAAAAATTCGTAATGTGGAAGAGAAATCTTTTCAAAGACTCTCATATAAAAAATGCTTAAGAGTAGTTTTGGATTAATTCCTAGAAGCTAATAAAAGAAAAGGTTGAAAAGTAATTTTGAAAAGATGATGTCTGAGAGTTTTCCAAAATTTAAGACAGATAAAGTTATACTCCAAATTATAGTCACAATACATAAAATACCCAAGGCGTATTGTAGACATCAACAATAAAAGGAGTATCTTAAAAAGTACCAAACCAATCAGGCAACAATCATCAATGGATGTTAAAACTATTAGATGAAAGATTGCTGGAGAGAAAGGATAGTCACAGTCTCAAGTACCACTCTACAAATTAATTACAGAGGAAAAATGATACCTTCAAAAGTGGAGAAATCCAGTGGACGTCAGTTTAACTAAATGATTAATTTCCAATAAAAGGACAATAGTCTGATTTCATATGCTTTCTAATATGTTAAACTGAGAAAGATACCACATTATATAATATTTTTGCCAAAAAAGCTTGAGCTAGGCAGGGCGTGGTGGCTTGCACCTGTAATCCTAGCATTTTGGGAGGCTGAGGCCGGTGGATCGACTGAGCTCAGGAGTTCAAGACCCATCTCTTCCAAAAATACAAAAAATTAGCCAGGCATGGTGGAGAGCGCCTGTGATCTCAGTTACTTGGAAGGCTGAGTTGGGAGGATTGCTTGAGCCTGGGAGGTGGAGGTTGCAATGAGCTGAGATCACACCACTGCACTCCAAACTGACAGAGTGAGACGCTGTCTCAAAAAAGAAAAAAAAAAGTTTAATCTGTATCTAATCATGAGGAAATACTCTAATGAATCCAAGTGAAAACCATTTTGTGGAGCTATTATGCTGGACTCTTCAAAAATGAAACAAAAAAAATCTAGGTAGTTTTTCTGGATTAAAATAAAGAGACAACACAATTCGAGAAAAATGATCCTGATTGAATTCTGAATTGTTTTTAAGTCATAAAGGACCTTTTTTTAGGACAATTGGGGAAATTTGAATATGGTCTGTATGTTGTAACCGTGTTAAACTTCCAGAGTGTGATAGTTTTTTGTGGCAGTGTAGGGAAATACTCTACATAGGCTGCAGTATTTAGGGGCGATGTGCCATGAGACGTGTTTGCAACTAACTTGCAAATGGAGAAAGCAAGTGTGATAAAATGTTAACAATTGATGAATCTCAGTAATAGCATGTGAGTATTCATTGTACTATTTCTGCAACTTTTATAAAGGTTTGAAATTTTTCAGAATAAACAGTTTGCTGGGAACTATCAAAGGAAAAAGATCAACTATCTGATAGCACACATCTTTCATAACAGTAATAGATGCCAGAAGATGCTGGAGTGATGTTTCAAAGTGCTGAGTAAAAATAATTTACAACCTTGAAATCATTAAAACATCATTCATAGGAAAAGCGTTTTTAAACATATGAAGACTAAGAGAGTTTACCACTCATAAACCTTCCTTAAAAGTGCTGTTGAAGGGCTGGGCTTGGTGGCTTATGCCTGGATCAGCAGCACTTTGGGAGGCCAAAGCAGGTGGATCACTTGAGGCCACGGGTTCTAGACCATTCTGGCCAACGTAGCAAAAACCCCTCTCTACTATCAATACAAAACATTAGCTGGGCGTGGTGGCACACGCCTGTAATCCCATCTACTTGGGATGCTGAGGCACAAGATCTCTTGAACCCAGGAGGCAGAGGTTACAGTGAGCTGAGATGGCATCACTGCACTCCAGCCTGGGCAAACACAGCAAGACTCAAAGAAAAGGATAATTTCTTTTTTAAAGTGTTGTTAAAGGATATACGCCAGCAAGAAAAAAAATGAACACAGAGGGAAGATGTGAATTACAAGAAACAGTGGTCAGCCCGGGAATTGATTAAAACATATTTAGATAATTTAATAAACTGACTAGAAAAAATTATATATATAAATATTTGTTTAGTATGTAATGATTAATACATGATGATGATGATGATGATAAGCCAAAACTCTCAAAGTATGCATTCAAACACCTGCTAGAAATATAATCTGTCTTCCAAACCAGCACAATTAAAATAAGAAAGTAAAACTATCAAACCAAAAGAATACAGGAAGAAGGAAGGTGGAAGGAACAAAGAAAAAGCTGGTGACAGCGAACAAAATAAGATGCATGAATGAATCCAGCAGCTATACCAGTAATCACCAAAAATGTAAGCAGATTAAACTCACCTATTAAAAGACATATTATATTGGATAAGTAAATAAAACGCAGCAATATTCAGCTTATAAGGTACATGTAGAATAATAATACACAGAATTTAAAAATAAAAGAGATTTAAGAACAGTTAGTAGGAAAATACTGTACTTACCAAAGTAATATAACAAACTTTAAAACAAAAATCATTATTGTGGAGGTGAGGAACACTGCATAATAAGGTAAGAAACAATTGACTTAGAAGATCTAATAATAATAAACTCTATGTACCTAACAATATTGTCTTTTGAATAAACTAGTCAAAGGACTAGGCAGTAATTCCTTTAAATGTTTTTACTTGGGGGGAAAAAAAACTATGGAAATTATTCAGGTTACAAATGGAAAATTTCCAAATATCTTTTGCAATTAGACTTCATTAAATGAATTTGTTTTTCAGAATTGTTAAGACTCGAATCAGAAATGGAGTTCATTGTTTTGAAATAGAATGGGAAAAGCCCGGTATGTATTCACTTTAAGCAAAATATTCCATTTATAATATTTGACCGTGTATGTCTAGTAAATATTGTACGTGTGTGTGTATATATATATATACACACACACACACAGCATGTGTGTGAAAAATAAAGATGAAACCCATCACATGCACCACAGGTTGATTTCATAGTTTGCCTGTGTTATTTTAGATAGGTTTTGACTAATAGTAAACATGATAAACTTTGATTTTATTTTAATGTCCTAATTTGACATTTCTTTTGTAATGTTTAAGGAAGTAATGCTGAAATAATTTTTATATTTCTCAAATATGCTTTTACAGATGCTCTGGTCATTCAATGTCATGTATAAGTCCATCTGAAAAAATTGAGATTGCTAAAAAACCCCTGGGATACACTTCTTTCCTTTTTTTTAACCCTGCTTAGTTTTCAGTGGGAATTTTTTATTGTCAAATTATTCTTATTTTTGCTACAGATAGAATTACAGTGAACTCTGAATTAGCTCCCAAACTGGAGATAGTGAAACACAGATAATTTAAAATGGAAAATGACACCAAGTTGATTTCTGTTTGGCTTTGAAATTAAACTGTATGATCATATTTGAGAGAACAGGTTTGTCCAATGAAAGTTTAAGCTGTAGGTAACTTTGAAGAATGAAATTACAGAGAATTAGATAAATCATTCCAAGCAGTAAGAGAAAGAATGTTGAAAAATTTTGAAAAGTATTTAGAAACAGTTACACCAAGTAGTATATTTTCAGGAAAGAAAATTATATTAATTCAGTTTGGCAATGCATCTCTCCTGTCAAGAACTGAGGATCAGATACCCATTTTCACTGATCCTCGTGGGAGCTATTACAGGAGAAAATGTACTCTGAGCTAGTTTAACTAAGGAACACTTTTAAAATCACTCATTCTCTTTGTTTCTGCTTTAAACTTATCAGTATTTTCTTTATAATTTGGCTTATTCTATAGTTTTGCCCACATATAAACCCAAGAATCTAGTGTACTGTTTGTAAATACACTGTACTGTAAATTTACATATGAACATTTTTATTTTCATTTATTAATTACTTGTAAGTCCAGTTAGATTGGGCTTGAGACATTGATACCCTCTGAAACAACAATCTGGGAAGTAGTAATACTTTTTTTTTTTTTTTTTTTTTCCTTGAGACGGAGTCTTGCTCTGTTGCCCAGGCTGGAGAGTGCAGTGGCACCGTCTTGGCTCACAGCAACTTCTGCCTCCTGGGCTTAAGTGATTCTCCTGCCTCAGCCTCCCAAGTAGGTGGGGTTATAGGCACCTGCCATCACGCCTGGCTAATTTTTGTATTTGTAGTAGAGATGGAGGTTTGCCATTTTGGCCTGGCTGGTCTCAAACTCCTGACCTCAGGTGTTCCACCCGCTTCGGCCTCCCAAAGTGCTGGGATTACAGACGTGAGCCACTGTGTCTGGCCTGGAAAGCAGTAATGCTTTTGATGACCCTTTCAGTTATGTTCTTTTCAGAAGCCATCACTAAAGAAAGCTGATGTTGACTTTTAGGAATCTATTTCATTTCTTACCTGGAATTTTAACACTTACTTAACTGAATTAAACCAACTAACCTTACCTAAACAAAGTTTTCTATTATTTCAGCTACTGCTACCATCTCAGAATAAGAGAATTTAAAATTCTAATTTAGAAGGAATCTCCAGCTATTGCCAGGCAAAAAGAAAATAAATTATGTACTGCTATCAACAGATTGTTAGAATATAGGTGTTATAAAGCAAGATTTGCAGTGAATAGTTCATTTGTGAATGACTTATTTTACCTGGTAAACCTAGTTACCTGGAAAGATTGAATTTTTTTTTTTTTTTTTTTTTTAGATGGAGTTTTGCTCTTGTTGCCCAGGCTGGAGTGCAGTGATGCGATCTCGGCTCACTGCAACCTCCACCTCCCGAGTTCAAGTGATTCTCTTGCCTCAGCCTCCCGAGTAGCTGGGATTACAGGCACATGCCAGCACGCCCGACTAATTTTTGTATTTTTAGTAGAGATGGGGTTTCACCATGTTGGTCAGGCTGGACTCGTGTTGGTCAGGCTGGTCTCGAATTCCTGACTTCATGATCTGCCTGCCTTGGCTTCCCAAAGTGCTGGATTACAGGTGTGAGCCACCAAGCCTGGCCAATTGGATTTTTAAAAAGTGTGTAATTAAGGATGCTTTGCTGTATTTTTAATCTTTTAGAACATTATGCTATGGAAGATAAACAACATGGAGAATTTGCTCTGCTAACAATAGAAGAAGAATCATTGTTTGAAGCAGCATATCCTGAGATCGTTGCTATTTACCAAAAACAAAAGTTAGAAATTAAAGGGAAGAAACAAAAACGTAAGTTTTGGGTTTGATAGCTATTTATGCCACATGCAAATGTTATAGAAGAGCCACCTCTTCTGTTTGAATCTACTCTGTCTAAATTTTACTGAAAAATCTATAAAATCAAGAGTCAAGAATTGTATTCTTCCTTGTCTTCACATACTTTCTTTTAAAGCTGAAAAGCCAGGAATAAAACATTCTGCTCTGTCTACTAACTTAACCAAGTGTTAATAATAATAGTTATACTGACCAATTGGTCAGCAGCTACTGTTTATAGCATATTCGGGTTTTAAATACATTTTCTTCATTTCCCAGAACTCAGTGAGGAAAACAGCTCAATTATTTTCAGAGGGAAATATTTTATAATCTAGGAATGCACTGAGACCAAAAAAAGCCAAAAAAATTCATATAGATTTCTCTCTGAACTGTTTATTTATTTGTTTTTACCCAAGTTAAAGCAAAGAAAATAAATGCTGATTATGTTTTTTTTTTCCCAGGTATTAAGCCTAAAGAAAATAATTTGCCAGAACCAGATGAAGTAATGAGCTTTCAGTCACACATGACTTTAAAACCCACATGTGAAATCTTTCGTAAGCAGAATTCCAAGTTAAAGTTGGGGATTTCCCCTGATTCTGCATTACCACAGGAATCTATATCTGCCTCGTTGAATAGCTTGCTTTTACCTAAAACTACTCCGTGTTTGAATGTACAAGAACAGTTCATGTCTTTTCCAAGACCTTTGGCTATACAGATTAAAGCTGTCAGTAAGTCTCTGATTTCAGAATCTAGTCAACCCAGTACCTCATCTCATAATATATCTGTGATTGCTGATCTACACTTGAGCACTATTGACTGGGAAGGTACATCTTTTAGTAATTCTCCAGCTATTCAAAGGAATACTTTTTCTCACGGTTTAAAATCAGAAGTTGAATCAGAGCTATCAGCCATCCCTGGTGGCTTTGAAAATATCCCAGAACAACTGTCATGTGAATCAGAAAGGTATACTGCAAACATAAAGAAAGTGTTGGATGAGGATTCTGATAGGATTAGTCCTGAAGAGCATCTACTTTCTGGCATTACTGATTTATGTCTTCAGGATTTGCCTTTAAAGGAACGAATATTTATAAAATCATCATATCCTCAGGATAGTCTACAACCAGATGTCAACCTGAAAACTTTGTCCATACTTAGTGTAAAAGAACCTTATATTGCTAACAGTGGTTCTGATTGTACATCACATCTTTCAAAGGATCTTCCAGGAATTCCCTTGCAAAATGAATCCAGAGACTCTAAAGTTCTAAAAGGAGACCAGCTGCTTCAGGAAAACTATAAAGTCAATACTTCTGTACCTTATTCTATCAGTAACACAGTAGTAAAGACCTGCAATGTTAGACCACCAAATACTGCTTTAGATCATAGTAGAAAAGTTGATATGCAAACCACTCAGAAAATTTTAATGAAGAAGAGTGTTTGCCTTAACAGACATTCCTCTGATGAACAAAGTGCCCCAGTGTTTGGGAGAGCTAAGTACACAACTCAAAGAATGAAGCACAGTTCTCAAAAGCAAAATACATCCCAGTTCAAAGAAAGTGGCCACAACAAGTTGGGTAGCCCTAAGATACATATTAAAGAAAGTGAACAGTGTGTCAGATCTTATAAAACAGCTGAAAATGAAGAAAGCTGTTTCCCAGATTCAGCAAAAAGTTCTTTGAGTTCTCTACAATGTCATAAGAAAGAAACCAACTCTGTTACTTGTTTGGATAGTCCTCTTCCTTTACGCCAGAGATTAAAACTAAGATTCCAAAGCACTTGAAAGGAACTTTAAAACACTTAAGTATAACTTATTATTTTAGTTAATAGCAGAGACAGAGGGAAGGTATCTAGTTCATGTGTGGTAAAAATTTTAATGTTCTCTATGTCATGAAACACCATTTTAATCAAAATTGTGATTTTAAAAATGTCACCTAAAACTCGGGTTTTAAAAGATCCTCTGTATTGAAAACTTCTGATAATGCATGTCATTATTATGTCCTTATTATTCTTTAATTGTGGTTTTAAAATATTGGTATAGTACTTGACAGAGTAAATGCTTCATCTCTTTGTTCATTTTTACTTTTTCTTCCACAAGCCTCTAAAGTATTTATATTCCAGCTTGTTCCCAAGAGGATAATTCTTTATACTTCTCTGCATTCTTTTAAGGCCTTGCAAGGTCTTCCGTTATAACTCTCTTTCCTAAGAGTTATTTTCTCCCTAAGTGTGAAGATACCTTTAGTGTGCTCTTCCACCTTGGAAGGCCTTGCAAGTCTTCCATTATAACTCTTTCCTGAGAGTTATATTCTCCCTCAGTGTGAAGCTACCTTTAGTGTGCTCTTCCACTTTTGGTGTCTTAGTCTCTTTTTTGAGGGGCAAAAAGAGAAAAGGAGAGAAGATGTCAGTATGTTTAGTAAAAATCATGCTTGTAATGGCTGAATAAACTGAGCAAAGCCCAGAAGTTCACACATATATCAAGTGGAAGAAGATTTGGAAAATCAAATGTATTTCTAATCCAAAAGGATTAGAAACTTGCCCAGGATCACATAGCTAACTAATAATCCTGTGGGAATCAGTTTTCTTGCCTGCTAATTTTTTTATTTTTCTATTTTTTCCTTCTGTAGCACTTTTCCCCCTTTTGTTTTAAATCTATGCAATATTGACTTTAATACCACCAAATATTAAATCTTGCATTAATTTAGGTCGCACTCAAAAATTCTAGAGCGGTATCCAGATTGAAGAGGAAAATTGTCTCTGCAGATGACAAGATTGTATGTATCAAAAATTCTAAGAAATCCACTAGAAAACTATTAAAACTGATAAAATGAGTTCATCAAGGTTGTAGAATACAAGACCAATTGTGCAATGATCATTGCATTTTGTTTGTGTTTGTTTGTTTTTTGAGACGGAGTCTCACTCTGTTGTCAAGACTGGGGTGTAGTGGCGCCGTCTTGGCTCACTGCAGCCTCTGCCTCCCAGGTTCACACGATTCTCGTGCCTCAGCCACCTGAGTAGCAGGAATTACAGGTGTGTGCCACCATGCCTGGCTAATTTTTAGTATTTTTAGTAGAGATGGTATTTTCCCATGTTGGTCAGGCTAGTCATGAACTCCTGGCCTCAAGGATCCACCCATCTTGGCCTCCCAGAGTGCTGGGATTACAGGTGTGAGCCACCATACCCAGCCTTAACTGTATTTCTGTACACCTCTAAATAAATGGAAATACATTCCATGTTGATGAATCAGAAGACATAAGACGACAATACTGCCCAAACTGATCTACAGGTTAAATGTAATTCCTATTAATTCCAGCTGGTTTCTTTGCTGATTATAAAATTCATATGGAAATTTCAGAAACACAAGAAGAATCTTGAAAAAATTTGAATGACTCACCCTTCCTGATTTTAAGTATATAAACTACAGTAATGAAGAATGTGTTGTACTGGTATAAAGGTAGACGTATAGGTCAACATAGATCAATGGCATAGAATTGAGAGTTCAGAAAAAAGCCCTCACATTTATGGTCAGTTGATTTTAAACCAGAGTGCCAAGACAATTCAATGGGAAAACAAAACTGTCTTTGAACCAACTGTCTTCTGGATCTATTGGATATCTATGTAAAAAAGAATGACATTTGATTCCTACTTCACATGATATTTAAAAAGTAACTTAAAATGGATCAAGGACCTAAATGTAAGAGCTACAGCTATAAAACAGAAGAAAACATAGACATAAGTCTTTGTGACTTTGGATTAGGCAAGGATTTCTTAAATATACCCAAAACATAGGCAACAAAAGAAAATACACAAACTGGACTTCATCAAAACTAAAAACTTGTTTGAAATGACACCATCAAGAAAGTGAAAAGACAGCTTACAGGATGGGAGAAAATATTTGCAAATCATAAATGTGGTAAGGGACTTGTATCTTAGAGGGATGTATATAAAGAACTCATAACTCAATTATAAAAAAACAACTTCAAAATGGGCAAAATAGCAGGCATTTCTCCAAAGAAGAAATACAAATGGCCAATAAGCACATTTAAAATTGTTCAGTACTATTAGTCATCAGGAAATTGCAAATCAAAGCCACAAGACGCCCAATAGAATGTCTGCGATCAAAAAGATAATAACTAGTATTGATGAGGATGTGGAGAAATTGGAATTCTCATAACATGCTGGTAGGAATGTAAAATGGGGCAGCCACTTGGGAAAAAGTCTGGTATTCAAATGGTTAAATGTAGAGTTAATATCCAGCAGTTCCACTCCCAGATATATACCCAAGAGAAATGAAAACATACATCCACATGAAAACCTGTGCACAAATGTCCATATCGTCATTATTCATAATAGCCAAAAAGTGGAAACAATCCCAATTCCAGAATGAGGAAGGGGAAAAAACTAATGTGTATTAGCTACTGTGTGCTAAGCATTCAACTAGATTCTTTACAAACCTTGTATCGTCTCAACAGCTTTTTAAGGACTGTATTGCAATGTTTTGTATATTCAGAGAGAAAAAAATCGTTGCTAAAACATATTTCCAAGGTTCTGCTTATTCTGATTTGTTCAATCGTGGCTGTGATAGTTTAGGACCATCTAGACTAGGTAAATAAAATATCTAGAGGCATTCTTGAGATTGTATGAGATGAAAATAACAGTTGGGAGTGGCCAGTCTAGGTTCATTTTGCTATATAGCTCAGGTGTCCCCAGGCTGTGGACAGGTACCAGTCCATGACCTGTCAGGAACTGGCCTGCACAGCAGGTGGTGAGCAGCATGCAAGCAAGAATCACCGCCTGAGCTCTGCCTCCTGTCAGATCAGCAGTGGCATTAGATTCTTATAGGAGCACGAACCCTTATTGTGAACTACGCATGCAAGGATCTAGTTTGCGCACTCCTACTGAGAATCTAATGTCTGATGATACGAGGTGGAACAGTTTCATCCCATAGCCATCTCACCCGCATCGTCCATAAAAAAATTGTTTTCCATGAAAGTAGTCCTTGGTGCCGGAAAGGTTGGGGACTGCTGATACAGCTAAACAGGCGTAAGTGTAAAATTATACGTCCTCCTCCTCAAGTTCTCTGTTTTCATTGTCCACGTTATACCAATTCTTTTTAAAGCATTCCATGTTATTGTTCCTTGGTGTGGTCACGTTACCGCTTGTTTATCAAATTTTACAAGTTGCTGCTTACGTATTTGCTAACCACTTCATTGTCTTGTTGAGGATGCCTTGCTTCCCTTTGAAATACTCTGCCAAAGATCTGCCTCCAGCTGCTAGGATCCTGTAATTGGTTTCTTTCTGATGGCTCCATCCTAAGGCCCTGCTCTGGCCTAACTACTTTGGGCTTTGTGTAATCAATCTTAAGTTCTTGGCGGTTTTTCTTTTAGATTTTTTTTTTCTGTATAAAATCTCTATCGGGTGATGCATGGTGGCTCATGCCTGTAATCCCAGCACTCTGGGAGGCTGAGTTGGGTGGATTGCTTGAGGCCAGGAGTTCAAGACCAACCGGGCCAACATGGCAAAACGCCATCTCTACTAAAAATACAAAAATCAGTGGGGCCTGGTGGCGTGCATCTGTACTCCCAGCTACTCAGGAGGCTGAGGCAGGAGAATCACTTGAACCTAGGAGGCAGCGGTTGCAGTGAGCTGAGATGGTGCCACTGCACTCCAGGATGGGTGAAAAAGTGTCTCAAAAAAATTAAAATTTAAATTAAAAAATATATAATCTCCATCTTCTAGATTTTATAATGAGGACTGTACTTTTTCCTTTTGGGTAGCATGGCTTGAGCGATCTTGTCAGGCATACCTAGCTTCAGATTCTTTTCGGCTAACAGATTTTCTCTGAGACCCTGGAGACATTTTCTAACTTTTCTGAGACTCATTTATTCAAATGTTTATGTGACAGGCATTGTGCTGGGCCCTGGGGATACAGTGATCAATGGTATCCTATAAGGTTGTTTTGGTATCTGTCAAGTCGCTGCCACCATTGACACATTGTACAGACTCAGTCAATGGTAGCTGTGCCCGGTACTATCATTTGGAAAGAGCACTATCAGATTTTGGATTCAAATTGAATGCAGCCAAGCACTGCCTTTTGGTAAAACATGTGGACACAGTAACGCTAGCAGGAGGCAGTGTGAGGGTGGGAGATGTGTTTTCAGAAGAAGGCAACTCTAGCATCATCACACAAGGGATCCTAATGTGGCATTTGAGCTACTGGGAAAAAAAATGTGCTTGCTTAAATATAATTTGGTAACTAATATTCATCTGATCACCTATCACATTTTTGAGCACCCACTTTGAGCAAGGTTCTTAGGCTTTTCTATGTATAACAGCCAGCTGGAGGCCCAGTAAGTTTAAAATTTTTCTAGGTCACTCAACTAGAAAAGGTTAAAGCTGGGACTAGAACTCAGATCTCCTAATTCGTGAGTGAAAACGATTCTCTGTATTTATGTTTCCACACATCATTCAGTGACTCAGATATCATCTCAGAGAGTCCTAATCTTTTTATCTCCTGACATTATAAATGTTGAGTTTAGGGTTTTGTTTTGTTTTTTTTCATTGTTTCCCAAACTAGAATGCAGACTTGATGAGGCCAGGGATTAAGTCCTTTCTGTTCACAGAATTCTGGAACAGTGTTTGGCACAGTAACTGCTAGATGCATGAATGACAATTCTGCACAACCCGCCAGCCATGGAGCCTGTACCAGCAGTGGCTGCACTTAACCTTGCAGAATCTGGTCTTTGTACTTCAGCATGGCTCACAAGGCTGAGGCAGCCTGGCCCCAACTTGTCTTTTCAGCTTCATGCATTCATAGTCATGAACCTTGGCTCTAGCCACCTAAGACCATTTGTTATTCCCTGCACGGATGTCTGCCTGAAATGCTTGCTGCTAAGGCTAGATAAACCTCATCTGTTAAGGACCAGCTCACATGTCATAACTTTCTAATCCCAAGCCGAATTAATTGCTCTATATGTGTCCCCAAAGAAATTACCCATACATTCATCATAGTATTTATCACATTCATTCATTCGTTCCACAAGTACTAGCTGATGCCTACCATGTAGGAGGCACAATATTCCTTGTTTAAAAATGCTTCTATCTCTCCCTCGGATAAGACTAAGATCTCTTTGAGCACAGTAATCAAATCATTTCTGTTCACTTCCCCCCCAGATCCCTGCCCAGGGTTTGACTCTTCTGCCTCACCAACTGTTTTATTTACCCATGGAGATTCAGTGTAAACATGGTCTTCTCTAAAAAAGGCTTCTGTTGCTTCTCTGGATCGCTGCTAGTCCCCATAGACTTCTAAAATATTACCTGTCTATAGTTTGGTGTTGGGTTACATTTTTTTGTTGTCCACACCAGACTATGAACATTCTCAGGGCAGAGAAACCATATTGTACTTCTGAATCTATAGCACCCAGCAGAGGGATTGGCACAGAAAGTGTCCAGTGAGGCCGGGCATGGGGGCTCACACCTATAATCTCAGCACTTTGGGAGGCCGAGACAGGCGATTGCCTGAGATCAGGAGTTCGAGACCAACCTGGCCAACATCTCTACAAAAAATACAAAAATTAGCCGGGCGTGGTGGTGGGCACCTGTAATCCCAGCTACTTGGGAGACTGAGACAAGAGAATCACTTGAACCCGGGAGGCGGAGGTTGCAGTGAGCTGAGACTGTGCCATTTCACTGTAGCCTGGGCAAGAAGAACGAAACTGTCTCAACAAAAGAAAAAAGAAAGTGTTAAGTGAATGGGTGCTGATTGACTGGTGGTGATTTCAGGGTCCTAGTTCTAAATTTCTCTGTGGAGAGAGACCAAATCTAACTGGGTGGATTAGCTTGATACCTAGTCGCCTTTAGCCACCTTAAGATGCCCTGCCAAGATGCTTGCTTTCTGAAGGTGAAGAGTCTAAATCAACTGCTGTTCCTGTTCTGCTGGTAGCACTTAGGGTAAAACAGCTTAAATAGTATTACTGAAGGCAGTCTCCTTTCATCTATGTATTAACGTGGCAATGTTTATCACCTTCTTAGCCAAGCAAAGCTTTTATCAGGCTCAGCTAACAGCTTGCATTAGCCTCTTTCAGGAACTTGCCACATTGCCTGTAAACTGACATGCTGCAGAGTCAGCCCCATCAATTGTCCAAAACGGTGGGACTCTTTTTGATGATTTCAAAATAGATAGTTTAGTTAGCCCCAGGCCAGATAAATTCACTAAGTTGCCTGCTTGGCAGTGGAGGGGAGAGTCATCAGCAAAGTAGGCTGACCCTTCTGTGGGCAGAATGAATACTTTGCTAATGTGTAGAAGAATTCCTTTTGTAAGCACCAAAGAACTTTAATAAGGATTAAGTGTCTGAGTTTCCTCAGCATTATTCTGTTCCAAGACCCAAAAAGGAAAATAACCTCCCAAAATGGTAAAAACTGCTTGTATATTTAGAATTATCTGATCAAAGACCTAATGAAAAGATTCTATAGTGTTTGCATCATCATAAGTTAAATCTTCATCTACCACCCAACTGATACCTGCCTTTCTGTGCGTGAAGTTAGAAATGGCTGTTCTTTAATAAATGCTTTCGATCTGAAAGTGAGAAAGTGATTTATGAAACACCCAGGTGAGGGGAGACTACAAGTCCCTTTGCCTTTTAGTTCTCAAGCAATGCTGGTTACAGTAACTGCTCTGATGTAATTATTGCTAACATTTACATTTTTATTAAACTGAAAATGCTAACTGAATGCCAGATGTCAGAAGCCTTATGTTACATAATTGTCCAAACACAGACTAGGCGCTGTGAAGGCCCCACAGCTTCACAGCTGGGATAGTTCTATGGGAGGTGTCAAAGGACTGGGTACAACCAGGTCTACATCTTCTGAAACAAACCGAAGGACATTTTCTTAAACCTGAGAGTCCCTGGTCTGAGAAAGTGTCTTGGTTCTGATAGAGACTAGCTACACTGGGCAAACCTCCCCTGGCTTCACTTCCTTCTGTCTTCACTCTCAATCACATTTGAGGATACATATCAATATATATATGAAACATATATCAATATATAAATGTAGCATTACTGATGTCTTTAAGATGTGTTCCATTATAATGTGTATAATTTTTTGAGAAGGGAATTGTCTACTTATGAAGAAAAAAGAGACAAAGCTCATTGGGCACTAATCAATATAAGTGAGCTTATACAGTTTCAAAAGTCTGTTATGCAAAGCATTAGTGAATCTTGGGAAAAGACAAACGATGTATATTAAATGTTTATGTGCCACACACCTAATTGTTAAAATTTCTCATCTATGCCCCACAAAAACTAAGAGGGTCAAGTGTGGTGGCTCATGCCTGTAATCTCAGGACTTTGGGAGGCTGAGGCGGGCAGATCACTTGAGGTCAGGAGTTCAAGACCAGCCTGACCAAAATGGTGAAACCCTGTCTCTACTAAAAATACAAAAATTTGCTGGGCGTGGTGGCAGGTGACTGTAATTCCAGCTACTCGGGAGGCTGAGGCAGGAGAATCCCTTGAATCCGGGAGGTGGAGGTTGCAGTGAGCCAAGATCATGCATTCCAGCCTGGGTGACAGAATGAGACTCAGTGTCAAAAAAAAAAAAAAAGAAAAAAAATTACTGAGAGGCAAGCACTGTTATCCCCTATTTGCATTTGAGGCTAAGAGAAGTTAAGGAACTTATCCAAGGTTAACATCTAGTAAACAGCAGGACCAAGATTTTAACTCAGAGCTACTCTAACTCCAAAGTTCCATCACTGTCTCTCCACTCTTTGTTTCTTTGGAAAAAGTTAAGACTTTTTCTGTGAACCCCACATCTCTCTGAGTCTGTGGCACTTTTAAAGAACCCACTCATCAGAGAGATGCAATAACCTCTACTGATAACGATTTCTAGAAAACTGACTAGTAAATAAGAGTAGTTCAGAGTTCCAGAAAAGCTGTCTTGTGAACACTCAGGAAATTATCACAGAATTTATTTTAATTTTCAGAATTAAAAAATAACTATTAGACTGGGCATGGTGGCTCACGCCTGTAATCCCACCACTTTGGGAGGCTGAGGTGGGCGGATCACCTGAGATTGGGGGTTCAAGACCAGCCTGACCAATATGGAAAAACCCCGTCTCTACTAAAAATACAAAAAATTAGCCAGGCATGGTGGCACATGCCTGTAATCCCAGCTACTCCGGAGGCTGAGGCAGGAGAATCGCTTGAACCCGGGAGGCAGAGGTTGCGGTGAGCTGAGATCACGCCATTGCACTCCAGCCTGGGCAACAAGGACAAAACTCCATCTCAAATAAATAAATAAATAAAATAACTATTAAAGTCAACATTGTAGGAGGCTGGGGGTTTTCATATGTGAGGAAGGAATGAAGATGAGGGGGAGAGGCAGAATTCCAGTCATTTTATTACCCAAGCTCTAACCGCAGGGATGAGTCCTCTGAGGACTAGGCCATCTGCACATTCTTAGTGGTGCATGAGGTAAGAGTGTCTCCTTTTTAGTGTTCATGTCTTAGTTGAATCACCTTTGCCCAGTACCTGCAATGAGCCAGGCCCTGTGCAGATCATGTTAAGTACATTTTTTCTTCTCTTGAAATCAGTCCAGGGAAGGAAAGCAACATGCCTGAGGTCACACTTACTACACAAATCTCCCAGTTGCCTTTGGAGTAGCAGTGCTACCTCCAAAGGGCAAGTACCGTCTTGCAGGAACTACTAAACAGCCTTCCAATTGATCTTCCTGCTTCAAAACGCTTGTGCCTTTCTGTTGTGCACATACCAGCGAGATTATTGAAAACTCAAATCATATTCTAACCACCCCCTGTGTAAAAGCATCCCATGGCTTCTCATCACCCTCTAAATCCCAGCCTCCTCAGCAGCTGTGGTTACCTGTCTCCCTCACCTCACCCTCTGTTGCTTCCCCTTGCTCCCCTGGCCCTTGGCACATGGCTTGCTTTCTTTCCTTAAACACACTAAGCTCACTCTACACTGTGGCTCCTGCCCTTGCTGCCCACTCTGTGTGGACTTCCCACAGACCTCTGGATGGTAAGCTCTTTATCACCACCCGGGTCTTAGCTTCTTGGCTAGTCCTTCTGTGATCATGTTAGCTAAGTAGCCACCTCCCACTTCTGCCACCACTCCTTTACACTTGTGTCTCACCCTGTATTATTTTCTTTTCAACTTACTAGATTTTTTCTCTTTGTCTCCTATCACTAGAGTAACAGCACAAGAGAATAAACTTTGCTCTACTCTTTGTTATATTCCCAGAGCTTTGAACAATGCCTAACATGTAGTATGCATTTAATACATACTTGTTCAATGAATAGAGTTAACTTTTCTTTTTTTTTTTGAGGTGGAGTCTCAGTCTGTTGCCCAGGCTGGAGTGCAGTGGTGCGATCTTGGCTCACTGCAAGCTCCGCCTCCCAGGTTCATGCCATTCTTCTGCCTCAGCCTCCCAGGTAGCTGGGACTACAGGCGCCCACCACCACACCCAGCTAATTTTTATATTTTTAATAGAGATGGGGTTTCACCATGTTAGCCAGGATGGTCTTGATTTCCTGACCTCGTGATCCGCCTGCCTCGGCCTTCCAAAGTGCTGGGATTACAGGCGTGAGCCACCGCGCCCAGCCATAAAGTTAGCTTTTCAACCCAAATCTATCTAAAGACAAAGCCCATGCTTTGACCACGAACATGCTGCAATTTTTTATTGAATTCTTAAGATGGATTTAGTCCTGGGATAGGCATACTGCCGACTATACGGGAAAACATCTGCTCCTTCCCTTCAAGATGTTTATAACTTAGCTGTGATGCCAGACTTACTTATTCTTGAGATAACAAATACAGTAAGTGCTGAGAGAAGGGAAGTGTATCAGAGGGCACCAGAATGTAGAAGAGAGTGGTCGGTGAAGATCCAGGTGGTCCTTATAGGGCCTCCTAGAGCTGAGAAGCTTGATAGGAGCCTTTTATTGTGGATGCCAGTTAGTGGGAGGGTAAGACTTGTCAGGTCTTGGATGAGACTTAGAGAATCAGTGAGTTTATCCAGGGAGGAGTCATTAATGACATGTGTTTTAGGGCATTCCAGAGAGGGACATTTGCTAGATACTTTTTTCTGGGAAAAAAACCTCACTCTTTACTTACAAGTATAGTTTTATGAGAAAATAACGCGGGCAAGAGAAGAGGAAAGGAGGAAAGAGAAAGCAAGGCACTGAGGTTTCTTCTTTCTCATTCTGGCCGTGGTTGTGGTAGGGGCAAGATGGATCGAGACTGGCACACAGTGAGTGCTAGATAATTATTGGCCCACTTACTCTTGAAGATCTCCTCTGTGGGATTTGCCTGGAATTCCACACTCTCTCCAGAAATAAATTGCCAACTGTGGAACTTAGGAGGCTACCTCTTTAGGACCAGCAGTAAGGCAAAGCTGCTGTGCAGCATACTCTGCCTAAGTGATTGGACTGCACAGACCCTTGGCCATTGGAAGAGATTGCAGAGTTTCTCAGAGGGCCACAGCTGACCATCATGAGGATTGCTCCTATCATGGCTCCCGGTAAAGGATAGAGCAAGGAGACCCCTGAGAACTAAGTTGTCAGCCAGTGAAGATGACTTACTATGCTCAGAATTAACATTCATCCATCCACCCCCGACCCCCGCCACACCTTCCATCCATTCAAGAAGCAAATACTCTATGCCAAGAGTCTTGCAAACTATAGGAGCTATCATAAGGGTTAGTTTCCTTTCCTTGAGGAACTCATGGTCTACTCATAAAGAAAACCATATGCTGTTAGTTTCTTAACTCTACCCATGTTTCCAAGGCAGAGTTGAATAAAAGATTTATCACATACCCAGGCTTGGCCACAAAACCACACCACAACAAACCAAAACACTCCATGAAGGGAAAGACTAATGAACCTTCCCACCCCCCACCCCTCAAGCCCTTTTCAGAAAGGTGATAATGAAAGATTTGGTCTCTACCGAGTCACAACAGGATTTGCATTTTAAAGTTTGACAGATCTTTATAGACCTTTTGATCTCTTTTCAGCTCTCTACCTACCCACCCCAGCCTTGCTGCCTTCTCCCAAACCCCCGTCAATTCTCTACCCTGTACAAGCTATAAGCTTCAGAAATGATGGTCCCAGGTCCAGAGGCCTCTAGGGTATGTGCCCTGGTGTAATGTGCTCCTAGCCATATAGCTCCTATTTATTGAATACCAACTATATATCAAGCACTTTTCTTCCTAACCCGCACAATCACCCTGCAAGATTCATATTATTTACCTTTTTTTAAGTGAGGAAGAAAATGAGGCTTGGAGGTTAAATAACCTGCTCCAAATCACTAATAAAAAGTAGGAGCGACAGAACTAAAACCTAGGTCTGTGTACCGCCAAACCTATAACCTTTTAGTTAAGCCACACTGACTCCAATAGACAATACTGGTTATTGTAGGCTATTGTAACTAAGATCCTTCTTGGAAAAGGTAATCCTGCATTCCAGTTTTCTTGCAGGTGTTATTCTGGAAATAGCCCAATAAATGTCACAATTTGATTTACTCCAGGACAAACTTGCAGCTGTCTTTTCTTTTAGAGCTCTTCTTGAGCTCTTTTTCCTCTCTTTCTACTCATCTTTCACACAGACCACTGCAGCCCGACAGCTGCGTGTCTTGGTTTGGGACCGTTATCTGCAGCCTCCTGGGCTCTGTGGAACGGAGTCTGTCCAACCCAGAGAAAGCCTATTGGAAACAAACTCAGAGTCT